ACCCAATTTTACTTATACAACAGAGCGCATCTTTGAAAATGAGTCAACACCCATGGTTCTTATGGTGTCGTGTTGTTCCGACTTTCCAAATATGTGTATTCTACCACTAGGCTTGTGTTTATTTTTGTTGACTCCCTGGGCAGTACAAGTAGATTTTTACCTCAAACACAATTTATAGTTAGACCTCCACAGTAATAACAGGGAGGTGCCTTTTTTCGAAATCTACCTGATAGGATGATGCCATGTATCGGCTTAAGCTTGGAAATACATTCTTAGTACAGTAACTTAAGGCCTCCCTCGAAACTTTGACACTTGCCGTTATAATAGAATACAAAGCGAACACGCATGTAAATACGCTTCTATCGGTTAGGATTGATTTTATTTTGGCCATAGACCAAACACTTCTATATCAGAAATGTTGATGTAGAATTTCTTTTAAAATAACAACCCTTTCGTACTTTTGATTTAGTAAGAATCTTATTAGGAGTGATAGATACTTCCGAGGCAGTTTATAGAATTTTTGAAAAGTGATTTCTTCATTGTTTGATGTAAAATTCAACAACATCAAAAGACAACCATCCTCTCTGACAATATTAGTTATCTGATATAGTTGAAGTCTATAGGTTCTCAATTTATAATCTTTTTTGGCTTGAAATTTCGCCGGAAAAGGCTCTTATAAATTAATTGGTGATTCAGTATAAATTCGTGTTAATCACGAGATTATTAATGAGGAAACATTAGTGTAAGATGCCCTCTTAAAAATGCTTTGAAATAAGTGTTGATGACGAGTACATGCAAGGAGTACGTGTTGTATCACGAACCATACGCCGGCGAAAAATGCCGGTCGAAAACACTGGTACAGTCCGACGGCGACGCTTCTTTCGTGGGAAAATAGATTTTATTACATGAATAAATTTTAGCAATCTACTCAAACTCAGATGGTGACCTAAAAATTTCACATTATTTCGGTCAAATATTGCAAACTTCTCTCTTCACAGCTCCAAACTGAATCTTTAACTTTTACATAAGATTAACAAACATCGTCACTTTTTGTTCCTTTTTTTCTTTTGTGTGTTTGTCCCGTAAATAGAAGAAATTAAATGAAGAATGATCCTTGTACAAGCACAATAAATTGAAGCTAGAGATTAAACCCAAAAAAATTCATGCCTAAGGGTCGAAACTTAATGACCTACGAATAACTCGTATGAAATAAGGGCGCTTTCAAATTTCCATTTTACGAGATCCGTTGCCATTCATTGATCAAAACAACACCGTCGTAAATCAACAGAAGAACAAAAAAAAAACTACTTTAACAAATTTGTCTTGCCGCAACATTGTAAAGGCTTAGAAATTGCTGTTGCATAATTTATATGACAGGTTTTTCAAACACAAACGTCTTTTTCACAAAGAACTAAAATGAAATATACTGACCTCTATAGAGCGATATCAAGTGACGAACTCAGTTTTCTGATGATGCAAAAAACACCTTTGCACTGACCGAAGTAAACTGAGGTTATGTTCCAGTTCAGTTTCTTACTTTGATCGATGTCTAATGTGCTTGGACTGCTTAGAAAAACCACAAGGAATATTGAGAGTTCATAACAGTTTTGATCAAAGCAGTTGGACGACAAAATACCAACCCAATACTGTAAGTAATCAAATTTTTTTGGAAACGAAAGTGGCATAATCTTACCTAAAACTCAGTACTCAAACTTGCCCCTCCGTTTATTCTTTTACGTGACTTCTTGCCAAACGTGTACATCAGAAGCACTTCAGTGCTCAACGTAAAACTTATGATACCCAAATTATTGTTCACGATATTATTTTCAGAGGCGGGCGGGCGGACACTCTTGAGTGCTGTTATCTTTGCTATATAGATTTACAGCGAATTCATTAGAACTGAAAAGCTAAAACAAAAAGACTTATGTTTTATCATGTTAGCGTTTTTCCGGTGATTAATAACTTTTTGGCCTTCTGCTGTAAAAATGTTTGCCTTGGAAATAATCCTGTTTTCAAACTTACGGACACTATTCAATTTTAAGGGAACGAAATAAAGAACTGATAAAAGGAAATAAAAAACAAAATAAGAGAAAACTCATCTAAGAACACTTAGAGCGTGCGTTTATATTATCGAAGGAAAAACAAGGAAAGGTGAATTTTTAAGCCTTTAAATGACTACGATTCTTGCCGGAATAGAATAGAATTGAGAGGATTTCAATCAGTTTAATCCTTCTTTTGTTTCAATAAGAACATAAATGCTGTACGAAGACCATTGTAACCAGCATATCATTATTAATGCGCAAGACATTGTTTTAAAGTGACTTTTTTGGGGTGGAACGCTATGGGTATCTTGGCGGAATACCGATTGTTCGAACGAATTGCAATAATGAAGATTGCATTTTGAGTGACGCTTTTTTGAAGTTCCCGTGGAGTTAAGCTCAAAATTTTCAACTTTTACCTTTTTGAGCCTCAGTTTACTTCCTCATTTATTCCCGTTTGAAATCATGACCATCTGTCTTACACGAGAGAGATTTATGGAGCGATACACACTCTTCAAATCCTGCATTTGCCTTCGCAATTGGTAACTTAGAGAAAGATTTTCACACGAATCGAGGAAGTACAGAAGAAATTATGGACCCTGAAAATATCTTCCACAGATCAGTGAAAAAAGTTGTTTTGCATTAAAAAAGACTCTCCTTATCCCTTGTATCCTAAGGGGTTCAGGAAATTTTTGGAAGAAAAAATATTGTTTTTAACCAGTCCTCATATTAATAGAACAACGAAAAAACTATTTCCGCTAGTTGCAAAGATACATGCTTTTCATCTCACCTGATGAAATCAGGATGGTGCGGCTTCGAAGAATCAAGTAGAGAGTTTGGCCGAGATTAAGGGAAATTTTTACTTGCGTTTCGAAGGTAAAGCGGGAATGCACTTTTATTGCTTTACATAAACTTGTAATTGGTCATCGAAAAGTTGCAATACGCTCTCAACCAATTTGGTGCAAAACTAAAACTAGTCGCGGTTTGTTCAATCAGCTTTTCCCGCGCCTCAGGCAGTTTGCACGATCTTGTTCTGAGTTCCCGTTGTCTACTTGTGATATTTTATGCAATTTTTATTCACCTAATTGGTCTTAATTGGTAGGAGCTGAAATGTACTCTAAATTATTAATAACTCTCCTCTCAATTAGAGGAAGATATCACTAAGAGAAAATGAGTTGTTTAAGACATCAGACGCCAGCTGAATCATGTCCAGGGAATGTTCTCGAAAAATAAGAAATCAAATTATTCTTTACTTAGAGAATAATGCCCTTGCATGAAGTCCGTTCCAGACCCTCGGATAATTGAGGCGAGCGAAAGAGCGTGCAAAATATTTAAAAAAAAAGGCAGTTGTGGTTGTCAAGGAAACGGTGACCAGTGCCCTTTTTTCGTGCATCATATTTTCGCTCTGACTGTGGATCTAGCGGAGAATTTTGTTTGTAAGGAAAGACAGTCTTCGTCGCAATGAAGTAGATGGCCCGAGTATAAACTGCAATAAATTTCAAGCCAATGGAACTCATAATGTAGAAGCATTAGCTACCTGAATTATTCGCATCTATGTCCTGGAAAATGACACACATCCTCAGCCGTGGTGGCGATTATTTGGGCGATGGGATAGATTTACTTGTTATCGAAAGAGAAAAGTTGTTTTTGTTTTCTTGCAAGACACAGTGTCATCGATCGACGTTGTTCCCATGATAGCTCCAGTTTTGCAATAAGAAGTAAACAAGGACGGAAGAGCTCGCATCATAGCTTTGGTTTACATTCGTTCGTTCAAAATCATAACATTATGTGTTTTATCCTTATCGATATATCATCCGTAACAATTTAAGGAGGGTTATAATTCTGGAACCACCCAGGATTTTCATCTCTACCACTATTAAGTATAAATTAAAGTTTGTATAACACTTACCAAGCTTTTCGTAAAAAACAACCTTCCGAAAAGTGTCCTCAAATCATACACATTTTGCACCTTTTCGTGCAACAAAACATTTTCTGCCTAAATGTGCTGGATTTAGCCGTGAGGCTATGTCCTTACGTAGCACGGAGGGGAAAGCAAAATTATGCATTGAGCTATGAGTTTCCAGGGCATAAAATATTTAAATCATTCAAGGCTCTAGCCGTTGTCCTGGTTGCCTTGCCCATCCAGAGTCTCGATTGGTAGAACATATTTCTACCTCGACAGTACCATCCTCGCCTAATGGTCATCAGTCTAGATAGGGCTATCAATGTGACCATTTTGATATCATCTCTTTGTCGAGTTGAAAAAGTGTAATTTTCTCACCCAGCAGGTTGTCAGTCTTTGGTGCTAGCAACCCATTGTAGTTATTATAATTTTTTCTAAGATGTTCAAATGCAGGGCTCAAGGTGTGCGGAATAAAATGTCATTTAAACGAACTGCGTTACAATTGGAATAAAAAATATCAAATTTGAAATGAGCAGAATGTTTGTCGAGTATTTCCCTCTGTCGTGACATTGGTGTTTTCACATGCTTATTTAGCTTTTGTGCAAAGCCTGAGGGAAGACAATAAAGGAAATTTTCCTCATTTGACAGTGCAAATTCAGTAGATCCTTTGTATTTCATCGGTATCTGCATTTTGTCACTTACATGTAATTTACATAATTATTCTGTACTTACTCTGCATTAAAGCGTAAACGACTTTCTAACAGAATCCTTCGCTTTTTTCCCACGAAATCTCACCAAAAATGTAGAAGAAAAAGAATTGAAAGTTGTTTTCTATTCTCCTGATCGTTTTTAAATGTTTCAGGTATGACTTGTTTGATTTACATTTCAGGCCAATTACTTTTACGTCATCCACCTTCAGTTTGACAACCAAATCTGCAATGTGGCTCTCTAACGAGTAGCATAACAGTTATTGCATTAGAAAAGAAAACATATTTGCGTATGCCTCGAACAGGTGATCGCAAAGACAAGTCGGACGAAAGATATCTATGTCAGTTCACATCACTTTTATTAGTCAAGCTTTAGCTGAGTTCTCTAACTGATTCAGATTTGAACGTTTGAGAATTTTCCTGCGATACAAAGATCGAAGAATTCGTACCGCAGTCGGCGCAAGGTAGGGTTTAAGTTCCGTCAGAGCTGTTGCTTGAGTATAAACTAAATGAAGATACAGAAAGAAACATTAACAACCGAAAAAAAATGCGACGGAAAGTTGATGTCGATTGGGAAAGCAACGGACAACAATCCTGTATAACTACATGAGATACGTGTTATTGCACTAGAAGAAATTTGCTGTTCATGTATTAGTTAGGTCGGGATGAGAGATAACTGGTTCATTTGTTACACTAAATGCAGATCTTGTGTACTATCCATTTTTCCTTATGATCTTTCTCTCTTTTTTCGATTATTAAATGTAAAAATTTTACGAATTAAGAAAAATAGGGAGGTGATCATAAAATATTTCGCAAAATTTGACTTTTGTAATAGGAAACGAGAAACATTATTTACACGGTACTGACAGATAAGCCTATTTATGTTCATTATGAAAGCGACATTGTAAACGTCAAAGACAAATCTTTAAAAGTCGAATTCCTGCTTAATGTAACTACTGACCGATCAAAATCTATTTTTAATTGTTCCTCTCTTTGATCACATGCAACAATCAGAAATTTCGGAAATGAAAAAGCCATGAGCCTTCCTCACAGTTTAGTTTGCGCTTTGTTTTTAGAAACAAAGGCTGTAAAGTAATTGGAAGAGTCCAATAAACGGTTATAGGTAGACCGAACTTTATTTTTATTTTATTTTTCAATAACCTTTTGGTTTTTGCTTTTTATGAGAAAGTCATTAACTATCCTAATCTTCAGGGGTGCTCTAGGTGCTTTTAGTAATTGAAAAGGTTGATTTGATGGCTACATCGATTCGACTTTTTTTTTCATTTTCATTTTCTTTTTCTATGTTGTTTCTCAGTTGGTTTCTGCTTCGTACGAAAGTACTGAAGGGTAATATACGAAACTTTTCTTCTTCATCCAATGCCCAACGACAAACGACATACGACATTCTCTTACTACGACCGATAGAAAATTGATTCGAAAGCGAAGAGTATACTTTAAGATTTAGGTATTTTGTTTTTTGTCATCGCTAGTGGTTTTGTTTCACGGGACAAATTAAACTTTCATTTCACATAAATATCAAAATTTATTTTGACCAAATTGTATGTGTGATGCAGTCAGTCATGCTGGGCTGATTGTAGTGTTGCTTATTTGAATTCACCGCCAATTGTGACCATTAAAATGGAGATCATTCGAGAGAATTTTACGTGGCATTGCATTGTATTGTATCATGCTAAAGTTTGACAAGCGCTGTAAAGAATGACATAATCGCATTAAATTTTTTTGATTGCGAAACCCTAGTGAAATATCTCGAAGGCTCAAAATCGCTAAATTCTGCAAAAGTGGCCCACCCATTCAAAGTTCACCAATTTCTTAATTATTCCTCTTTTCGTTTAGAAGTTGAAGATGTCATTCACAACGAAGCACTCCATGCAATTGTCCACTCTTTCGGATCATTGTCTCAGTCAGAGCCAAACATAAATGGAACTAAACATGGAAAATATAGATATATACTGTCATTAATGTTCCCACTGGATTCTCTCCAGAAGTACTTTTGCGTGAAACTTTTCGTTTTCCTGCAGTTTTTATGGGTAATATTTGCAGTTTTTCTTGCTGAATTTTCAGGCTGGCCACTATTAGCAGCAAGAGAGTTTATGTACAGTTTTACGGAAAAAAAATTTCATGATAACCGTGTAATGTCTGTGGTATTATGAAAAATCGCGAAAATGAAGATGCAACTAACCTTAGATAATGCAGAGGATTTCTACCAATCAACCAGCTTCCCCTCAAATCCTTGATCACAGACGCATTACACCATTGATTACTTTTAATTAATATCACATAGGAGATATGCGTGATTGTAAACTTTTGTTTACCTTTTGATTTTGGAACAGGACTTGTCGTCTCAAGGGTTACGTTAAGTCCAAGAAAATAGGTAAAGTGAATGTTAACTACGGCAATCTCTCTGATTTATACGGTTCTGTTTCGATCTGATGTAACTGGATGTCTCCAATCACTGTAAAAAAAAAGTCACGCAAAACAGGAGTATATTGATGATCGATTTGCATCAGTTTAGTTTTCATGTAGGCGAGCACCTGGCAATTATCGCGTCACAACGAGGAAAAACGCGTATAGACTATTCGCTTGGTAAGATACAGAGACAACAAAATCGGAAAAACTATATAAGAAAAAACGAGATTGGTTATGGTTGAAGCAAAGTTTGACACGTATTTCAGTTGAACAACCTTGAAAACGTTCGGCGAGATATCTCAAAGGTGAGCTAACAACCTTAATATTGATGTATACTCTGATTTACCTCTTAGAAGTGGTTACAATGGGTTTAAATAATTTTTCATTTCGTTTAGAGGGCTGTCGTGTTTTGCCGAATTCTTAAACTAATGAGTTTAATTTCTGTTATTATGATATCCCTGTAATTAATGATAAATGGCTTTTCAATACGGTTTGATCCTGATCTAGACGGATGTAGCGACTTAATTTCCTTTAGCTGCCTAATGTTTTTTCCTTTTCTGACAAATAGCATTTTGCCTGTCAATCGTATAGATGCACGTGAAGTGTTTTTAATTTCCTCAGCGGTATTATTCTGAATCACAGATGAAAACTCTTTGTGTATACATCTATTTAGCAGAAAGCATTATGGCGTTATACATAGGATAACGAACTAAGTTTGAAATAACGAAACATTAGCAGTGTTGGCCAAGAAAGAGAAAGTTAATTACGGCAGCAACAACAGGGAGTGACTTAAGTTTACAATTTAAAGTTTTTTAGCGGTGTTTCGTTTGTTTGTTCGGTTTTTTTTTTGCATTTTTTTCATCAGTTTAGATTTTAACACGAGAAATAATTTGAGTTTGTGAACTTCAACAGTTTAGGCGTACAACAGAGTTCAAATTGGACTGGCCATTTAGTACCATAGATTGAATGATCTCCCGACAAACCCTATTAACAAGAATATTTCTAGTCATAACCTTTTCGCGCAATCGTCTGAGTTTCGGTTCGGTCTCTACTACCGATATAAGTTGAATTTTGGTCATTTCGTATTTTTCCCCCTTTTTTTTAAACAAATGTTAGTGTACAACAATGGAAAAACTAGATCATAAACCATAATCGCTCTTTGAAATTTTATTTTACTGACGCACCTTCCACCTTTAATCCGGTGTCGACAGTTTTTTTTTTCTTATTTTGATACCTAGGTAATAAAGGGAATATTTAAAACGCTACAATAATATTGGAAATCCTAAAACTACAACAATATTTAAATTAATGTTCTACTAATGTCACGAAGGCTTAATTACACTTTTGATACATATTTTCATCTATTAGATTTCCTATGAACTTGATCTCGAATTCTTTCTAGCATTCTTTTCATCAAATTTTTGTCTGTGGCACTATTTTTCTAATTTCTCTTTCATAAGTCGAAACGTATTTATTTTTCATAATTAGCAGTTCTTTTCTACATCATACCCAAAAACTGAGGTACGCTGTCTTGAAGGAATTAGAATAATTTTGGTTGTCAAAAATTTCCACTTTCTTGCTTTCGTGCTTTCAGTTATTGAATGTCAAATATTCCAACAACATATGACACGTTCTGTTGTCACAGCTGAAATGTGTTATTGCATTCGCACGACTGGTGTTTCACACCTATCAGTCAAAGGCTGCAAAATACAGTAAAAGAAAGTTGCCTGAGCCACAAAATTTTCATAGCGAATAATTATTTTTCCAATCTGTTTCTGAAATTCTTATCATTTTTGTGACCAGAGGTGCTATTAGAAATCTAGCCTTGTCCGCTTTCTCTCGATAAAACAGCAAGTTAACCGCTCAAATCTAGTATGATTAATAAACACTTGAAAAAGAATAGTTTTTACGCTGGTCACATCCCCTTTTGGCTCAAAAAAGTGATCATGTTGGGGATGTAATTAAAGTTTATAATTAACGGCACTCTACTATGTGGCTTCAGGTTTGCGCGTAATAAGCACGCAGATAGTAAAATTGTTTATTGTTTTTTTAGAGGGCACGGTAACGAATCTTGCAATCTGATTGGTTCTTTACCCGGTCAGTATTTTCCTATCTCTGCCCACGGGCTACGGTAACGCTTTCGTGAGTCGCCGAGTACATCCCAACTTTCGTTGTCATTTTTCATAAATATACCAATATATTGCTTATATATATAAGCAAACACGTCGGTCACTACCTCAAGCCGATAAATAACTTATGAATCCTCTCTTTTCTCTCTATCAAATCACTTTGGTTGACAGAAAAATATTGGTTTCAGAATGAATTTGTATAAACAATAGTGTCATTACGTTGGTTGACAAGCGGCCTAAAAACCGTCTGCAATTAATTTTAATCGTTCACAAAAAGTACCCAGAAAGTTGAAACGTGAGGTATTTGGCTACAGTTAAACTGAACGATGGAACTTTCATTCATTTAATATCTGAGTTTTCTCGAGCAATTTGTTCATAGTAAAAAAAAAGCGAGCGAAGTTTTAATTTCAGTTCTAAAGTGAGTCTTTCCAATTCCGTTCAATTTGGACATTTGTACCTTAAATTGTACAACAGAAATTGAAGGAATTGAGAAAAGGCTGCATTAAATTCCCTTGTGTCTCGTTGGAGTGTGCCGTTCGAATTTAGTTTTTGTGAAGGAAAGATCAGAGTTAAACACGCCATTACAGCAAACAAACGAGCAAACTCCCACAACTTCAAAATAAAAAATTGAATTTACTCACAATTACTTTCCTCGCCGTTTACTTAATGAACAGAGGTAAATCTTCGTACATGAAAGAATGGTCGATGAGAGTAAATAATACTTTCCGTTAGATCATTAACTGATTTTTAAGAAAACATTGTCGTGACAGTCCTTGCCAAACTAGTTCTGTTGGTTTTCAAATATTCCTGAGATTTTTTTTCTTGCGCGCTCTCTAATTGACAGGTGTCAGATTGTGACAGATACTTGTAAAAATAATGTTTCAAAGTTTGTTTGGAAGCCTTTTGAATCACCTTTATCGTTACGGAAATGAAAATGTTTCGCTGAGGCATCTCTCTTAAATTTGCATCACCTCTATTTAACTACCATTTACTCACTCAAATATTGTTCAGTTTATGGAAGATCTTGCCGTATTTACGGCCATAAGTCATTCGGGTTCTTTCGGAAAGAATTTCGTCAAGTTTAAAAACAATAAATATGTTATTTACCGGCTAAGGGTCGGTCCGTATGGTGAAAAACTGTGACCTCGGTCTTGAAAATGCTCAACGGTCACAGTTTTTCACCATACGGACCTCCCAGCCGGCAAATAACATATATATATATTCCATTTCAATAAACTGATTTATTTTTTTTTTAGAGGGCACGGTAACAAATCCTACAATCTGATTGGTTCTTTACCCGGTCAGTATTTTCCTATCTCTGCCCACGGGCCACGGTAACGCTTTCCTGAGTCGCCGAGTACATCCCAACTCAGTTTCGTTACCATTTTTCATAAATGTATCTCGTTTTTCCGGCTGGGCAGTATTTTTAAGCAAACACGTCGGCCACTACCTCAAGCCGATAAATAACTTATGAATCCTCTCTTTTCTCACTCTCAAATCGCTTTGGTTGACTGAAAATATATTGGTTTCAGTATGAATTTGTTTAAGCAATAGCGTCATTACGTTGGTTGACAAGCGGCCTATAAACCGTCTGCAATTAATTTTAATCGTTCACAAAAAATACCTAGAAAGTTAAAACGTGAGGTATTTGGTTACAGTTAACTGAACGATGGAACTTTCATTCATTTAATATCTGAATTTTCTCAAACAATTTGTTCGTAGTGAAAGAGCGAGAGAAGTTTTAATTTCAGTTCTACAACAAATATACGCTCCCGGTGAGTCTTCCAAGTCCGTTCAATTTGGACATTTGTACCGTAAATTGCACACCAGAAACTGAAGAAATTTATTGAGAAAAGGCTGCATTAAATCCCCTTGTGTCTCGTTGGAGTGTGCCATTCGAATTTAGTTTAAAAAAAAAAAATTAAAAAATTTGAATTTACTCACAATTACTTTCCTCGCCGTTTCCTTAATGAACGGAGGTAAATCTTCGAACATGAATGAATCGTCAATCAGAGTGAATAATACTTTCCGTTAGATCATTGACTGTTTTTGAAGAAAACATTGTCGTGACAGTCCTTGCCAAACTAGTTCCGTTGTTTTTCAAATCTTCTCGCTCTTTTTTTTTTCTTACGCGCTCTCTAATTGACAGGTGTCAGATTGTGACAGATACTTGTAAAAATAATGTTTCAAAGTTTGTTAAGAAGCCTTTTAAATCACCTTTATCGTTGCGGAAATGAAAATGTTTCGCTGAGGCATCTCTCTTTAATTTGCATCACTCTATTTTAACCAGTAACTCGCTCAAAAACTGTTCAGGTTATGGAAGATCTTGCCGTATTTACAGCCCTAAATCATTCGGGTTCTTTCGGAAAGAATCTCGTCAAGTTTAAAAAAAATAAATATGTTATTTACCGGCTAAGGGTCGGTCCGTATGGTGAAAAACTGTGACTTCGGTCTTGAAAATGCTGCCCTCGGCCTACGGCCTCGGGCAGTATTTTCAAGGCCTCGGTCACAGTTTTTCACCATACGGACCTCCCAGCCGGCAAATAACATATATGTATGATTTGTTTGGAGAAAGGATTATAACCTCTCCAACTTACAGTCGAGAAATTTGAACAAAATCAATGAAAGTGAATCTGGAAAAGACATATTTTCTTTACAATTGACATATGAATTCAAATTTAGAATCGTTTTTGGTAAATTTAGCTTTTAGTTAATTAGAATATTCTCATTTTTCCCTACCATAACAGATTATATATTTTCAACTTTTTCTTCTTTTACCTCAAGTTCAAGGAGACAAGCCTAAAGCAACTGCGGAATATTATCAGCCGTGTACAATCAGGGATGATTTTAATTTCGAAGGTTCCTTTGGAACGTTCAATCGAGAAGCGCTCCAAACGGACCTTGTCTCACCACTTGAGAAGAGTGTAGAAGTCATAATGAACGTCACAAACAGTGTCATGTTCAGTGATTTAAAAATACATATCGTTTGTTCACTACCTTTTTTCTCTCTTAGCTGACAGAATATGGAAAACTCCACGTCGCAGTATCTAACAAGCATGGATCACGCCCTCTGCATAACATTTTGGGTGATCGCTGTTGTTTCCTTTGTATTAAACTTATTGTTTGCCATTGTAATTGCGAGGAAACCTTCCATGCTAAAAAGGCCTCATAATATTCTACTGTTTAGTTTGGCCATTACTGATATGCTAACTGGTGAGTTTATGGCAATTCTCTTGTGTTTTGCGGTTATGGTTCTCTAAACAATCTCCATTGCAACATTTACCTCAGTTTTTTTAAATTACTCTTTGTTATCACTTTAGTTTTGGATTTACGGCTGTAAGCCCACAATCAAAGTACTTTAGTATATTTTGACTAGAAGATAATGCGCTGTTTTTTCTCCTTCAGGAGTCTTTCTCTTAGCTACTCCCGGATATGCCATTCCCACGTCTGAATACCCAGTCCCTCTTGGATTACGCGGTGAGATTTTTTGCCGTTTGCTCGCCAACAGATATATCCTGTTTGCATTGGGAAAAGTTTCCATCCTTCTCGTGGCCTGTCTCGCCATTGAACGATGGTACTGCGTGTTAAGACCATTCAAATACAGGCATCAATTTAAAAGAAGGCGTACCATTCTGTATGTTGCCATCACGTTTATGATCACGTGTATTCTGTCCATGAATAAGTTGTTCGAAACGAGCTTACATGGTAGCAAGTGTGTCACTGATAAAGCTCCATACGGTATTGACGGTACTCGAGTGTTTGTCATCGCTTACAGTTTTGTGGCATTTTATTTTCCCTGTTTGGTAACATGGCTCACATTTGCCAATATCATGCGTAATCTTCCATCATCTCCTGGAGAAAGTGCTGAGAGTGTCAACAAACGAAGGCGACAGAGATTGTTACTGCGCATGTGCGCTGTAACTGCAGCAGCCTTGACAGTGTGCGGCTTTCCTTCGCAGACCAATTACATTCTAAGCTCTTTTGGTATTACAGAAGTTAAAAGCCCTTTGCATAAGATGTTCAATGTTCTGGTGTTTTTTAATTCCTGCATGAATCCCATGATATACTGCCTTACTAACAAAGATTACAGAAAAGAGTTCAAAAGACTTCTTGGATGCCACCGAGGTAACGAAATATCTCCAGAAACGGACCATGGCACCACTCTCCACTTGGAGCAAGCAGAAAAAGATAAAGAGATAACGTCCTAGCTCCCCCCGTGTGAGGCATATAAGGAGAGGAAGAGATCTTGGTCTCAAACAAGAGACAACTTATGTTCCCTTATCCCGGGATTGCTTCTCTCTTTCGTGGGCCTCAGTACCTACAACGTAATCTCATAAAGATATTTTCCTTTTCATCTGGACTGGCTATCAGCAAGGACATAAATGACAAATCAATGCTCTATTGGGGTTCCACACTATAGAAATAGAGGAAAGAAATTTTTTTTCCTACAATTTTTTCTTTTTTCTTGTCCCAGACCGAATAAAGACGCAGTAATTCTGCCTCTAAATAAAGCAAGTTGAATGGTAATTTATGACAATATGATAAAACAATAATGTATCATACGTAAAATATATGGACTGGTGTAACCTTTGGTAGCAGGTATTACCAGTAAATCATTTAAAACAAAACCGCTAATAATTGGTCGCAACTGCAAATTGACTTTTTGGGCATGAGTAAACCGAATTGAACTCCTTTTGTTAGTTTCGTTTTTGACACTTAATCTGATAGGACTCTGAATACAATCTCGGAATAATAAGAAATAAGAGATCATGGACCACACATTTTTGTTAAATCAGCGAAAATATCTTAGTGAAAAAGCTGATCTGGCCAGCGTGGTCTGACCATGTTTTAGTCAGTCGCAATGAATAATAGGGATGATTAGGATAATTAAATGCCTGGCAGCATGCAAAGTGAGCTTTGTACATTACTATTAATATTGTAAGTATATGTAAACGAGGCAAGGATCACACTGTGAAAGCTCAAATTAAACTTAAGGTATGTATTTGAACGAGATTTTCCTTCTTATGTGTCAGCTAATTTCATTGTGTAGGAGTGTATAAGGGCTAAAGGGATCTCTAAAATGGCAAGATTACAGTTTTAGTACAATCAAGAGAGGATGGTTCCCTTGATATAACGTATCCAATGCGTGCCGTTGTAGGAATTGCAAAATTTATCTTTCAAAGGTCGAATTGAGTATGAACTTTCAAATTACAGTCGAACCTGTATTAGGCGGTAAATGATTGACTCAAAAAGCACAGCTCCAAGCCAAATTTCGTGTTCTTGGTTAAACAGAAAACCTTTCGTCTTATTGCGCTTTCCTAACAGGAAATCAGGATTTTACCGAGAAATTTATGAGCTCTATTAATTCCCCTACATCTGGGTTTCTTCTGATTGCCAAGGCATTTGAAATGCAAATTTGCGTAGTCAGGCCACATTTGCGTGAAGCCAAACGATTTCCGGTGCACGTGGAAAAAAAATAAGATTAATTTCTGTTTTAACCAATATTCCTCATTCATTCCAAAATTAGCAATTTTTTAAGGACCGCTTTTAGTAGGGTTTTTGATTACTGTATCTATTTCTACTTCACCTGATATGATCGTGAAAAATGGCTGTTACATTTTCTTATTAATTTTAAACCCACTGCTACTTTAAAATGAAATCTTTGGAACTTAAATGCTTTTCTTCGAGTACTTAAAATTATAGAAAACTTAACTGATTTGGTTCAGCGTGGTAGATATAGTTTTCTTCCACCGTTCCGTCCTGTACAAACATCAGAGGTTGTGTTACATAAGCTAACTAATCTGATTTCCGGTTTAACGTCAGGTCACGTCCAGGACGGTATCCGGTCTAGCAAGTTTTGCTACTTGGTAACCTGCCTTCTGATTTTATACGCTCTGATTGGCTGAGCCAGCCGAAACCGCCGTGAAACATGTTTTTGTTGTGTACAAGGAAAAAAATTTTTGCAAGCGAGCTGGAAATACCGGCCTAACTGCATTTGGAAAATGTACTCGTTGTCGTTCATTCGTTTCTTTTTTCACTCCGGTGGGATTTCGTCTGTTTTCTAACGGAAATATGAAGTTTACAATCCTAGAGCCCGACGGAAAGGCACACGATTTCGTTCTGACAGGCGACAAACTGGGACAAGAAGCATTAGACAAGGTAAGAAGCACGAGAAACGCTGAACTTGCAAATGTAGTTTAACGTCAAATTTTCTCCTGAAAGATGAGATAATTTTATCATTCAATGACTCTTGTTACTGTATTTCTCAGGTCTGTGAGCAGCTAGGAATAAAGGAGAAAAATTATTTTGGTCTTCGACACACTGTGAATGATATCGGAGTCTGGTTAAATCTGAGAAATCCAGTGTCAACTCAACTTCGCCCTCATTTACCTGGAAAACCTCATCGGCTCCGCCTTGAGGTTAAATTTTACGTAGCACCACAAGAACTTCAACAGGAGGAAACGAGGTGAGCTAATTTAGTTTTCGTTTTGTGCAAGTTTGAATCACTGCACGTTTTGTTCGTTTTGAAACTTAATATGCTGGGTTTTTATAGAGAGGTCGCGACAGCTTGTCACTGCATTGCACGGACGACCATTATTTCAAAATGTTTTTGATCCTGTCGTTTTTTCACTTTGATGAATGATCAAGTGACAAATTTTTCAACTGAGAATACAATTTTGTGGCTTTTAGACAACAGTTTTACCTCTGTCTCAAGAAGCAAATGGCCGACGGAAAATTCAATTTGACACAAGATAACGCTGTTCAGCTTTGTGCTCTCATGGCCCAGGTGGAGTATGGAGATTACTCAAACATGCCTAGAATCTACCCACAGTTTCTTTCACCTTGGGGCCGAGAAGACATGGACGCAAAAATAGCTGAGGCACATCAAAAGCTACAAGGGATGCCTTCGTCAGTTGCAAGAGATTCATTTCTCAATGTTATGTCCAAGGAAGAGCTTTACGATGCAGAAAATTTCAAGGCCAAAACAGGCAAGCAAAAAGTCATGGTGGCAGTTGGAAGCAGTGGATTGAAAGTGTACGAGAGAAGAACCCATGGAAAACTCAAGCAAAGGTAAGGGACTGATTGAAATGTTTTTTATCAATAACTTTCAGCTTTTGTTACATTGGGTCAACTTTTAATTGTTTTAATGTCGTATTTGGTCCCGCAGGGCCAATCGTCTCTGGCTACTTATTTACCAACATCTTAAGCTTTTAACAAAAGCAATGGATTAGAAACCGAAAATGAAATGTAAAAACAAATTTTCCAATCTTTTATCAAAAAAATTTGTTTAGATAGGAATGACAGTGAGGTTGCAGGGACCTTTGTTTTTTGAACTCAAACAAATTTTTGCGCTTGTGTGATAGGTTTGTTTTGTCAAAATCACGTATAATTATCTTTTGTCATCGGATTTGATGCTCATCTTACCTTTTGTTTGAAGCTTTATCTACTTTCTGATGGTAATCTTGAGGGGTGTAGATTTCAGGAAGACTTTTGGGAGGGTATCTTATAATTACCAATCATGGTATGACAAAATCTTTTCTTTTAAAACATCAAGAGTTTTTTGTTAGCTTCATTGTTTTTGTAGGGTTAGTAAGCCTGGTTGTATGCTTTTATTTGGTAGCCAGGGTGAATATGTGGTAATTAAAAAAATCTGAATTTTGAGCTCATTGGCAAAGGGAGAGGAGATGTAATGCTACCTTTTGATCATCAGAAAATATGCATCCTTTTAAAAACTCGCTGGTAACCCAGGGCTGTCAGTAATTTTGAAAATAGAAGGCAAATTAAAAGTAGAAGGTTATTAGGTTATTGTGGGCTCAGTGTTGCTTCCTCAGAATACAAGTAAGATTAGGAACTATTCAGTTTCAGTGTCCCTGCATACATGCCATACAGTTGGCATGAACCTTTAGGCAAATTCTCAACATGGGTTTGATTCACACATCCAATGCAGTTACTGGAAAATTATCTAGTGACCTCTCTTAAAATTGACAAACAGCTGCTGTACAAATTTCTTTAACTGTATTTCAATAATTGTGCAATTTTTCATGAGTAATTATGTTGACAAAGGAAGTGAGAGTAGCCACTAAATACGACAGACCAGGGGGCAACCTTGATGGGCTAACTGCTATTATTGACAGCTCTGTGAATATGTTTTAGCCACAATCAGATGATCAGTGCCACTTATTGGGGGGAGGAGGGTGGTTGTTATTAATCATAAAGAGAGCTGAGGCACTGAGAAACTTTACCTTTGGTTGGGAAATGAAGAAAAATTGCTTTCTACAATTACAAGTATCAGGGCCTCCTCTTTTTCCTCACTGTGTGGATCCTGTATTGATCATCAGCAGAGTTTTGATAGATTGAATCAAGTGGTTTCCAAAATGTTCAGTGGCTCTCCTGAGTAGCATTTCTCTATCCAATGCACTTGGCTTGTCCTGCTTTTCTATAGTTTCTCAGTAGTTCTTGCCCCTAAGTCTAGGGTTTTTTTAAATGCATTCAACAAATGGAATAGAGTAACCCAATCAGGAACCTGCTTATGAACGAGTACATGTAACTGTTATTTGCTAACTCCACTTTTGAATGGTGAATGAAGGGTAATGCAACTGTATTTATCCAATTTTGTAGTTTGTGTTGACTTAAGATCTTTGAACTTAATTGCAGCATTGGTTTTGAAAGCATAATGAAGATGAATGTGTCTGAAGAGCGACTGATTGTTGTGTTGAAGAAAGTGTCTGAAAACAGCAAGTTGAACTTCATCCACTTCTTCTTATCCAGCAGCGATGCTGCAAAAGCAATGCATAAGGCTGCCATGGAGCACCAACTATTCTTCTACTCTAGTAAAGTTCGACAGTCAGTTCTCAACCATTATTTGCTTTCCACTCCATGTTGGGCTCTGCCAGCCAAGTGGTTCACCAAGATGCCACCAGGTGAGCTTTTTCACTTGGATGTGAAACATACAAGGCGTCAGGCATACGATCTTCACTATGAAAAAGTTCATGAAGACAGTGACTCTGTGTTTAGACACAACTGGGTTTCAAAGTGCTCCAATTGTACCTCTGAAGAAGCTAATGCTCTCTTCACACCATGTGGGCACCTTGTTTACTGTAGTGATTGTGCAAAGGCTGAATCAGCCTGCCCTGTGTGTAATACTGTTGTTACCAGCTGGCAAAGGGTTTATTTCTCCAATGACTCAGAGTGTGATGATTGGACTTGCCAGATTTGCATGGACTCTGAAATCAACACTGCATTTTCCCCATGTGGACATGTTTGTGCATGTGAGAAATGTTCATGCCATCTTCCTTACTGCCCAATGTGCAAGACATTCATTACCTTTGTTCAGAGAATTCATGTTCAGTTCCCTGAACAACCTGGTGAAAGTGATGATGATGATGGCTATAATTCATCTTGAGTTTGGTTGTTCATCATCGACTTGAGTTAACTGTTAGTTTTTGGTGGATACATGTTAGTTGCCTTATTGATCAACCATATCTGAACAAGGTTATGCTTAAATGATGATCTGCATTTTGTAATTTACAGACTGTTGTAAGATTTAAGAATAATAGTTATTCACACCAGCTGTTTTAAACATTTGTGGGACTTCAAGATTGATTGAAATTGTCTACTACATAATGTTAATCGATAATATTGACTATAATGGTTATCCAGTGGCATAGCACAGCATGTCAATATCACATAAAGACCAGTTATCTGTGATAGAAAGTTGTCATTGTTATTTCTTTTTTCTTTGTGATCACATAAAATATGATAGTACTTGATTTATTCATGAGACTGTAAATCTGAGCTAGTGCATCTAGGAAGTTACTTTTTTAGATTGACACACTTGTACAGTGTTGGAATGTGTTCATCCAATAATTTAAAAAAATTGAAAAAAATTATAGTAAGGAAATTACATGTAACTATTATCTCATTCGGTAGATGATATTATGATCTTTGTCAAAATAGGAGATATTTATTTGTGGTATTCAGAAGTTCATGATCCGGCCATTACTAAATATTTTGTTGTAACTAGTATTGTGTACTTAAACCTAGATATTTAAAGTTGGCAAAAGTTTTCAAACTGCTGAAGTTTTTAAGATGTATCTTAAAGCTCTAATAACAATTATGTATTAACTTAAAGGAAGATATTGGAGTTGTGTGACATAGAATTGTAGCTTCTATACAAATGAATTTTTGCAGAGAAGTGTTAGAGGTTTTTCCTGTGGAAAATTATTGCATCAGTTGATTGGAGTATTGTGATGCAAAGGAGCATTGATGTTAGTTTTTTGACTAAATTAAAATAAATAGATATTTCAACTCTTTATTATTATTTTTTTGTATTTACTATGTTTTTCTTTGGGATTCCTTGAGCAGATGTGGGATTGATTTGCATTAAAATTTTTTTTTTAACTTAAAACTTCATCTTCATGAGTTAGTGGGGAAGTCTAACTAGGGCACAGTTTTGTTAGAGATAATGAATCCCACCCTCTTGCCAAAGTATGGATACATGTAGATACATTTTTATACACACCTAATTTCAGATTAGATCAAAATTGTTTGTGAATAGCTGTATTAGGCTGACACCTAGCAAAGTCTTTGCAAAAGATCGGACAGGAAGGCAGTTCCTTGATGAACCAAGTGCTTAGAACGTGAACATACCTGAAATTTTATACATTTAGTCAAGATATGTACAGTGGGAACCCTGTCCAAATTCCGATGACCAAGGCGGCTGATAATGTTCATTTTAAGCAAGGGAATTAATGTAATTTTATAGTATTATCTGTTTAATCTATTCGACATCATAGTTTCTTGACTGAATGAGCAGGGAACACAAATTCAAGAACCTATCAAAATGTGAGTATGATTAGCTTATCTTGTGTATAAGCGCAGACGCGAAGAAACTCAGATCTGCGTTTAAACATATAGGTACGGTTCCTCCTTTTTTCAATTTTTTGCAATTTATTCTTCTTTGCTTAAAGTTATCTGGAATTTAGATGTGTGCCCATGCGTAGGAATTGACTAAGGACTGAGAGGGCTCGTTCAAAATTCAAAGGGGAAATGATAATTGATGCTAGGTTTTATATTCAAGCTAAATTTTGAATGGAATTGTTGACATGAGTTTGAGGTCTATTGGTTTTGTTTTTAATCCATGTAACAGTGTTGGATGTTCCCTTCATTTTCTTTTTTGAAATAAGATAAAGTTCCGGCGAAAAATGAGGAACTGGGTGGCGCGCGTTTATATTACACCTGCTCTTGTGACGTCACGTTGGCTGCGCTCAGGGTGAAGAAAGGGTTTTTTTCTCTATTATACTATCACTTTGACAGAGCAAATCAGCTTTGTGTGAACACAGTTAAAAACGTAAACAGTACGCTTCCCGGGATCATTTGTTTACAAAAATGAAACGTGGCCACAGAGTTGAGGTCCTTCTGTAGTCGAGTTAAATTTGAAAGGTAATTACCGGGTAAAGGAGTCATCTCAACAGGGAAACGCAGGATATCTGGTAATTGTCTTATCACCGGGGAAATTTCTAGCAACTTGAGTGTTATTGTGCGAGATTCTGCGTGACGCAGGCCTTGTAACAGCCAGCGAATCTTCGTTGGATTGAATCACCGTTACTCTTTGTTTTAACTTAAAGTTGTAGCTTCGTCTTTCACTTGTCGCCTGACTTTATTGACCGAAGGAAAACTGCTTTCATTTTTCGGACTGTTCGTTAATTAAATTCAACAGAAATCACGAAATGAACTCAGAAAAAGATGACAAAAACACGACGGGATGCAAAGTGCAGATGACCACGGAAAATGCGAAACCAAATAGATATGAATTATATGGCAAAAGTGAGACTGGGAAGGTGGTAGATGCTAATTTGAAAACGTCACCTTCTCCAAATTCTACAACAAACACAGTCGGACTGAGTGTGCTGAGCCGAAGAAATCCTCGCGAGAGAGGATTTACACTGCACGTTAAAGAGCTTGTTGTCCCAGGCAAGGATGATGGAAATTTAAACTCAGCACTTACAGCGCAAAGACCAAGAAGCGCCATCAGTGCCGAGCAAAGCAACTTTTGCAGTTTGTTTGGCATTTCGCTTAGTCAACCGTTGAAGTACAGTCGTAATGCTGTAAACATCAAAGAAGTCATGGGAAAACAACGAAGATCTTCGTGTTCGGATCTTACCAAACGGAACTAAACTGAGGAAGCTCTAAAAACTAAACAACGTAGAAAATCAATGCTTCCTTCGATTATTATATTGCCTGAATTCTGCGTGCTAGATGAAAGCGGAAAAAGGAGAAGGCAAACTGGCACTTATTTCAGAGAACTTCCGATGTTTGTTTCCTAGTCCCCCAGTCATTCCTCGTAAAAAGGCAGGGCTTTTGGAAACATATTCATCCGATCGTTTAGTAGATTTTCCTGCTAATATTTAAACGAAGTTTACTTCCTAATAGGAGATGAACGCAGAAAATCAAAAATAAAATATTGTAAATTAAGTTCGAGGGGCTGTTCGAAGTTAGCTAACATACTGATTAAAAAAACATAATATTTAAGAATTCTTTAATGGCTAAGAGCTTCAGTCAGATAAGCTACAGCGGATAACCTTACTTTGTTCAATCTAAAATAAAGCCATACGAATCCACTTTCTTCCTTTTTATTTCAGAGTCTCAATCAGATATATACGTTTCATACATCAAGGGGCGTAAAGCTAATCTCAATGTCAGCGAGATTTAGCAGTTAATCTTTATGCGTGAAACAGGGCCTTTTGTGGATAAATCTGACCTAATTCCTAAACCAAAAACAATTAGAATTTCATAGCTACTAAAAAAATTTACATACTGTTAAAAACAGGACTTAAGATGTCAAATTGAATTAATGAGGAAGATTATCATTGGCAATATAATTTCATCCACGGCTCAGACTTTCAATTTGTAAAAATGTTCGAAACGTATGACTAGTTTTCAAGGAAATCGGATAAAAATTTTGAGCCCTTCAAAAAAGAAAACTGTAAAGAAACCTGCCACTGGTCGTAAGCTCCTTTTAGAATAACATTCTGTTTGTCAGATGAGCGCAGGTGTTTTTTCAATGATGTCCTAAGTTATTGTGTTTACAGGCTCTGTTATTTCGTCTTCATTTTCCCACGTGCAACGCCCACTTTTGGAAGGATATCCAAAACTATCAAATTATTATCGCATAAAAATAGATATACTGATCAGTAAAAAAAGAATAGATAAAAATTTAAAAATCACGAAAAATATGATGAGATAAATGAAACTTTTCTTGTGAAGTTGTCGAATAAATTTTGTTAACGAATATAGTTATTTTATTTTAAGCAAAGTAAACAGGATGTGAAGACAGCAGGTCTGAAACGCACGTCACGGGTCACGGATCACGAGAGGCGGGTTATGGGTTACATCGATGAAGTAAAAAACTATCTTAAAATAGATAAGACAACTTTAGTTGAGCTGCGGTCATTCTACGAGGGAAATGCCATTCAGGTAGATATAGAGTACTAATATCTTTCAGAAGACCGTGGGTTGAATTTACCTTAAATAAGAAGAATTTGTATTTAAATTTGGAGTCCTAAATCGTCATGCTGATATTAGTGGTAAGAAAGATATACAGGTATTTTACTTTTACAGCAAAAGTTTTCAGGAATTTTTTACGTGATTATAAATCAGTACATCGTTTGCTGCGTGTGCTAGTTAATATGAAATATGATGGCTTATCAGACCACGAGCTACTTTCTTTATTGGGAAACAGCGGTGGGGTATAATTGGGAAAAATTAGAGTTTGAAAAAAAAAATTGCACAGTTAATTTTCTTGGGCTGGAAGAGGAGTGACGGCGTCGATAAAATCTGGATCGGGCCGGATCGGATCACGGATGACGGATCGGATGACGGATCGGATGATGGATCGGATCGCGGATCGGATCACGGATCGGATCACGGATCGAATAGAAAAAGGAAGAAAAAAAGTCAAATCGTCTATAAAATAATAATACTTAAAAAAAAAATAGTAAAAAAAACTAAAATAGGTTATTGACATGACGGACCGTAGGCCCAACTGGAAGTTTTTTTGCCCCAAAACCCCATGTGGTCACTTCCATGGACTACTTGAAGCGCTTACGTGCAGTTCAGTACTTATTTCTAGAACAGTCTTGCTCCTCACCCCGCCTATTCTTTCGCGTAAGCTAAATGACATTGATAAAGGAAAAGTAGCATATATTCATGATATTAAAAAAACAATAATAACAATAACTGACTAATGAAATGATACGTACCTCTCGCTTGCCTTCGTCCATGGTGGCACTACACGAGACTCCTCGACACAGCCGTTTAAGTGACTACATGGGGCTTTGGGGCAAAAAAACTTCCAGTGGGGCCTGCGCTTCATTATATCATGCATACTTTATCTTAGCCTGTCACGCAACATTTCTATCCGATTCGTGATTTGGTCCGTGACCCGGACCGTGATGCGACCTGGTACGGTCCAGATTATGTCGACGCCGGAAGAGTGACTACTCCCTCATGTTGAGCTTACAAGATAAATAACATATCAATGGACTAGAGGTATGGACAGAGAATTTATCATTTAAACCTAATGAAAAAGCCATGACATTAATTTCCAAAGAACCGGGGTGAGGTTGGACATCAAGACTTGACTTAACAGCTTTAAGCTTTGGATCAAAATGTTCCACTCCACTAATGATTCAAGACTCAAGATTAGCTATGCGAGACGTTGAGTAAAATAAAATTAGTTTCACCTGTATACATTGTCCAGTAAAGACAGTTATGTTATATGCCTTTACACTGATTGTAAAAATAATTGACACTTGCTGTGCTTTGCAAAATTTTATTTGAACATCCCTTGTATTTAATTGACCCTTGATTTTGAAAAGCAAAGCTGATGACTGAATAAAATTACACCCACAATATATTATACTATATTTCATGCGTTTAAACTGATTGTAAAAATAGTTGACACTTGCTGTGCTTCACAATATTCTATTTCTCCTTGTATCTAATTGACCCTTGATTTTAAAATAGGAATTGGTTATCCACAGATTTAAGGCCACTTGGATAAAATATGAAGAAGTTAATGTATTGTCTGTTCATATGTGTCAAAAAAATTACTCAAACTCCTAACAAAGGCTTATATATGGTTATTAAATTTTACAACAATTCTGATTGTGAGAGAGCTTTCACTTGTATTCATTTAGCATTCAAGAACAGGCCACTGTTGCTCATTTGTGTTGCATAGTTTCCAGCATATCTTGAAAGAAATGTAACAGTATCAGTATTACTTTAAGAGGGATGACAATGTCAACTTGGTTAACATATATAAAGTAAATCAAATATAATCAAACCTATGCTAATTTCAAAGTGCAGGTTGTAGTTCATTAGTTGGCAGCCAACTGACTGTTATTGACCTTTTTAATTACTTGTGCTATTGCTTCCTAATCTAAAAGCCATAAATCATAATAAAGGGATTGAAAAGCAAACTTGGTGACTAAATAGAAGTACACCTATAACATACTAACAGTACATTACTTGAATGTACTGATCAAGTTTCAGTATTTAAACACATGCCACCCTTTTTACTACATTTGCTAATATCATTGTTTGAATCAAATTGATTGGTTGAGGATGCAGATCAACTTTTTATATAACCAATAATGGAAATCAATGAACAAGATGTTTGTTGGGAGTTTAAGTCATAATTTTTTGTCTCTGATTTGCAAATTCATTGAAATTGACGTTACAGAAAATATTCTGCAAATTTCTTACTTAAACTTTTGAAGAATTTTGTGACTTGGAAGCCTTCTCTTAAAATGTATTTAAAATACCTTAACATAATGGGCCTTTGCAACAATTTCTGGATTGAAACCAACCCATTCATTGCAACTTGTCATTAACTCAACATGTTCACGTCTGTGTCCATGTGTTTCATTTTGCTCCTTTGCAAATGAGCAAGAAATCGATATTACATCCCTTGGTGCAAGTACATGTAATTGATCTGCTGCATCCCCATCTTTGCACTTGTTGCAAATTAAAGTCGGCATCAAACTCTATTAGAGTCAAAATCATTGCTCAATTTAAATGATTCAATTTCACTAAATTATTGCTATATAGCACACCCAATCCCCTTTCCTATTATGCTCAAAATCGGAATCCTGAAGATTCATTAAGCAAGTGCAAAATGGTCAAAATGCGTTTATGACACCAAATGAAAAACATAGAAATACATAATAAATATGTATCCAGTTTAAATAGGAAAAAGCCATCATCAGTGTTCTGAAGAGAAAGAACTAAACAGCCTCTTCAACTGTTCATAGCACATAAACATAACAATATTCCATAATCCCAGCCTTGTGAAGTTTGGTGTGAACCTGAAATAAAATAAAAGAGAAATGAGGAAAAACTCATATTTAATAAAGTCATAATGATTGATTAGCCCAGTAATTATTAATGGGACATTAGAACTTTTAGCTTCAGTCCATTGTGATTGTTGTTCCTTCTATGGTTTAAGACAAAGAAGTAAATTTAAATATATGTTAACTTGTTAAATCCCATGATCTGATTTGCAACTCTCCCCACTAGCTGCAACCTCCTTTTTCAGGTTGTTCATTGGCCATCTGAGATAGGATAATTATCTGGGTCCAGTTGTATAAAGGTCGCATAATGCTATCCAACAGATAAATTGCTAACTTGGGGATACTTGATAGCAAAACGGATAGCATTATCCTTTGTATAGGGTTTTATCCAGTGAATAGGGTTATAGAGTTATCCAAACTTTGAACAACTGGGGCCTGGCTACTACAAAGCACTCTTTGACTATTTTTTAATGATGTGAGCCAATTTTTTTTTTCAGATATAAAGCCACATGTAGTATCTTGCTGTTAAGCTTTTCTCTTGCTACCACATTTCATATTGAAAATCTGGCCTCTCTCTGAAATAAGGTATAAAATCACATAAAGTAATACCATGGTCAAGTGTGGTTAGACACTGACATCTCTGACCAAATTAAGCTCTGAAATTCTACATGTTTCTGAATGTTATATCTTGCTAATAAGGTTATAACTCCTGCGGAACTGTCAACAAATGTATCATTTTAAGGTGCTTGGCCAGAAATTTCAGTCTGATGAATGAGTGAAGGGATAATTGGATATCTCAACAGGCTCCAAGCTATGACCTTATTAGAGACTGAGTGTGAAATAAATTAAACATATTAGATGTTCAGTAGGTGTGTACTATCACTACATATTTTCACAAGTTTTGCCTTATTTTGACAACCCCCTGCAGGGTGAGTTATAATACCAACAATGAGTAAAAATACACAGAAATACACATTAAAAATCTAACAAGTTAATCATTAACCAACTGCTTTATTTCACGCAAATTTCTTAAAAAGTGGAAAAAGTGAAGCAGGTAGAACAACATAGTGTGTGCAGCTGACCAGTTTAACAGCTTTTTTTGTTGTACAAAATAAGCAACTGTCCAATATCACAGGATATTTGTAATCAATTCAAGCATTATTTGTACTCAACTTGGTGCAGTTGGATACTAATAAAAATGTCATTGTTGTATTAGAGACAAATTTCAGCACAACATACCCTTTATAATAAGCTAGAGGCCCATTGTGTTTCAGCAGCATATAGGCGCAGTGGATGGCACTCTTGTAAGTATTTTGTGGGGAATTCATGTAACGTGTCTTCACCACATCTACAGGAGATGCTACCACTGTGGTAGCAAAGCCAGCACCAAAGGCAGAAACAAAATGCAGAGGGAATTCATCATCCATGAGTTTCTTTCTCAGAAAGAATCCTTTTACCATGTCATACACAACCAGTTCTGAAGCATTCACAGTGGAAAGACGTGCCATATTTGCAAAGGCACCTTTCCATAGTCCTCGGAGTCCTTCATTTTTGAATATTGATATATAAGCATCTAAGGCCTTGCTAGACCCAAATCTTGAACCATCGGCCTGAAACCTTACTTTAGCAACTTCTGTTGGTTGAGCAACAGATACAGCTAACACTCCTGTTGTGCAACTGGCTAGGATCTTCTTTATGACTTTAGGATTGTTGACATCATCATCTCCATAGAAGTTTTTGACTGTGTCATAGAGTCCTATTCTAATGCTAGCAAAACAAAGTTGGCGGTGAATTCCAGGCACAAGCCCTTTGTACAGCGAGCGAAAACCATCAGTTTTTGCCACAGTTATCATGGACCCTATCATTCCTCGATATTGGACATTAGAATTTGCTGTTGCTACGCCATTTTGAACATTTGCCAAGACAGCATTTTCACCCTGGATCTGCAAAGAAGTGAAATAATTTATTGAAGATATCTGTGGAAAGATCAGGCCTTCTTTTCACTTCTTAAGAAAGACCTAGTCATCAGTGATGATTACTTGCTTTCAAATTGTTGAAATGTATAAATTGCTGTCCACAAAAAACTCATTTTCAGGTCTTCTTACCAATGACTTTTGGAGGATGTTAAGGGGGGGGGGGTAAACTTCAATATTAACTTCTTTTCAACCCCTTTCACTTGCAAGAACTCAAAATATTTTTTTCTCACTGTCTACCATGCATCTCTTTTACCTTTAGATCTTAGGATTTGGTGTTGAAATATAACTGTATTTTCTACTTATTATTTTTCCTTCTTCTCAACACCGTTCTGCTTGATCATGTATGTAATATGATATCGCGAGGGGAAATTAATCTCTGGGCACTCCTGGGATTGAAAGGATTAACTAATTAAAAAGAACTAAAAACCGAAACAGAAGGGAGAGTTAGAGATCAGATCTTGGAAATCTTATGTCTTCCGTTAGTGTTATAATCAAGGCTTATGGAGAAGTTGTTTTGAATGATTAAATGTCCGCTTTTGTCTCGAGGGATTGCACACTTGGTTGTTATAAACAAGTTGTCAAAAAAATTATAATCACTTCCTCCCTCTGCTACGCACCACCATAAAAGGAAACTTCGTCCCGTTGATCTTAACTATTAAACCATTGTATGGATTTCTTTTAAACGACGGAAGGCATAAGGGAAATGTTGTTTTCGAAACAAGAAACGTGATTGCCGTCTGCAGGTTGTAATGCGAGCGACACGTCACACTGACTGTCTCATTACGTTAGAGGTTCTGTTAAAATTTCCGCACAGCCCCATACTGTTGTAAAACAAATCTGTTTTCTCGATGGCAATGTATTTTTTTGTCATTGTTTTCTCTATCCAAGAACTGAATGCATAATTTAGTATAGGGCTACGCGGAAATTTCGCGATTCTTAATCCACATGGCATTGCATCACCAGTATTTAACTAGAACACATCGATTTGAAAGCATTGTATTTAAGAAACATTTATAAAATTCATCGCTTATTTTGCAATTACTTTAACTTAAACTTTACGAAGGTGACTATCAATGCAAGTCGATTGACGATCAAGCGATGGCTATTGATCAGGTTAAAATTTATAACTAGACCAGCTTTCATGTCGAGTCTGTTGACCTCGCTTGGTAGCAGAAGATATATTATTACAATATATTATTTTAATGACTGGAAACTTCTAATTGCTTAAAAATAGTGTTCATAAGTGTAAAATACCAATCATAATGGCGTCTCATTTTGACATGTTCTGTTTTCAATCCTAACAAACCAACAACGTGCGATTTGTTTTAAAAGTCACTTACCTGAAGTCGAACTTTCGCTGTGTCGATCGGTATTGTGACGGCTTCAGCCACTGAAGCAGCTAATCCGGCGCTTACGAACTTAATCGAGATGCTAGGTTCTTTCTGTCCTGGTTTGCTATGCATCTTTATGGTTTACAGCAGAAGACCACCTGAAATTTTAAGCGAAAGCGAGAGAACGCAGGGAAGATCGAGGAAAGTGTCAAAATCGAAATGGTTCTCTCTGCTCGTGGCAATTCTCCAAGGTCACAAACTCGTTGTAACAGAGTTAGAGGTGAAGTTTGTTTCCTTTGCGACCGGTAAAGCACGAAAAAATGTAGAGATCGCTGATTTGCGCATTGTAAATAAGCGGTAGCGTGACTAAGAGGTGAGTATTTTGTTGAATCACGATATTTGTTCCACGTTTACGTTGGGCGACCCTTCGAAACAGAATAGGGTTAGCCTTCTGTGTACCCAGGCAAATACAGTGTTCTACCTTTCTATCCTCTCCATAAAACCCTTTATAACTATTCGTGAGACGGCTTAATGGCCAAAGTTCAAAACTTTCTTTGTTCACTTCACATTTATTGCCAAAAATGTTTGATTGGTGGATCGAAGTGGGCGTGATTGGAGGCGTCGACAGGATATTGCATCATCTCATTCTGGTTTGTGGAAATATTTCGTTTAAATCATGTGAGATTTATTAGGACTTGTTCTCGCCTCTTTTACGTAATGACTCTTTGGTTTCTCAATTTCTAACATCATTTTAGGCTAGTTCTACTTTTTTGCCTTTATTTCAGTAGATGGCTGTGAAACTGGCATCACTTTGCTCTGGCCCTAGTTTACAATCGCTGTATTTGGATACTGACATATATTGTGCTAAACAAACCGTTTCACGAGTGAGTGATTTTTTTCGGTAAAAATTCATGGGTCAAGACAGATAAAGACGTTTTTCCTTTTCAAAGGTTCTATTGTTACGTAAGTAATCTTTGAATTTTTTTTCTTTTTTCCGTCCAGGAACGCTATAGACGGGTGGTGGCAATTTATGTGCATGTTAATATTGTTGTTAACAATCTAGTAAAACGCAATCAGTGACGGGAATGTAAATAGATTTGGAAACCCGTGACCGTTATTTACGTAAGTTTTCTCCCAAAGGCCACGTTTTCGTCGGGTTTGTTTGGGAAATGACAATATTCGCAAGTTAACTTGTTTTCTCAGGTATTATTCGACAGTAAAAACAAGTTTAAGGCAAATTTTCTCCACGCAATTTCTTGGATGCACCTCATAAGTTTATCATGATTCTGTTATGTTTTTATGAGGGTGGGGGGAGGTGGGGCGAGGGGAGGGTTTGGTTGTATGGCCCAACAGCATATTATGACCTAATATGATCTAAAATCCTAATCTAACTCATCAGTTTAGCTGGATCTATCTTCCGCTTTCATCTGCCCTACTTCAGACTTGAATATATATAGATTTGGAAACTTTTCTTTCCGTCAGTTTTTTCCTAGAGTCCGCGTTGTGGTCGGATATTTCTCGCGCAATGGCAGTATTCGCAGAGTCGACTTGTTTTCCTACTCATTACGTGATGGTACAGACAAATTTTCTTCATGCTGTTTCCAATTTCGTGGGTACGGATGCTCACAAGTTTGTCATATGATTCTGGTAGCCTTTTATGGGGGGAGAGAGGCGGGGTGGAGGGTTTGGTTGTGTGGCCCCACAGCATAACATGACCTGAACTACTAATTTAATTCATCACATGATCTATTTGGATCTATCTTCTTATTTCATCTTCCCTATTTTAGACTTGTTTACAGACTTCGCCGCGTGGATCCTAGTGTCAACTAACCTAAATTTATCCTTTTACGATGAAAGAAACACCAAAAATATCGCGTTTTTTTTTTGTTAGACATACTATGACACTGCACCAACGGCATTTCACCTATAACATTGTTAGGTCGCTTGATTGATTATTAGAGGATTGCAGAACCGCATCTTCGTTAATTTGAGAAAATGGACATGTTCCTAGATCAGATTAAACTACCCTATAAACAGGGTAGAGTTGAGTGGGATGGGAGAGGTGAAAGCCATTATGTTGACGAAAGTCGAGATTAAATACGTCCAAATGTATTAACTCAGTTAACTAAAGTTTAGTTTTTCGTTCCGACTATAGGTAACCGTTGAGTTGTCGGGTTAGTGGTTACCTGGAGGTGTACAATTTATATCCGACCTAAATGCAGCATGGAAAATTTCGTAGTTATATTTTCTCCATGTTATTTTCGTGGGTGCTCCTCACAAGTTTGTCCAAGAGAATATTCTCTTGGCTTGTCTTATGATTCTGGTATCTTTATGGGGGTGGGATGGGGAGAGGGGGGTGGGGCGAAGCGGCGGAGTGGGGTTTGATTGTGAGGTTCAAGAGCCCATCAAGACTTGAACTCTTAATTTAAATAATCAATTTAGTTGGATATATCTTCCTGCGTCATCTTCCTTAGTTCAGCGTAATAGCGAAGTAAACCATTATCATTTTGTTGGTTTCTCTTTCTTGTTGAGACAACCAATCGGAGGCTAGGTGTTGGTTTTGTGAATTTCGAAAAGATCACCTCTATGCTGATATTCTCTGCACAAAATGATTTCGTGTACCGTCAAAAATGTCACAATATATATCGGCATAGATAGTAGCTATAGCTGTAATTTTGGAAGGTCGCGTCATGAGTCAAAGAAGTGGGCTTAACCAAGGTTGTAAGCGAGATATGAACAGAATGAACGCTTCGAGTAAAATTCGGGTATGTTGCGAGCAGGAGAAAAACTGATTGGAATTACTGGGTCATTACTGAGAAAGTACTAATCTTTTTCTAAAATTAGTTTGTTTTACCCAACATGTTATAGCGTTTTGCTTGATATCCGCTTTTTTTTTCGGGTTTGGCCTGGTAGGCGCGGCCTCATTTCCCCACCTGCGACTTGTAATGGAAATGGAGCCTGTGTTTCAACGGGAAGAAATAAACTGTTGGAATAAACGAGGGAGATTATTCCTTACTCCCTAAAGATTTCTTGAGGGAGTCCGAATTGCTCGGCCGATTTTTTCTTTTTTCTTGCCGATAGTAATCACACAGTTCCTTCGGCAGCAAGCTACAGGAACAGCGTGGCAGCTTCGTGCAGATGATATCCAGATAAAGAGCTTTTTTGAGAGAATGAAGCAGCCTCGTACTGAGACAAGTGTTAAGAGAAGTCTTTTCAGTGCTGGATAACAATGAAGGTATACAACATATATTCATTGGAGAAGTATACAGAAAAGTACCAGTGTTCAGCAATGAGCTTGTCGTCAACGGTTTCTTTGAAGTTTTAGGGAGAATTATTTCCCAGGGTGGACCTGGGAAAACTTAATTCCAAAAAAAAAAAAGACTTAATTCCATACCCCAGTGGCAATTTTTGAGAAAAATTTAGGCAATAAGAAAAATAATCATCCTCAAGTAATGGAAAACAGTTAACCCTTTAACTCCCAAGATCTTGTTTAGTAATTCTCCTTACTGTCTGCCATACAGTTCTTGTGATGTTAGTTTGGAGAATTTGGTATTGGGTCAACTTATAATCCCCTAATTGATATTTTCTTTATTCTCATCACTTGTCTGCTCGATGTTGTATTGATATTGTAAGGAGAAATTCTGTCTTGGTCACTCGTGAGAGTTAAAGGGTTAAATGTCACTGTTGAAACATTTACAGGCAGTCTGGCATCTGAAAGCATTCTTTCTCTTTCATATATTTCCAGCTGTACTGCCAATTGATAGCCCTTGTGGCCAATCAGATTACAAGTTCTCCCAATAGTTGTTCACAGAGTTATGCTTTGCATTATTGAAAACTAAAGTATGTCTCAGTTGACTTACTTCCAATACTATTAATTGCTACTTTTAAAAAAATCTGAACTGCATTTGTTTCACTTTCACTTGTTTCATTTGAGAAGCCAATTTGTATTGAGGTCCATAAGACAACTAAGGCATTTGGATTTCATTCACAGTTCAGCTAGGCATTTGATTGCAAAATGTTGAGACAGTCAATGAATAGATCTATTCCATATCTGTTTGATAGCTGAAGTGGGTTAACAGCTACTGTAAGATCCTGTGTGACATTTCCTGGAAGTTCAATGTTTACATCCTCAACCTCAATTGTGGATGATCCATCATCCATGGGGGTAGGTACTGATGGGTCATAGCCATACCATATAAAATCATCATAAGATGACTCTTGTCCCCCAATGTAAGCTGTTCAACGCTATACAATTAACCTCTCAGATCTCAAATGACCCAAAACCATAGAAGATCCAACTAAGCAGCCATGTTCCCTCAGGAAGGTGCTGACTTTGCTGTCCAGTTGACCATCGGTGATGTCACTAAAGCGTGGAAGGTGGTTAAGGTCAAACTCTGATACTCTGCGGTGAATATTCCAGCGTGAAACAAGTAACATACGCGTTATATCTTCCCAACTGAAGCCCAGCGAGCGGAGCTCGACCAATGTTTCTTCCTTTAGGTCAAACTTTGGTCATCCAGTATGTCCATATTTACTCTATTTGGTGAACACAATGCCAAAACGGCCACTTGTGAGCACCTTGTTCTGCTTGGAAATTGAAACCCACGATAGCAGTCCCAAAATATCACCTGGAAATTCCTGGTCATTTCGAGAACTGATTTCCTATTAGACTATTACACAAACGGGTTTTAATTTTGCAAAGCTTACACTGCATTTTCCAAACGAATACTTAAGCTTTCCCTTAAAACAACGTCATTCGTTTACTTTTTTTGTACATATTCACTCAAAAGCTTCGCTAAATCGGTAAAAAATGAATTCCATTGGCTATTTACCCATGTGTTTACACCATTTTGTTCATCTTCTTCGCTGCGGTCCGCCATCTTGCTTGTTTAGAGATACATGTAGTAGTTTCCAGTCCGTCTCGGTAATAGGAGACCTTCGGAATTGTTGATCTTGAAAGCCGTTAGATAGAGTTGATCACAAAGCAAAGGAAACTTTTGTTGAGGCGATTTTCTCTGTTGATTTAAGAGTTAATACAACGTTGAAAGTGGCAAGTTGATGGCGTTGATGTTGAGAGAAAATCGTTGAATTTGGTATCAGGTAATTTAGTGTAAACAACTGAGTAAACGTAAATTGGCTGCTGTAAAGAGCAAAAATGCTGACGTTTTGAGCGTTAGCCCTTCGTTAGAGCGATTGGATTGGAATTTGGTATCAATTTGTTGATTTTGATATAAATATTCATTCTTGAATTTTGCTAAAAAATGGCGACCATTTACAGCGACGGAGAACTCCGATTTTTTAGACTTACTAAGGGTGTAGTGGATTACTCGACCGAAGCATTGAGGATAGTTTTCAAACAAGAATGGAATTATCTTTATCCTGCCACTCCGTGGCGAGATGACCACACTAGTGGCGCGCAGATTTTAGCGGAGGAAAGGCGAGCACCGGGATCCCGGCTCTATGATCCAGCGTACAGCGCGGAGTATCAGCCGATCAGGGATCATTTGTCTTCTGGAGACGTAGAAGAATGGGACGTTACCACGTTAGTTTTTGCTCTGAAGTTCTCGCACGCTTTGGCCTCAAGCCGTTCGAGTCACTACGGTAGAAGGATTGGAAACGCTATCTATAGGCTAAAAGAAGTAAGAAATGAGGTCATAGCCCATGCCAGTAAAGCATATCTTTCTCGAAGAAGATTCCATCGAAACATCGATACTCTGACTCGGGCTGTTGGAGATCTACTGAGAACTTCACATCCTCTTGTTAGAAAGCTACAAACCTTGGAGACTGAGATAGAATTCCGAACCAAGGATCTCGAGCGATATAAACAGTGGTTAAAGGACGACAACAACAGCCTCCTCTCCTTAGAAAATGATCTCGAAAGGTTGGAAAACAAAATGAAGATCCAGCCAGTTGGGGGAAACGATCATACACCATCGAACGCAGCCGGAAGTTCTCGAGCGTCAGGGAATAGTGAGATCATTTCGAAAATACAAACTCGTGTGGCAAGAATACAGCGTCATGTGAATGTTAGTGTTGACCTGGTGCCTTCACGCACAAAACCGGAGATTTTCCAAAGTAGCCGATACATTAAAATGATAAACAAGTCTAATTCTCTGTCGTTCAATTTACGCTGGGATGAATTGGAGTCGTTTCTGAAGGGATTTACTAGTGACCTGGATTTGAAGATTTTGGCTGGCATCCAGCACGCAGCTGCCCTAAGCCATCGTTCTAGAAAAGATGAAGCATTAGAAGTGCTTAATGGTCTGGTTCCTAACGCTCTTCTGGCAAACAACGGGTAGGTTCAATGTAACATTTGTTTTGACAGTAGTGAGGAAATAATTCGAAATCCAGAAATCGAAACCGAAACTTGAGGGAAAACGGGAACAAAATCAGCCTGGAAACAGAACTAAAGCTCAGCCGCAAAAGGTGAACTGAGAGCTCGGGAATGAAATCTAACGAAGAAGGAAATTTTGGGGCTGTTTCTTTTTGGGCTTGATTACTGTTTTATAATGACTGGCCGCAAAGGTTGACAAAAATAAAACAAAGGTGTTAAGATAGGGTGACTAATAATACGTGTACGACCGAGTAGAGTCCAGTTCAGTCTGTAATCGAGGGTCTCAATGGGGTTAACTTTTGGTCATAAACAAAATTAAACTGTAGATATTTTTTTGTTAACTTTGACGGAAAGAAATTAACTGTTAGCCGTAAAATGGTCAAAATTTTAACCGTTGGCCGTAAAAGAGAGACCTCGAGACTTGCGTAATCATACAAGTGATAAACAAAATCGTATAACCTCCAGAGCGGAAGTGCAATTTGTTCATCACGAGTATGATTTTAGAAAAAGTCAGGCAATTGATAACTAATCACGTTCGATAATTTTGGTTCAGTTTACTTTGCGTTCACACTTTTCTTTTTCATATTCAGGGTTTGGATACATGCGAGGATAAAGATACGGAAATCGTATCTGCTACATGACAAGGGCCAAGACGACGACGCTTTAAGAGAGGTGGACGAAGCAGAGCATATGCTAAGTCTTGGGGAGTGCCATGAAGACACTGCTGAGGTCAACAACGCTAAAGCAAATATCATTTTGTCAAGAAGCCGAAACAGCAAAGAAGACCAGCAGAATATTCTGCTACACTTAGATAAATCAATCAAGTATTGCGAGAAGGCCACAGTCGATAAGAGCAACACAGTCGTACAAGTGACACTGCGCAAGGCTCTCGTCCATTTGGGCTTTTATCAACACGGCATCTTAGAGGAAGTTTCAAGCTCAGATATAGACATCGCAAAGACTGTCTTGAATAACATTGAACGGAAGATTGAGACGATGTCTGAACGAAGTAAGATCTATTACACTTATAGCCAATCACTGCTCGCTTATCGGGAAGGCGATATAGGAAGGGCGACTAAACTTGAACACAAAGCTCGGAAAAAGTGCGTCGAGCATGACCTCACTAATGAAATTCAACAACTTGATCGCTTGAGAGATCTAATACGAGCACCATCACGTGGAGAGCATTGATTGGGCGAATATATGGTCTCATTATTGTAACAGAATACAAACACGGAAAGGTGGTTTCTCCCCTCCCCGCTTCCCGCCCTGTCCACTATCACCTTTCTTTCAAATTTTTCTGTACAAAAACGCATCAACCAAACGAACAAACACAAACTCAACAAACAATTCAAATCTTCTAAAAAGTATTCTATAATGATCGACTGCCTGCTTGTTAGTTTGAAGAAAAAAATCTAACCTAGATGTACAGCCCCAATCTTCATAAGAGGCAACAGCTATTATTTAGTAAGGTATTACAGCCACGAATATACCACTAAATTGATTAACTTCATGTATCTACTGCAAGACGCATGTCTGATTTAAATACCCGTTATCGTATCTTTTAGCATTCTTTTCATGTTAAGGACCATTAAGTTCCGGTCATAAAGCCATGTTTTCAAAATGTCCTGGTGGCGTATATAGGACTACCCGCTATGGAAAGCTTATTTCTGGAGTTCACTCTTGATCATATCCTCAAGTTTCACAGCATCTACAGCAAACTTCCTGATTCCCTCAGCCAACTTTTCTGTTGCCATAGCATCCTCGTTGAGAAGCCAGCGGAATTTCTTCTCGTCTAGGGAGACTTTGTCAATGTCGAGTTTTTTGGCTGCAAAAGGCATATAATTGAGTGTCAATAAGATTAACAAGCAACAACAACAATTGATTGATACTGCCTTAAAGGTTATGCATGTTGCCCTGTGTGACTGTTAATTTGTGTGTAAGTAAGTATGCATTATTCACTGTGAGAGTACCTACATAAAGAGCTAAAAATACCCGATCCTTTTGATTCTATTTAGAATTCAAAATAAATGCTACACTTTTAAAATGAAAATGCATTAAAAAATGTTCAGTAAACTGGTCTCTTGTGTTTATGCTGACTATATGTCAGGCTTCATGATGTGAAGTTTTAGTTTAATCTACTAGCATTCTATCAAAAGTGCTGCGATCTGATTGGACACGATACTTGCTGCCTAAATATAGTGAGTGAGGTGAGTAGCCTAGCAGAATGCAACTGATAGCAAAATAAAATAAAAAGACAAGAGAAGCCTGTCTTGTTAAGTATTGAATAACTAGTATATATAGACCAGAATAATTTCATAATTCCCTCTCCATTCTATGCTCAATAGTTGATTTGGGCTTTATCCTCATCAACTATCACACAATAGAAATAGAGAGCTCATGATGGTATTATTAATTATTGATGGAGAAGTGTAAAGGAAAAATACTTCCGTCAATGTATTAATGTATTAAATGTATTATTATTATTAATTTCTTTTTGTTTCCTTTTAGTCCTACAGAAGTTGCCAAATGTTTCTGTATGACTTCTTCTTAGCTTGTGCCTCTTCAGCTTTGCTAAAAGGATATGGAAACAACGACCTCAAAGGTTGTCAATGTATGAGGTATATTTGCTTTCTCACCTTCCTCGACTGAAAGCTTCTGGGAAATTGTTTCAGTGGAATTGGAAAGTTTTTCTAGCAATGAGGGACTGAAATGAATCACAGAATATAAAATAAGAATTTGTATATGTATTGGTACTAACATGATTTTGAGTGCAATTTGGTGTTAATAAGCACAAGTAAATTTTCAAAGACAACAGCCAATCGGATGTACATAATTTCTTCAGGTATACTATTATGTACAAAACATTAAAAGCATTTTGCAGATGTCACTGTGGTTATAACCAGGACCAAATAAAAACTGTTCTAATCTTTTTACAAAGCAGGATTCTTGGGTGTTTTTTTCAAAACTGGGTGTTTATTCCTTTTTTTCTCATGCATAAAACATTCAAGTGTGTAAAAAGTGCAAGTTTCTATTATGAAAAATATCTTAGCAAGAACTTAAAATACAACACCAGTGTGGAAAGTCAAGATTCACCAAGTAAACCTTTGATTTCAGTGTTCCATGAAAATGTGATGGCAATTATATTTTGTGGTCACAAATTATTTATGGTTTGAGATTGAGAGGATAAATTTTCTTACAAACCGCCTACCTTATGAGAGAGGGTGATTTGAAGTGCCCATGAAAATAGAGCTCTGATTTGATTTATTACTGACAATAAATTAATACCAAGTGAGTGGAAATTATTACCTGATAGTGAGTAAATCACAACCAGCTAGTTCAGTGATCTGCCCTGTGTTTCTGAATGATGCTCCCATGACAACAGTTTTGTAATCAAACTTCTTGTAGTAATTGTAAATTGCTGTCACACTCTTCACACCTAACAAAAACACCCCTCCAAAGCATGAGACAAATGGAACTACCCATAGTGGGAGTGTAAGGATGCACTAATTGTATCTTTACAGATATAATTATGATAATCAACTATATTTTTATTATCAATTCATAATCATTATAATTATTATTGTTGGAAAATCAAAAAAATTTTTGTAGATACTTTTGGTAAATTTTAACCCTTTACCTCCCATTAGTGACTAAGAGAGAATTTCTCCTTACAATCTCAATACAATATCAAGCACAGAAGTGATAAGAATAAAATAAAATATCAATTAGGGGATTATGAATTGATCCAATACCAAATTCTCCAAATTGAAATCATAAGAATTGCATGGCAGACAGTGAGGAGAATTACTAATGAGATCTTGGGAGTTAAAGGGTTAACAACACACAATGATTTGAGAATGTGCTTTAATTCTTGTGTAATATTGATTGTATGATACATATTTATTTTATTTTGTTCTGTATTATTCATATTTTCAATTGTGCAGACTTTCAATTATCCAGAGTAAATACCCAGCCCAATACCCAGGAGTCTGCATAATCCAAGACGACTGTAATTGTTTTCAATACTGTTGAACAGGTTTTGTGATCATTCCAAAGAGAGTACAAATATAGAATACTCTGTCTAGTATAGTATTGTGTGGTGGTGACAAGATCAGCAAACAAAATATCTTTGTTTTCCTAACATAACTTGTTTCAAAACATTCTTCTCCAATGTTTTGTAATGGTTGTGTCACAAATTTTTATGTATAAAAAGAATTAAGGGAACCAGCCTCTATGGAGTCTAGGGTAGAGTTCTGCATTAACATCTCTTTGACTGATGTGAATTAAATTCCTGTACAATTACTCATTAATAATCTCATGTTACCTGGATCATCTGCAGGTTGAAATTCCTTCTGGTCTGTGTTCTTGACATACCAATCCAGAATGCGACCAACAAATGGTGATATCAGGGTAACATTCGCTTCAGCACATGCTACTGCCTGGGGAAAGAGAAAAGGGAAAATTACAAATAAAGTATCATTGATTATGTGTATGTTCATATGCACACCTAAAATCTTTGAGGCAAAAACTTGTTTGCAACAAAATGCTCTAAATTTTGGGGCTGATTTATAACAGTCTAAAGGGGAATGCTGTGTGTGGCTCATGACACCTGCTTTGCTTGAACAGAGGTGACATACATATGTTTATTGGTGTGTTCATTCTATTATGTAACCCACTCTCAATACAGAATGACTTTGCTCCCAAAATGTTTATTATTTTAAAAGTAAAGGAAAGATTACCTGAGCAAATGAGAAAAGAAGGGTCATGTTGCAATGGATACCCTCTTGCTCGAGCTTCCTGAAAAGTACCCATTGTGGAGAGCTTAAAATACTTAAAAAATTATTCCATTAACATAATCCATGGCATTATTAACATGTGTGGCCAAATAGATCACTTGCCTCTTGCAAACACATGCTCAGTTAGCCATACACACCTAACAGTGCGTGGCCATTCATTATCAGCCCTTCAGCTGGTTGAATCTTGCTTCACTATTGGATGGATTTAACTGTTTAACAGTACAGTGACTGGCTTCTAATTTCTCTGAACAATATCACCATTGAATCAAATATAGAAGTCCCAAGGAAAAAATCAAATAATCACCAATTAAAGGAGCCCCTTATGGCTTAGGATGGTTAAAAGAAATCTACTTGTCAGTACTATAGGATATATGAAGAGAAAAGTGTGGGAAATATAGATCCTGATATAATCATTTAAATGGTTCCACAAATTAGAATAAGCCCACCGTTAACAAGTGTAACCTTCCCCTGTGGCAACTTTAAAACACTGCTATGTAAAAGCTGAAGTAAAGGAAGGTAGTAGTCAAACCGCAATTAAGGAGCAGGCGGATTTAGACAAATTAGATGCAAAAGTTTGGGAAGAAAATACAATTAGAACCATTTAGAGAACAAATTTTTTGGCTGTTAAATACTAACCTTGCAGCTTCAACTCCTTCCCAAGTTGTGCTAAGTTTAATGAGGATTCTCTCTTTACTGATTCCTGCCTCTTCATAAAGCTTTATGAACTTTTTTGCTTTCTCAATTGAGCCTTCAACATCAAAGGATAACCTACACAAAATGAAGTGTACAAAGATTCAAACTACATTTGAAATCATGTTTACAACAGACTTCTGTAGAAATATAAGATCTTAACCCTTTGACTCCCATGAGTGACCAAGACAGAATTTCTCCATACAATATCAATACAATAACAACCAGATAAGTTATGATAATAAAGAAAAATATCAATTTGGTGACAATTAGTTGATCCAATACTAAATTCTCTGAACTAACATTATAAGAGTTGTATGGTTGATAGTAAGGAGGATTACAAATTTGATCTGGGAAGTTAAAGGGCTAACAAAGCTTTAACAGCCATTTCTGACCACTATAATTATAGAATTTTAATTCACACTTATTATTGAATGATAAAAATTATATCTTATGATAAATAATTTTTACTTGGTTTACATTATAAACTAAGTTTTTTTCCTCCCTGATGTTAAGGTTGAAAAATAATTTAACCTTTTGATAATTTTTTTTTTTTTCGGAAAAAGGCAGAAAGCAGTCCTAAGATTCTGTGATGGCAATATTGAAAATGCTACTAAAATCATGTTTTTTAATCATGTTCTTTAGATACCCAACATGAAAAAAAACTAAGGGGGCTTTCCCACCAATATCAGAAAAGCCCAGGTATCGAATCCTACAGTTTTCTTGTCAATGCATAAGGAGCCTAGGAAAGGGGTGTTATAATGACTTTTCTTTTGGAGTCTAAAGTTTCATCTTCATTGTCTGAATCCGCCCACAGTACACTTATTTGAGTTTGCTATCTGGAGACAGGCATTGACCTGGTATATCTGGGGTCTGCAAAAGAGGATTGCATAATGCAGAGAACTGCAGTGTAACAAGACCTGTCTTTTAAAGCCAGGGGATGATAATGTCAACCAAGATTGAACTGTCTGTATACCCTTTTGATTTATTATAACTCAAGTTCACTGACCTGGCATCAACCTCTGTTGAAACTCTGCCTGGTACTAGCTTCAGTATCTCAACACCAAAAAGAACAAACTGAAAAAAGAAGACAAATGAAGAAGAAAGATAAACACCTTGTTGAGAAGGGTAACAGATCATGATACCAAAATAAGGTAGATAGGAAAACTGAAGCTTGTTCAATACACCATATTTAAAATATAGTGTGAACTACCATTATTTTTTTCTTTTCACTTACATGCAAATTAAGTTGCAAATGCATGATTTAAATGCATTTTATGCTACTGTACATCATATTGCCAACATCTCAGCCATATATGCTGACATATAAACATATGCTGTTTCTCGGGTCATTTTCCTGAGAACTTTGTAATTGGATTATTTTCTGCCCATAATTATTGTTTCTGCTTAAAGATAGCCATTACCATGATGATTGTGGGCAGCAAACATGACTTCAAAGGGAGGGGTGATATTAGAGTTTCAACATTAAATGAAACCTAGAGCAAAGCTCTCTCCTGAAGAGGTCTCAATTACGCAATTCAAAATTGTTGGACTTACTATTTTATCCATTGCTTCAGTTACTTGCTCTTCCAGAGTGCTTGAATTTGAAACAAAATTTCATTAAGATTTGTTCTGAGACAAGATACTTTTGTCAAGTGATTGACAATTATTTTCCCTTTGATCTGAATTTCTCTCTTCAATTGATTCATTTTTTTCCCTGTCTGTTTTTCAAGCAAGCTCCAATGGACTGATATTAAAACAGGCAGCAAGACTGATAAGCCTGTGATTAGAATGGCAAGACAAATGCAGGTCCTTTGCCTTGCCAGCCAATTGTTCTGCACTGCCTATGGCTCTTGGATGACTTTTGCTACCTTTATGTCTTTCTGATAGTGTGTATCTGGGTCTCATGAATATCATATTTCCTTGAATAAGTGCCCACACTCTAATAAGCACCCTTTGTAGAATAAGAGCCCACCTCCCAGGTGATAATGTCAAACAGGAACCATTCTTGAATAAGCACTTCCCCCTCCCCTCTCTCTAACTATCTTAAATGGCAAGAATGAAAGGAAAACCTGCTTCTATCACCACTTAAATTATGCCTGAGTCCTTGGAGCCAGCTTGCACGTGACAGTCTTTATGTCATGATGACTAATATTGGCACCCAGTGAAAACCAAATTACGTAAAGCAAACTCCCGATCGATATTGGAACATATGAATTATCATAAATTCGTCATCAACAAAACAATCAACGCTTGTACAATTTTTCCTGTTTTAATTCATACCAATCAATCACAACATGCAAATCACATATTTGCCATGAAGCGTGACTGGTGTTTTGAGGTATTTACACGCAAACTAGTAGAAAAGTTAGATTACATCTCCAAAATTTATCTGAAAATAGATCCCTAGCACTAACCTTCCGTTTGCTTTTCCATACTGAACTGCTTTTTCAATCAAGTGTTTATACTGAGGCATTTTGGACGCAGCCAAGAGCAGTGATGGATTTGTTGTCGCATCAGTAGGTTTGTACTTAGAAATGGCTAAAAAGAAAAATCACATAGGTTGAGCTACTCCAAGCAAACAGCAAATCCTTCGAAAAATCATCTCTCTCTCTTACATTCGAAATCGCCTGTATCAGCGACGACGGTGGTGAATTTCTTTAGCTGCTCAAGAGAAGAAGCCATCGTTCCTGCCTGCAACTTGTAAATTTCTTTAAAGTTTGTTTGAGTCACGGGAATGAGGCGGTCAGCGGGTTTATAATAAGGAATTGTTTTGAGCAGCGGTGTTGCAAATAACAATAAAAACAAGATGGCGGACGGAGCGCAGTTAACAAGCGCTGCGGCTACAGGCGACGAAAAGGTCAGGTTTTTTTTTTTTTAAATCGTAATTTTTGTTTTAAAATTGATGTAAAGGGAACTTTGTTAATTTTGTACCTTTCTCACAGCTTCTTTGTGTTCTTTTTAGGTGGTGAAGGCGATTTTGGATCAAGGAGTGGACGCAAACTCATTTTCACCAGAAGGCTTCAGACCTCTTTGCATTGCAGCTTTTTGGGGTTACAGCGGCATTGTACAACTTTTGCTAGATCGAGGGTGAGTAAAATGTTCCTTTACGATTTTGAGAAAAAACAGAAATATCTTTATCTGTGGCACTTTTCGTTTCCAGAATTACATTTACAAAGTAGTCTCTTTCGTCCGCTTTCAGAGCTGACATTGATGCGTGCAACAGAGGCACAAATTGGACAGCCCTGCACTGTGCAACATTCCAAGGACATGGAAAAGTTGTAATGCTACTAATGAATCATAACCCAGATCTGACAATTAGAGACAACCTTAGCAGGTAAATGGGTCATTACCATGTAAAAAATTACAAAGAAGGTGTTTTTATGGTGTGTAGTGAATTTTTATTAGAATTATTTTCATCGGATGAAAGAACTTAGGATAGTCAATAACAGGGCTCTCAATTAGAGTCAGTAGCTAGTCAAAGCTGTAAACTTGTCTGCATCTTCAGTAGGCTACTTTCACTTCATTTCAATACTAGTTTTTGGCAAATCATACAATTATTGAATACTATCAAAGAAATATTGTGGAGCAGCCATTTCCCATTTTGATTGGAACTGAATGCCTAATTTACTAATAACAAGTTAGAATGTATTAATCAATTAAAGCCTCAGAATTTGCTCAAAGGGTCGCACAAAATTCATGGATGCCTGTGACCTTTTAACTGTTTAGTCCCTGTATGTACAATCTGATGAGGGAAAATGGCATTAACAATTGCCTCTATTTTGTGTTTGCCTTCTATTTAATTGATCTGATGATTGTACAATAATGCTAGTGCAGGGCGTGAAATTGTGTCTAATACAGACGCCAATGCGACTAAATTTTTCATTTTGGCGACCAAATCCTCAAAAGTAGTCCCCAAATTGGTGACTGATGATTGTACAATAATGCTAGTGCAGGGCGTGAAATTGTGTCTAATTTAGGAGCCAAGTGGCTATCAGGAAAAAAAATCAATTTCACGCCCTGTAGTGAGCCACTTGTCTCAAAATATATGAGCTCCTATCATTCTACTTGGAAAATCATGATCATACTATGACAAAAGCAAAGAACCAATTTGACTGAAGTTCCATGAGAATCCTTATTAAAATTAATTTTAAAATTGTGTTGAATGGAAGTATATGTTTCGACTAAAGTGATTTACACATTCAAATTTATATGCAGGGAATTATGCTAGCTCAGTTTACTTAGGGCTCTTTTTGTTCATGTTAATAACTTAATACTCTCATGATGTAATATATATTTCCAGATCAGCAATTGACTTTGCATCTGCACTTGATGGGATATGGCCATTTTTTGCAGGTTTGTAAATGAAAATGATTTATATTTTCAGATATGTCTGCTTCCCCAAACTAGATGTAGTGTTTCTTATATCATAACAAATTCTACTGTTTCATGTTATTCTTCAGGAATGTTTTTCTTTGATTTATGTGAGTTTTATTCAATTGATAAGTACATGTGATAGTTGCTGAGTGGTTCCTTATGCTTGCCAGGAATTAAACGTAATATAAATGTACTTGCTTAAAAGATGTGGAAAATTTAAATTTGATATAGCTGCAGGATGTAAAAGGACACCCAAAGCTGAGCTTATTCAAATGGATATTGTAAAGAAGGTAAGAGGTTCTGTTCAGCCATTGCCACAATGTTTTAACTTACTCTTTATAATGATATTAAGGTATAAAAAGATACACTTAAAGTATTCTGCTTTTTATAGGTAGTATTCTATTTACCTGACTGTCAAGATATTGTCATCTGATGATTATCTTTAAAACAGCTATATGGTGTGTAATTTTTGATATTACAGGTTGAAATTGGAGAAGAAAAAATTCCAAACACAGATAGAGCATACTTTTCACGCCCTGGTTCAGCATATATTTTCAAGACACCAACACTGCGAGGGGATAGAACACAGCATAGCTACCAGGTAAGTTGTCATTACTTCATACTTCAGAAGAGATAGATCTTTTAGAATAGCAGTAATCATAGCAAAGCCACTAACAGTGTTGAATTAAAGAAATAAAAAAACAAAACAAAACAAAACAAATTAAGTGTAATGATGGTTATGTAACTGCTTAATTTATACAAGAGATTGTCACTCTCTTATAATATTTCTCAGTCAAGTGATAGATCTTTTGCCAAGAGAATGCTGTATTTTGCTAGATTCAAGTTAAGGTTCTTGAATTATTTTGAAAAAGTTGAAACATAATTTGTGTTATTTGTATAGTTTATTATTCTATGCTCAGTAGTAGGAGATGTCTCATTACTTCTGTGTGTATTATGTTCATAGCAACAAGCTGCATTAAACAATGGTGATGTCTTGACAGCTAGCGATTCTTCACCTCGAAGCTCTCGCATGGATGGCCCTGCATTCTCGGTGTGGAGGAGCTGATAAATGCTTTTTTATTGAGAGCTAAAGAAGGAGGGAACTTAAAAATTTGAGATGCCTTCTTTTTCAAATTCAGGGGAAATTTCTAAGGAAATAGAGCACATTGAGGGCAATCAGTCTTAACTTATAGTGGTGTTGAAACTTCAAGAAGAACTGCATCAGAAATTTTTTCCAATGAGACAATAATCAATTACAGATACAGTCACTCAAGAAGAAATAGATTGAGAGGGACAAAACACAGTGTGATCATATCTTGCTGATGGCTGGCTCACAGAACATAGTCACATACTCATACTGACAGCTTTTAAAATATAGCAGTGTGGAGGTTTTACATGGTTATCTAATATGGATTAAAGTTCATTGAAACTTTGTCATGCATACTTATGCAACTTAATTCATAACAAAAATCATTGCTGGAATACACAGTAGTGATATTTTTGATAGGACTATATTTCTATTTTTTGTGCTATTAAAAAATTTTTTTATGTAGAGTGCATGCTTGGACAGATCAATTGTGCTGCCTTTAATATGCATTCACCTAAAGTTCTGCTTGATAGAAAGCTGAATAATATTGAGGGAAATTTCCTCAAAAGTTAACAGTAGAAGTTTTAAAATTTGCCTTGGATTACTAACTAAGGCAGTCAAGTTATTGTTAAGTGCAGGCAAGAGCTCCTGTTTGTTGTAAATTTGTACAAGTGTTTTTTTTTTGTCATGTTTCAGATTGATTTTTCAGGTTTTATACTATTGAATTTTGCTTAAAACAAATAAATTAAGTTGCCTAATCATGCAATCTTTTTTTGTTGTAAAGTACATTTAAAATTGTACCCATAGAAAATAGGAAGTGATATTTCATTATCTTTGTCTAAATCTAAATCAATATTTTGAATGACAGTTATATATTACTCAACACTGCCCCCTTTATAAACATTCTGTGAGTCAAATATTCTTAATTACCTTTATGTGGGCACTTTGTTGTTGAAATTATATTTGTTAGCTTTTCCAATCCTCAGGCCTAATATTCCTATTATATTTGATAATATTGGTTTGATCCTAATAATAATTTGTTGTAAGTTGGTTGAAAACTCAATTATAAAAGCAATTGAACAAAGGCTTCTTTCTTTAGAAAGTGAGATGAAAATGATTTGCAAAGCATTGTGGTATGTAATTCGGTTTATTGTTATTATTTATAATCCATCTAGTATTTTGGAGGTTCAAAAATGTGGGCATTTCTCGAATCCATCTACATCTCTCTCTCTCTCTCTCTTTAAATGCAGGTAACACTCTACTCTTCTACAAAGTTAAAACATTTATTATTTATCATTATGGTGGTTTACTGTTTGGTACCAGTTTTTTTTAATGATCAGCTGTAAAGTTAAGGATAAATTGTAATGGTTTTTCTTTTAAAGTGATTTGAATTTTGCTTCTGAGGAGCCACCAATGCCTGAAAAGCAAGAATTTAAACAAAAAATTTATTTGACCGTGTGTGTAATGCTGTTACGTAACCATTTGGCCCAGGTCTCTATGAGTGGGCCGTTGTTTTTGTAACGCAACACTTCAATACGCTTCGTACATCTAACTAAACACAATTCGCCACGTACAAATTACGCATTTTTCTCTTTTCAATATATATTTCTTTACTAATTTATTTATCACTATGGACTTGGCGAGTGACATTCAAACCGATGATTGGCAATCAACAAGGGAAACCGTGCGGGAGCGGAACAAGTACATGTTCTTAAATCCTACGATCAGCGATGTGAGCTTTGTTGTTGAAGATTCCACCAAAGATCACGACACAAAAATTGCTCTACCAGCACACAAGTATGTGCTTGCGATCAGTAGCCCTGTTTTCTTTGCTATGTTTCATGGTGGCATAGCAGAACAAGGAAACAGAATCGAACTTCCTGATTGTAACTCTGAGTGCTTGACCGAGTTTCTTCGATTCATCTATTACGACGAACTGCATCTCACGGCAAACTCTGTGCTCGGTGTTATGTATTTAGCAAAGAAATATTTAGTGTTGTCGCTGATGCGGCAATGTGGCCGTTTTCTCGAAGAAAGGATCGATCCGAACAATGTTTTCGAGACGTTGACCCAGGCACGACAGTTTAGAGAGGAAGAATTAGAGAAGAGATGTTGGTTTATTGTTGATCTCAACACCAAACAGTGTCTGGAATCACCTAGTTTTCTGGAACTTGATGAAGCAGTGATTAAGTCTTTACTACGCAGGGAAACTTTAAAGATCGAGGAGTCAGAGTTATTTGATTATACCTTGCGCTGGGCGAAGAAGCAGTGTGAGCTGAATGGGTTGGACACTTCTGGGGCAAATATAAGGAAAGCACTTGGCGAAACTCTGTACTTTCTTCGTTTTCCAGTCATGTCGCAAAAGAAATTTGCAGAAGAAGTGGTTCCTCAAGATGTTTTAAGCGACCGAGAGGCTCTCAATATATTTCTACATTTCAGCGCCACAAACACCAAACCAGACGTAGTTTTCCCTTGCGTTCCACGCAGCGGAAGGCCGATGCGACGATGTGCCCGATATTCAGAAGCACCTTCACCACACCACTGGTACAGACCTCCAAGTAATGGTACAGGACGACGTGAAGAGACAGTTTCATTCACTGTCAATTCAGAATCCCCAGTTTACATTGCCGGTGGGCGTGTCTTCACCCGCACTTTTGGTTTGTCAGATGTGGAAAGTCGCAGAGATAAAGTGCAATTGTGGATAAGGGAAGAAAATTCTCAGCAAAAGGCTCTTGGATTTACTGAGGGAGAGTTTCTGGCAGATAACAATGGAGTTTACAATGGTGATGGCATTGACGTCAAATTCAAAACTGCTGTACTTGTCAAGAGTGGGGTGAGGTACTCCTTACAGTGTGTGATCTTTTTCAGTCAGAGTGTGACGTCCAACAAGCACTCCCCTCACAAGGAAGTAGTAGTTGAACAGACTAGGTTTAAATTTGAAAATTCGTATCATGGATCACACCTCACTGAGGTCTTGTTCTACACCCCTTGGATTACACAATAGCTGAAAATATTTTTCTTTATGAGCTAAGACCCCTTTATTTTGAGATGTAAGCAATAAATTGACCCTGAGCTCAGCACTCATTTGATTTGAAATAATAGGGGTCGTTTCAGACCAAATACAGCCATTTTGAAATTAGGCAGTTATTTCATTGATCCAGCACTGAGCTGCTTTTTAAAAAAGTGGAAGCAGAAATAAGGAAAGGGAAGTTTTAAAGAAAAAGTTGTAAAAATCACCACTCAATTCCTTCTTTGTCTTTCATTTTCCTTTAATTTGATTGATTTCAAGAAGTGGAACCTGTTAATAACAGAAATAAAGGTAAAGAAAATAAATAAAGAATTTTTCTAAATAGAGCCAGGCATAATTTTAGAGAGCCTTCAGAGAAACGTTCTATAACTTACATTTCCACCTTAGATTTAGAAAAACTCTGAATACTGTTATATTATAAAGGAAAAGGGGTAGAAGGTGTATGTCATAAATGTATTTTGTTTCATTTTATCAGTTAAGTCTTTTTTATTCAAAGCCTACATCTTGACCTTTTTTAGAGGCTAAGGCAGTGCGCATAGCAGATCGATACAGTCCAACCTCTATTATCCGCACCTCAATTATCCGAACTCTCTTCTCTGGTCTAATTTTTTAATATCAGTTATAAAAAATAACCACATTTGAGATCTGTTGCAAATTTTTTCCATGAAATATACCAGCTGTACTAAAACATTGTTGACACTAATCCATTAATGCAGCTTTACAGGCTGTGGCTGCTTGAAACAAACTGATTTAGGTCAACTTTTTAGGTTGTAACATTTTGTCATGGTAAATGTTTTAAATATTATTTAAGACAATTTTTGTGAAGGTGCACAATGATTGGAGGATGTCTTTCAATTCTTGTAAAAAATTGATTGATTGATGCCTATTTAGTATTGTATTTTTGGCTCATCAACATTTATATTTTTAATTATCTGGACTGTTTATTATCTGGAGCATTCAACCCAATCTCCACTAGTCAAGATAATCAAGGTTCAATTGTAGTATGTTCTTTTCCAGCATACTATCTCAGTTTGTATTATATACTGTCTTAAAAGCTGTTCTGTCCCATGATAATTTGAGATGATCTTTAATCAGTCTTAGCAAGCTGTGCTACAGACTTTCTGATTTGTATAAAAATAAATTACATATTTTTGAGCCACAAGATTAGTAATCATGCACCTGTTGACAGATGCTTTATTTTTCTCAAATGAATATTGAAATGTATGGAAGAGATGTGAATATTTTAACTTAATATATCTAATTGATGGCTAGATCCATATGCAAAATTTTCTTTTGTTTAGGATAATAGCCAGCATTCCATATAATTGTAATATGATTAATGCAGTAAGGGAAAAAGGGGAGTATCTGAAAACATTGAAAGCCTTTTTTGTGTTTTGCATAGAAAATCAATTTTTTTGTTTACCTGTCTGATAGATATTCAAGGTACTGATCTAAAGAATAATTGTAATTATATACTACTAAATACATATTTATTCAATATAAATTCATAGTCTGTAAAGTAACTATTAATTCCAAATAGTTAAGTTAAATATGGGCTATGAAATAATTACAATTACTATAACTTAATTCCATGGTATTATTTATTACTATTATTATTACATTAGAAGTAAGATGGTTATGATTTGTGCTCATGGTATTATTGTTAAATTGTTGCTGTCCATTTTCTCTGTTGTTGGACCCCGTAATTGAATGCCCTCACCACTTGTCTGTCCATTAAAAGAATTTAACATGGAGTCATGTTTTTCTGTTGTCTTTGCAATTTTTTATGAAAGTGTAACTACCGCAGTCTCACTCGATGACTAAATAATACAGAAAGTTGTGAAGGAATTAATCGTAATTGGACATCTTTTATACAATTCAAGAGAAATTGTGCCCCCCAAGTTTCTGCCTGAGTGCTCTGTCCATACTCACTGACTTTACTCGACTTTATTTTCACCCTGTACTATTTCAGTGGCCACCCATGGCCCTCCGAGTATGGGAAATGTGATATGACACTGTAAGGGCATAAATATCAAAAGAAGTGTGTGACTAGAATTTAGGAGCATGAAATGTTGGAATCAAGGGGGCAGAAAAGAGGTAGAATGGAGAAAAGTTAGGAAGACATATTGGATTAGACAAAATACACAAAGCTAAACACTTTTTCATTTCAGTTTTTTTATGTAAAAAATTAAGATGAGTTCTTTTGCTTGCATTCAGAATTACAAAGAAACACAATTTGAACAGTGGAAGGGCTTTCTGGCTGGTTTACTTTTGAATATTTAATATCTACTTCGGTGATATCTTTAAGATGCCTTGCCTCAATCAGTTTTGTTATTTTTCAGCTCATTTGGTGCAACTTTACATGACAGTAAGATTTAGGAACACCATTCATAGTTATGGTAGAGGAGCTTTAATTTGAGTGTAAAAGCAATCCAAGCACTTATTGGTCTAGAAAATCCACACCAACCTCCCAACCAATCAGATGCAAAACTTAATCTATGAATGATATGGTCCTTTCCGTTTCCCTCGCTTCAAACCGTTTCTTTAGAATGTTCCTGGCGATATGTCCTTTAGTTTTTTTTGTCCTTTGTGATTTCATTGGTTTTGGTTTTGAGACACTATTGAAAGGTCCATTAGGATTCAATTTAAGGTGCTTCGTGAGGGGCCATGTTACGACATGTTGAGTCATTTCGTCGACTGAGATTATTGTATTGTTAGAGAGTGAAACCTTAAGTTTTAGTTAGATGGGGTAGACAGGCTGCACATAAGTAAGAGTTAACCAGAGAAACCAGAAATCTTATTGTGGTAGACACAATTGCTCATGACTTAGCTCCTCTTAAAAATCACTGACCACGCCTTTTAGATTATTTCTTAGCCATCTTTTCACATGTTTTTCTAGAAAATATATATTCTTTGGTTAACTCTTTTCACTTTGATAGCTTGTGCCTCCATAACTTGTCATATTTTCGTTATTATTCTTGAGTGTTTGGTACTTGAGCATAATCCATGACGCTTTCTTTTCGTTTTCGTATTCTCGCCGCCACAACCGCGCATCCACTGAGAACAAAAGCCATAAGACACGTGGCTACTGCCGCTGACACCAGACTGTACTTTGCAGAGTGTCTCTTCTCATGCGCAACCTTCAAGAACAACAAAAGTGAGGGGGAAATCAGGGGACCATATTCGGTCATAAATACTGAAATTACGTCGCGGTGGTGTAAATAGGAACACACTAAACGACACTGTAGGCAATTACGTTACTGAAGTAGATTTCTCCCTTTAGTTTACGTAAAAATTATATCAGAGGAGACCTGCAAATATTTCTCAGAGATTGCGTTGTACTCGTTCGTGAGAATGACTGCTTTGCGTTTTAAATCGAATATTTGTTGATATTGCTTACTTTTCTATTTGATAAAGCTTGTGTTTGTAGCTCATCGAGTTCAACAGTATCCGCCATTCCGCCAGCTGGTATTTTTCCCCGCGCGCTGTTCTGCTCCATTTTGCTTGTCTTCTCTTCTTCTTTGAAAAAATTTTTCAAATGCGCCTTCTTTTTGGCCTGCGCGTTATCATTCTTTCCATTCTGACTGCTGCTACTCTCCCCAGTCTTTCCAGCGTCGTTTGCGTCAATGATAGTGTTACCATCGTGAGCTACAGGAAAATGAATGTGGCCCGGTTACACAGTGAACATAATAACATCATAATTGTTTATTGGAATCTCATTAGATTTCTCTGTCTTTGTAACTTCAAAGAGTCAAAGCATTACCGAACCTTCTCTTTAGTACTTAGATACCCTCTGAAGAAAACCATGTTTCTGTCGTCCACTTTTAAATTTTAACATCGGAAAAAGCGAACAGCACAGCCAACTGCCTCAAAAGTCAGTAATATTGAAGTGATATTAATACCGAGAGATAATATCAATTACGCATAATTTGTGAACAGAGTTCATGAGATGCCAATCCTTTTAGGGGGATGAGAGAATCTCAAATAGAAAGTTAAGAGGACAATCCGCTTAATAGTTTCATACTCTGGTCGTTTTGCGCAAAAAGAAGGGTCAAACAGAAAATTTTAGGGTTGTCGTAAAAAAATTCTTACCAGCTTCTACATGAACTGCTTTATGTAATCTCTTTACGAACGCCACCACTGGCTGCCACTTGTTATTCAGCGCGGGTGCAGTTGCGCAATGGTTGTCTGTGAAACAAGTAACCGAGTAACAGTTCTTTCCCGCCAAAAACGCAGCCTGGCAACGATCCAGCTCACAGCATAACAACATACACACTTCCAAGTCAGACACTTTTCCTAATTTGGTAAAATTCCCGGATTTGGTGCCATGGAGGAATGTGACGTTATTCCTGACTTCTCCGGGCTCACAAGACAGGTCACGGACTTGACTCAAGAAACCAGGCGACCATCGGCTCTTTCCTGAAAAGCATCAGAATTTATAGAAGTGAGAGATGAACGAAAGACTATAGGATAACGAACACTGCGTGATGAGAAATAAGCATGTTTGAACAGTTCAGTGTATGGTAGCTTTCCAAGTTTCTTCTCATTACAATTTGACGTCCCTCGATTTGTTCAACCTCAATTACCAAGTGCGAGCGCTGTCATCCCGGGGTTACTTGTTTTATACATTTAATGAAAAGAACATGTTAGAAGTGAAAGCAGAAACATTTTACCATAAAATGCACTTGCTTTATGAACCTGAAGTATTTTTCGTTTCAAACTGCAGCTTTAAAACGTTGATCGGGGAAACATAAAGGAATTTTCACATTATGATTTTGGACCAAGTTTCCGTAAACTGAAACAGTAATGCGTCGCGTGCGGAATCCTATATATTTTTATTGCAAGCTAAAGGTACTGTCAGAAAATTGCAGCAGCTACGAGAATCTTTTTTTCACAGAGCACGTCTCACTAATCTTGGTCAGAGGGAATGTTGATACCCGCTTTCGATCTCGTCAATTCTACTTTACTTCAATCAGAATAACCCATTGTTGGTTGGTTGTTTTCATTCTCTGACCACTGGACTTTGAAGTAATTTGCCTCAAAATCAGTTTCCTTGGGAAATTGAGGAAGTAGGAAAATCTGGTAATTGTAGATGCTATATACATCTTTTTAGCTATAGCTTCGTTTAGCAACTGATGTTAATCAGCGGTCGCTTCGATTCGTCGCAAGAAAAGAAACAACCTGTTATGTCCCATTCAAGAACTGTGAAGTACCCGCCGGGCTTTGCCAGCCTTTACTGAGGGGTTCAAAACAAAGACTTTATCAAAGAAATAAGCATTGAGGAGGACATCGAGAGTGAGAAAGAAATATATTTATAAAAGGCTATACAGGGTAAGCAGATTGTCTCCAGCTCTCTGTCATAGTGCCAAAATTGAGGTAATTCATTCGGTTTTCGTGCGGTGACCAAGTATTGTCCACCTTTCAATAGGGTCAGACTTGACATTTGTTTAAAAGTTACGATAGATGTTAGAACTTATCACAAATACCTGTTAGTACTGAACTGTAGACGTGTGAGATGTAGTGCGCTATGACAAAAACTCCAACTGAAGATGGTAGTTTCATGTTAACCAGTGATATCAAGTAATCTTCATGTTGTGGCAGTCGACACTGTAAATGGAGAAGTGCGAGGGAGTAAACAACGTGTGGTTAGTCCTGGTACCGACAGCACGGCATGTGAACTTGAGATTTTGTTTAATTGCGCAATTATTTATTTGTCAGTTTAAAGAGGAAAGTCACGCAATTATTTAGTTTAGTAATTTGACTGAAGGTCGAGGAAATCTGTGTAGCAACCCCTCAAAAAAAAAGAAACAGGTCTCACTAAAATCTCACTTATCATAAAGCGGCAGTAATGATTTGACCGCACACGTCTGTTTGTTTGTTGTTTTTTTTATAGTGCTAAGATTGAACCGTCGTGATCTTTATCGAAGATACCTATTTCACACGAGGATGTTTTCTGAGGTGTTATTGTATTTGAAAAAGAACAGAACTTGGACCAAACAATAATTGAATGACTAGGAAAAAATGCAAGTAGTGCATGCGTGTGGCCTGAGTACAAGGCAAACGAATGAATATTCATTTCTTTTAAATAGGATATTTAAATCCTTTCATTGGTTACTCTCTCCTCGTCAGTGACTAATTCTGGTTACAGTTTACACTTACAGTTCGGCAGCACACAGTTATTTTTTTCAACGGTGCACGTAAAACAGGAAGGTTTTGGAGCTACTTCGGGTGTCCGGTACTAGAATAACGGTACAAAAAGCCTTCCAAAATTTACTTAGCCTTTGTATATGTGTAGCCGGGCGCTTTGTTAAGCTGAGGTGGGAAGTATACCTTTTCAAGCACAGTACAAATATCAATTGCAAAACCTGCTTCCTAAAGGATTGGGCATCTTACTAGGATATGAATTGTTGCTAGAACTGAGGAGTTGCTCGTCTGAACATAAGAACAATTATAGATTGCCATTGACTTGGCAATTTCTGTAGTTATCGTAATTTCAATCAGTCTTGCCATGAAGGTCTTACATCCGCCCAATGCCTTTATCAAACCTTCGTACTGTCACGGCCATTGGCAAATATTTGCGATAAGATGTTGACAAAATGCTCACAGAGTTCCAAGACGCGCTGTTCGTTAAGCTTGATGTCGCAACTGTATTTTCATTTTCAATTGTTTTTAACGGAATCTGAGATAGATTAGTAGTTTTCGCAGGCGTCGAAACGTTTCATTGTTATGCCGTTTCTTTTTTTAAGACAAATTTCTAATGTACCGCAGACTTCTTATTAATAGCCTTCGAAATGAAGTAAATTGTATTTGACCTTACCTGAAAAGTTTACCAGAATGTTCTCCCTAAAAGTTCCCGCATGTTCGTACCCGTAGAAAACGCCCTTTACAACTAAGAATCATTTCGTTTATCATTAATCCATGAGCCAACACCCAGGTCGGTCCAGCCTCATGTGGCGTGACTTTGGAGTTTTTTCATTCACTGTCACGTGAAGTGGGGTTAAGCGACCCTTAATTTGGCGGGAAGTTTGGTCACATGCAATTTAGCAGGTACGCTATTGTCATTTTTCTCTTCAGTTCATTTGAGTCTTTAGTGCTATAATGCAAACTATGGAGCGTAAATTTCGTCTAAAAAGAAAAGTTTATTCTCCTCTGTGACCGTCACTGTACATTGTATAACAAACTCAGACCATTGTCGTCGCTGCAGACTAATTAAAGCAACTGTCATATGTCACTAGTTTGGTTCCGCTATATACAACTTACTATTTCTCTTCTACTACCCTCCTGTTGGTAAACCTGACAGAACCGTTTTCTACGTCACTTTTTGAGAACATCTGACACTACAAGCGTGTGCAACCGGCATGTTAGAAAATGAAACTCTTAACGTATTTTACAACTTTTAACGATGAACGTAAACTGCCATACTACTGTCAGTAAATTTTGCCAGAGCAATTTTTTAGTTACTGTCGACTCGTCTTCGTCTTTTTACATAAAACATTCGACTAGCTACGTCAATTCTCCTTCCTTGAGGAAATTGTTAAAACCACGAGAAACGAATGACAAACTGCGATATTTATGGTACCAAACTCCGAGTTAATAATTTCGATCCATTTCTGATATTTCTGTCTGTGGGTACGAAATGTGTTTAACCAAAAAAACGCCAAAAAAGAATACTTGTTTGATTTTTAGGGAAAGAAAGTCAGGTGACTCTTATTCATTTTGTTTCCCACAAACAAACTCTTCACTTCTATTTGGTGAAGTAATGTTTAGGGACGAATGAACATTGTGATTTCCTATTTGGGTGGTGACTTCTCATGTCATCATGGTCCGTCAGGCTGTGGATCATCAATGAGGTCATATGCTGCGCGTGCTCTGTGCGCAAGGATTCTTTTCGTGGCAAATGCAATAGAGGCGGTTCCCACAATGGCTCCTGCGACACCACATCCGATGGCTACGGCTAAACCAGAACTGGAAGTCTTGCCTGTTGGAATCTAAGGATAAAGAGCTGGCTTTGTCAATGTTAGTTCAATAAAGCGCGAGCTTCATCTTCAAGGCTTGTCTGTTTTCCGTAGAATTTGTTATTTTGCCATACTTCAATCAGTATTTGGCTTCGAAAATTTGCTCCAACTTCTCTATCAAGCAGATGCAAACTTGAACAAACTGCGACTTCGTTATCCGCGTCTTTACGCACGTCAGGCAGCGGGCATGTAATTACTTTGTTCTGATCAGCTACTGTGATTTCATTAGTTGTGGTTTTTGGCTTTTTGTCATCCGACACTCAATTAAGAAAGAAAAATTGAGCAAATTGTTTCATTTGTGCTACTCATTTGTTGGTTTCAAATTTGGCAGAAATGACGGAAAACATTCAACCGTTTCTGGCATAAGGATGCAGAAACAAAGAACAAGATTGTATGAAAGCTAAAACGAAACTTTGTATGATGCTTAATTTGAAATCCCTACCTTGCTCTTAACATCCTTTCCGGTTCCTAAATCATCTTCACTCTCTTGCCCTGTAAATCAACAATCAGTTGTCATCAGTCAATTTAGTTATCGCGGCCTTCCATAGACTTTCACAAGCAGTCGTCTTTTTGGAAAAACCACAAAATCTTTGTTGATCTTTAAGTAGAACGAAAATTGAAAAGGAAATATACACATTCCTAAAATTTAATGGTGTCCTGTATATGCCTTCCCCAAAATGAAGGGGGGGAAGGGGGGTGAGGAGGGGAGGTTCTTTATTCCTTTAGCATCTTTGTTCTGGGAGACTCGATGGTCACATTACTCGGTGCCTATGATGCGTTCTTTAAAAAAACAACCCCCTCCTTACAGTGCCTCTCTTCATCTAGGGGTATAACTGGGTACAAGCAAATTCTCTGACGACATACTAAGGGTAATCAGCGATTTACCAACATCCACCAATAGAGATTGTTAAAACCCCGTGGTCGTTCTATACTATCAAAATAAAGATTCGTTCTGGCAGCTATGCGAGTCAGCCTTTTACACAGGATACCTTTACCTATTTGATCCATTACGCTGCATCACAAAGCAGACTTTTCCTCTTCGCCTGAATCATGCTGTACACTTACCCGGCTCATAATAACAATAGTAAATCTTTAAGTTAAAGGGGTCTTCACTGGGTCCATAAGGATGTGCCCCATCTGCTGCATCAGTATTCCCTTGATCATCATCATCAAACTTGATGAACTCGCTTGTAACTTTGGTTCCCGCCACTTTCTGACACTGGGCTGAGTCGTAGGTGAGAAGATAGAAGGGTCTCAGAGCGGGGAGTTGAATTGGATTATTGACGTTTCCCTTTGTACTACAGCAGTATTTTATTGTTGTGTGGGATTTCTCGTAGACTCCATCGGGCAGGTCTCCGAAATGTTTGTCTTGAAAGTCTATTTCTGATTGTTCGTCGTCCCAACGGATGAAGCCTTCCTTTAGTCCGTTCGGACATACACCTGAAAAGGGAAAACATCATCATTCGTTATTTTAATAATATTCACGCTCCATATTTTAGTCAATGCTGGTGGTAACGCATTCACGGCTGTCTGTCTGTCTGCCTGTCTGTCTGTCTGACTGTCTATCTTCATGTCTTACCGCCGATTATCTTGGTAATTAAATTTACTAAATGACAGTTGTCGTTAGCTTCAGAGAAACAATGCTGTGCCATTTGGGAGGGTGATTGAAACCCAAATTTGTCCGAAGAATGGTTAGCACTTGAAAAATCAGCTTCTCAAAACTCGCTGACCAAGGCGGTTTATTTACGTTTTCAACAACAAGTTGAAAAACAATTCAACGCAACCAATTGACTCAGCGAACAAAGTAAAAGAGCAGCAATCTGCTACAGCTTGATCATATATGATCAAGTTTAAAGACAAATATTGTTTTGACTCTGAACAATTGAATACATGATGAGACACGTACGGATAACTCTGCTTGGGTTTTTTAAAAACTCTCTTACCTTTCTTATAAAGGCAGTATTTTCCTTCGGGCCAAATTTCGCTGCCACTGTCTCCATTATTACTTTCTTTCAAGCAGAATTTCTGCTGAATACCATGCGCTGAAAAGTTCCCAGGCATGTGGAAAATGTTTGACCGCTGGTTCTCATTATTGTCGTCCTCTGTGTCATGATAAGTCCAACCTGTCTTCCATTCAGTGACTCCGTCTGACGGACAGCCTGTAGTAGGCATAGGTAAACCGTATGTCCCACCTGGCCATTGAACTGAAATACAAGAAAACCTCCCAATGTATCTCTTCACTTTAACGAGGAAGGATCCAATGTTCATATGCATTGGTAAAAATAAGAATAGCTTTAGTTCTCCTTCTTTTGTGTTTGGATTCATTTCTTACTGTTTTCCTAATCCTTTAATTTAATCTGACCATATGATGTGGATCTTTCTTTTTCTGATAACCCTGTAAGTGACATCGCACAGATCTGAAAAAATCGTGATAAAACTAATTTGATGAGAATTTTAACTTTTTCTGTCTACCTTTTAACCGTATGTGCAACCATGTGGGCCTTTTGCATTTGTCGTAAATAGGAAATATGAATTAGAGGGGATAAGTAAATTTCACTACTCTTCGTCAATTGGTGAGCAAAATTAAAGGTGGTAGAGAAATCAAAAGGATGCTGATTAATGTTCACATCCAAAGTAAGCAAAGGGGTCAAAGCATATTTGTATTATGTTATGGTAACAGATAGGTCACCTCACGACAGTTGGTAATTAAGTGAACAAAACTCACCTTCAGCGTTCACAGTAGCCAGGTATAAGGTGAACAGCACAAGGCACCAGTACCTCATGTCTTCCCGTAGTCTCATGTCTTGTCAATCACTTATCTGAATGTATCATAGAAAGTAGATTAGTTTACTTAGCTCGCGTTTGGCTTTTTCGTAGAGCCCAACTGTTTTTTAGGTGAATTTGAGAGAGGTTATTACTACCTGCGTTTTGGTTGAGTTCTTTTAGTTGCATAGAAAGTCTTGGGAAACGTTTTCTGTGATCACTTTTTCAACGGGATACAATGATTTTATAATTGGGGCAGTTTAGTTGAAATTTTCACCACGTCTATCTCAATGCCCGTCGAAGCATGAATGAAATGATCGCCCTGCTTGTGTCTTATGCGATGATTTTTCAGTCTCAGATCAGGTCCGCTAAACCTTATAGTGTTATATTTATATTATTCATACTTTTCTACTTTAAAGAAAATATTTCTGGCTGGACTGCTCCATTTTTGCTCTAAAAAATGAAGTTGGAATGCGTGAAAGTGTTTTCCTTTATCCAGTTACCATTAGTAAAGTTAGGTTTCTTAAATTTTGTTTGGGCAGCCACTCAACCATCCTACGTTTGTACGAGCACGTGGAAAACGTTAACGAACAACACTTGTATTAGCTGGAAGGTTTGTCTACTTCGCTGTACATACCGAAGGGAAATCAAGGTCCTTCCGGCCATAAAAGAAGGAAATTTCTCCAGATATATTTTTTTCTAATTAGATTTGCCACCTGTATAGAAATGGAGCCCTTCATGGTCCAATTCTCCCGCAACAAATCGACTTAGTTAAAAATCAGCGATAAGAAAGAGCTCGGGAAATGAAAACCAAGAGAAAACGAAAACGGACATTTTCTAGTACTATTTTGTTTTTGCAAAGCGAATAATATTACCCAGTAGACGAAGCTCTCGATGACCGCGTTTTTCCCGAATGTGACCTTTTGATTTTTGATTCGTACGCTATTACATAGATAACTACGGTAAAAGTAGCATCTGTGAAAAGAGAGTTGCATCAAAATTGGAATGATCGTCAGAACTACGCCAGTTTTTTAAGCATTATTATTTTAGTGGGATTTGAAAAACTTACCTAGGAAATTCACTTCCACCATATTGCTCTCTTAGAGAAGAAACATGACGTCATGGGATAGATTTATCTTGTTTTTGGCATTTCAACGCGCTGATTGTTCACGCCCTTTGCATCACCCAATCAGAGAGCGAGATAGGGTGGCAAAGTTCCAGGTATATCGCATCACAACATACCTCCTTCGTGAGATAATGGCGCGAAACATTTCCCGCTCTTTTGCCTTCGAAGATATCAAAAGCTGCGATGCCTGACAGAGTGAACGGCCTTATTTCTCGAACAATCAGTGTGGTGTTTTGTAAGTTAGAGCCTAGAGTACAAGGATCAGTAATTTTGTTGTTAAAGAGTCCTTTCTCGAGTCGTCTGTATCGATACGTAATTCGTGAGCGCTGAAAACTGCACATTAACCTCCATGAAAAGTAAGAAACATTCCCGCTAAAAAAAAGACCATCAATTACAAGAAGTTTAGGTCATATTTTCTGTCAAAATATCTGGCCTCTCATGTATATGGCTCTTCTAGAAGAGATGAAAGTGAAGTAGGAGGTTTGAAATGTTTAATATATTGAGCAACCACTCTCAATTTCTAAGATTTAATTTCAGGTTAAGCTCCTTTACAAACAGCTCAAAAGAATTATCAGACACTTAGCCTAGCAATGCAAGAAGGCAAACTTTCGTTTATAGATCATCAATAAATTGTACAAGCTCTACAATAAAAATTAGATGTATATATTTATTTATACTAGTATATATTTTTAGGAGACAGGTTAACATTTCTTTATTTAAATCTGGTACCCGCACACGTGACATGCCCATACCACCGGCCGGTCAGGTTGAACGTTTGGCGAATTATGGTCTGGAACTGACCTTCATGCTCATAAGAAAGTCAAGTAATTTATAATCGGTTTTGTTCAAAAGCTTGTATCGGATAAAAATCAATATAAGGTCGGCAATACCTGCCTACCAGCGGACTCTTCACAAGGTGGTTTCTATAGGGTGCATTGCAACCTTAAGGAGATTCTTCAGGATTATTCATCTTAGAAATTTTATTTTTAGCTTATCCTTCCAGTTTGAAGTTTTTTTGTACTTACCAAACCTGGAAAATTAGAGGACACGATTGTTATCAGTTCACAAATCTTCTACTCTCTCAGATTATCATCCAGACAAGTAGATAGGAACTGCGGGGTGTTTAGTTAACGCGAACACAGAGGGACTGCTGTTGTTTTTTTTCTTCCAACAAACCTTGTTCTTTCTCACATTATCATCCAGAGCGCAAACAAGCTGAGAGCCGCGGGGGAATTTATGGAACGCAGAAAGTGTTGTTTTTGCTCCCCCTCCACGCTCGCTCTCGCGTACTTGATTCGCACAATCTCACGATCGTAGACGGAAAAGTGCTATGATTCCTCGAGCAAGCTAATAATAAGTGGTTTCATTCAGTTTGAAGGTAATTTTGCACAAAGAAACAACAACAACAACAACAACAAAAAAAATTCAGACATCATAAAATAGCACCCACCTGAAAGGATACCGGAAGGATATCAATCAGAAGATCCACAAATCAACGGAAATGGTCCCATGCGAGAAGACGAGAAGCTCCACTCACGGCACGTATTAACTTTTTAGGAAAATCATTGAGATTTTGGACGTCGCTGTGAATATCTTGCTCCTGTATCACTCCTGTATGTCATAGTAGGTTATTTCTTTTACCCTTAAACTCTGAGAAGTGATTAAGATGTAACTTTTCATTTTAATATCCATACGTTATCCAACAAATAGGTAATGAGAGTACTTAAACTTATCAGGTAGAAGTTACCTCGATCTAACACCAAATCCTCGTAATTAATTCCAAGGAAATGTGTAGCAGCTAGAGGGAAACATTAACAGTTAGCTCTTGGGAGTTAAACGGTTAATAAACTTCTTTTCCCTTTCTAATGCCTTAGAAAGGGAAAAGATATGGAAAAAAATCAATGACAAAAACAATTCTTTTGGAGTGAAGTGTATTTTTATTGTATGTGGACTATATTTTTTAAGGTCTTGTCTTTATAGCGCGAAAGTGACTTCACCGTCCATCCACGAGTAACGTTAAAATGCGTGACAGTAGTCTCAGCTTAGCAAACCTCTGACGGATGACATTTTGTCAATAATTGATTTAACATACCACGATCATTACAATTTGACAACAGGTTAAATGTGCAGAAAAACCAGTATGTACCATGCTTAGTTTCTATGTGGTTATAGACCAATGTCATTATACACCCTTTTTAATTCGTCTTTCACCCACTGTTTTTTCTCAGTGATTTCCTGAAGTTCGTTCTGCAGTTCGTTGCGTTTGTAGCTTAGCGCAGCTATTTTTCTTTGCGCCAATTCAGCTTTAGCCTCAGACTCTATGTAGCTGTTTTTAAGATCTTCGATTTTTTCGTTGAGGGCCTGTTCTTCTTCTTCACTCATCCCCTGTCGTGGACTCGACTGCAACTCCTCCACGGTTTTGTTGACTTCTGATAATCTGGCGTGAAGCTGACCTTCTAGCTCTGACAAACGCTGACAACGTTTCTCCGCGAGCTTCTTCTGCAGTTCAACCACTTTAATCCGACGAGAGGCTTCGCTCAACTTGGATTCGTTAATGGTCACTGAGTCTTTTACAGTTTTCAATTTTTCGTGCAGTGTGTTCTGTTTTGCGTTCATTTGAACTTCCTCATTGGCTAGATTGTCCATTGCCCGTTCGTTCCTTTTCAAAGTCTCGCCAGTTGACCACAACTGTCCTTCGATATTCTCCAAACGAGACGATATCCTCTTTATCTCAACCTCAGTCAATGTGGCTTGCTGCCGCAACGCTGCTGCTGTAGCTTCGGCGCAGTCGATTCGTTTGTCAACTTCATGTAAGCTCTCCTTAAAACACTCACTCCTGGCTTCGGCCTGATCCAAACGAATTTTTAATTCCGTGATTTTTTGCCGTAGTCTCTCTGCCATGTTCGACGCTTTCCTAAAACACAGGCTTAGGATGAAATGCGCGCATGACGTCACAATTAGCTTTGCATTGCACGACAATTATCACTTTTGTTAATCATGTTAATTGGAGCTTGAGTAAGGTTTAGTTCGATTTGATTTTCCTACTCTTAAGATGATATTAACATTTGAGGTTTTGACTACAATCCCTTATCGTAGAAATGTGACATTTTATTAAATCGATGGGAATACTGCCATACAAAACTACATTTCTTTGGGCTAACTACGTATACACCCTCAGCTCGCTTTTTCTGTCTGAAAAATGTTAGTCGAAGTCCATTTGCGCGTAACGCACAGTTGCGCCCAACAAAAAAAAATTATCGATGTATTACTGATGTAAACATCTTCATGCACCCTGAATTTTCGCTCCTAACATATTGATTGGAACTTACAGAAAACTGGCTAAGTTCTATCTATTCACGCTACCTCTACCACCAGTACAGCAATGGAAATACGTTGAGATTGTAGGCAAAAGTTTCTTCCAGGGAAACCGCTGCACCACATGATTGTTTTTCCGCCACACGTGATCAATTTCACTGTGCCTTTTGTCAAGCATTGATCGTGTAGCCAAGAAAAGCATAACACGCGAAAAATTCCCGAGGGAGAAGTTCGTGAAACGCTGATTGAGAAATATAGGCGTATTGGCACAAATTTAAAACGTCGTATTGCTTTTCTTATGTGTAAAAGAGCGAGACAGACTATAACCGATCAGTAAAAAATGATCCAAATCAGATGCATGTTTTATTACCACATAATACACAAAACCGTAAAATGAATTCAAATTTAGATATAGTATAGACTGATGTCTCTGCTTCCATTACTGATATTTCCGATTATCCCGAAGATCCTTCCTCTTGCTTCTTTGAACACATTCAATTGTCTTTTGATTTGCTATTGTTAATCATAATGAAAACCAACAATCTCTATCATCGTCCGGTTGATTCGGTTTAAGGACTTTCAGTAATAACAGGAAGCCTTAACTAATAAATTGCACAGTTGGTCATTCGCTATAAAGACGCTTTTTAGATTAGTTTTGATAGATAATTGCTATGTAGAGCATCTGTTTTCTTTTTTTTCCGGTAATGTTGGAGGATGATCCTTTCCAAAGTTACAAAGAATGATCCTTCTGTAAAACCATCAGAGTGACATAAAGCTTTTAAAAAACTCAATGCCTCACTTTTAAACGTGAATTGATGGTCTAATTTAAAGAGACTAATTCACAAAACTTTCTCAAATAAAGGAAGTGTGTTTTTACTAACCGATGGATAAGGCCTAAAAGTGTAACATCATTTGTTTCACCAACAAAGCATAGAGTAATTGAAAGGATAAGTGGATCCATTGGTTTTAAATCTAAACATCAACATAAAAAAATCATGCCTTTAAATAAAAACCTGCTCGAATGAAAAATCATTTCAATTTTTATCTTCTTTTTCTCTACGTTTTGACAAAGGATGATTAAAAGCTCGGCTTTCTTTTCGCCGGAATGTACAATAACTTAAAGGCCTCTCAGAAGTGTAAATTTACCGTTCCAAAAGTGTCCTAAAGCAAAAAATTGAAGAATGCTGTGTGTTTGCATAGAATTTATGTATGCTTGAAAGTCGTAATAATCATCAAAATTATAATAGAGCCCCCAGCGAGAGAAACTGTTTAAGATGGTTTACAAACATCGCTGTTTCGGTTGGAACTGGAGCGAGAAAGTTCTGAACTTTAGGGGATATCATGAAACCATTTTCTCGACATCGAGCGGAAGTTAACGAAAATGTTGTTTTTGTGTTTAAATTGGCACATTTGTATTTGCTGAAATTGTGTAATAAACCTGTGTGTGGGTGTTTATCAGTTTGGTTCCAATTTTGGTCGAGTGATGACGTCCTTTTTATTGAAAACATTTTAAATTTCTTGCTTTGAAAGATTGATTCTGAACAGAAACTTCCTTTAGTGGAGGCATGTGACGCTAATAGAATGAATTAAGAAAAGATATATTATTTTGTTTGCCGGCAATTTAACGAGAAAACCACACGGATCGATTGGGGTCCAAACCTTTTTTTATATTAAGTCAGCGCTTTTAAAGCGTTTTAAAGCACAGCATGGAAGTGAAGGAAAAATAAACATGTAAAAAAAAGCCCCTATAAAGGTTTTACTTGAGGCATGAATGGGAAAAAAACATTTTCATTGGAAGGAAGTAAAGGTTTGTGGAGTAAGATATTAATAGAACTCTTCCAGAATTGAGTCACGAGCGAGGTGAGCGTTTTCAAAGAGGTTATGCCACGCCAAAGTTTTGCAAGTAAGCATATGAAGTTAACAAATCGATGATATGTTCTCTTCGATATTATACTACACCAAAAATTTACTAGAAAATTATGGTATAAAAATAACGAATCGACGATAAATTTTTACAGTTTTGCCTTTTAAAGACTGCCTTATCGATCTGTTTATTTTTAATTGACAAGAACCCACAAAATCAACATATAATCCTAAATTTAGAATATCAAGATTTCTCTCTATGTATATAAATATCGATCACTTCAGAAAAAAAAACATTCGGGAACACTGACTCATGATCATCAATTTTTAAGAGAGTCTTGCATCACATTCAGAAGACTGTCTCATTTTATCTTCTGGATACTAAAGACATTTACAATCTATTGAAATAAAAGCATCGTGGAATAGAATTATATATATATATATACATATTTCTTTTACAATGAAAATACTCCACCAGTTTTAAAGGTAGAATAATAGTTACTCCTTTATCGGATTTTGCTTATAAAAATTAAGAATTCTTTTCGTTCTGCTTTTGCCTGAATTATTCATAAAGTAAATTAAGAAGCGTATCAGTTTCTGGAACTTACTTCAGGTAAATCATTTATCAAATAATGCACTTAATCATCCTATTAGCTTCAACAGATATGCTTTATTTAGTGTGAATTTTTTTAATATAATTCCTAATGGCTCGAAATAATCTTTTGGCGGAGACAGAATCTCTCCCACGTGTGATAAACAGCTGTATACACCGCTCACGATAACATCTAATCATGAAATACGTGGACAATAAGTTTTGTTATCAGATACAATCGAACAATAAAGGTTGTCAGTTGTGAAGCTCGATGGCGTTTGTATTAAGACCACAACTGCCAAACAACGGTCCAGTAATTTTATGTTCTTCGTTGATCCTTGTCATTTAAGGCAGTGTTGAAGTGATCGGCATCTTTTCAAGGAGTGACGATCATGTAAGTTGTATACGTTTTTATTTTGGGCTTTATTTAGTTAACATTACGCCTCACAGTTGTCGTTTTGGATTTCATTTTACGATGAGATGAGAACCATTAACGTCATGGCATCGCACTAACTTTTACCTTTCACAATTTCATTCACTGGCTAAAATTTCCCGGAACTCTGTCTAACTGTAGTATACATTGTAAACGAGGCTTTCAATATCCAGTTATTTTGGCTTTTGAACCTATTAAAGTTTTTCAGTCATTTCTCATCGAAACGAAAAGCGTTCACTATCATGAAAGAAAAAAAAAAGGCTTTGTTTTTTCTCCCGCAGAATAAGCGAGTTAAAAAACTGACCGAAAAAGGAGAACATTGATTATTGTATAGGAGTACCGTGTGAGGCTAAGGCTTATATTTTCCAACCAATTTTTTTTTCAAAATGACAAATGAAAAAAAGCGTTTGGATAATTGTTATTAACACATTACAGGTAGCCGGCCGTTCCTGTTGTCCATTCAATTTAGAACGCGCACCACACGTAATGACGTCACCAGCTGTTTCTACGCGACGCCTCTTCCGAATTGTGCTACTTCGTTCTTTTGAATTGGAAATGAGAGACGATTAAATTTCATAATCAGTCGTCGAATAAAAAAGGAAATTATTTGTCCCGTCACGAACACTGGAACACGAACATCCTCGATAAACCGAACCAGAGCACTCGATGATGACTCTGCATTTTTCAGTCGGGGAGAGGCGAGTTTCAGGAATTTGCGAGGAAAGCGCGAGGGCGAGAGACACTCCAGTTTAGGAGCGCTAGATAATGACTCATTCCTGGCGCTGCTGCAGCGGACCTAAAAAACGCGAAACAATGACGCCTTTCCCGCGAGCTACTTAGTGAGAAATTTTAAACATTTTTCGTTGGCCTAAATTAACAGTCTGTCTCGGTTTGTTTCGTCTTTCAGGAGGTTTCTTTGTCTCACAACAACCGTTTTCTTGCTGATATTGATAATTTTCTTGCTTTGTGCTGAGATGCCATTTGTCATTGCTTCAAATGCCAAACTAGACGATGGAAATGAAGCTCATTATAAACTGTGTTACTCGACTTCAGAGATAGACAGGCTTCTTTCTAAAAACTGCGTGAACCTCATAAAACGAGCGACGAGGAAGTCAGGCAAGTGTGTCTTTAATTTCTATGTGAGTTGCGTAAAAATGTAATCATTCTGATAAAATTTAGATGCAAATTATAGTCCTTGCAATCCTTCCCTCTTGGGTTCGTCTGCCCCCGCAGACGATGATTTCTTTTTTTCCATCCTATTTACCTAATATATTTTCACAATGTTGAAATGCTTTTGTTGAGTAATAATTTTGTTTCCCCATAGGTGAAAATATTCTGCAATCTCCCGAGAAAGCAAGACGATTTCTACAAAAACGTATTACTTACGTTACAAATTACGGATTGTTTATGGAAGAATGTTGTAATGAAGGTGGCTGCCGAGTAGAGGAAATTCTAGAACACTGTGCAGCCTCTGAATAGAATTTAAGGAATTTTTCTTAAAAGTTTTTTCCTAGGATTTCGTCGGAGACTATTGTAGGTTTGAAGATAAACATTTGAAAAACAACCAAGATACCATTCTCTCCGTATTCTGATTAAAGTCCATTGTTCTGACTTTATTTTTCCACAACACTAGATATCGCCTAACTAATAACAGGAACATGTATTGGCGCTAGCCAGATATTTCGGTCGCGCTCTTGTGCAACCACTTGGGCCGACATTGCTCACAGTTCTCTGTGCGTCATGGTAAACAGAGACTCATCATTTCTCACAACCTTGCTGGTAAAACGGAGTAGAGACTGGGAGGGAACTTTTTGAAATTTCCTTCACGTTCCTTTTAATGGTGAATTCCACTTCATAAAAGATGAGAAAAAAAATGTGTGTCTTATGTATACCTAATTTTTATCATTGCAACTTGATCATACTTAAGGGAGAAATGGAGGTTTTATTGTCTGGCTGTCACAAATGGCGTGACAAATATTCTGTGAACAACATAGAAACTCAACAAAAGGTGTAGTGATGGTGAAGGGACATAGCAATTTGTTTTGGCGATATATAGGTCATGTTCAAGATAATTGAAATTGTTAAAGCACAAAGGAACAAGAATGGCTAACTTTGAATGGATATGGGTTGACTACGATGATCTAATAAAATCAGGCTGAAATTTTCACCCAATGAACTATAGTTCTTTCTTAGCTCAACTGATTTTTTTTTCAGTATTTTAGACGAAGAAGTATGAATTTTGGAAAACATTACACAATCTTTTGGCGGTGCCAATACTTTTAATAGTTTTACCTCGGAAATTGAGGATTTCTACCGGCCTCATTACTTCGATTCATTATTGCAATTAAAAAAACTGCCTCTTAATGAATGACCTACATTTACCCAACTTTATTGCTTGATTAAAGAAGCACGTGGCATTAAAAAGAAGCTCAATTTTTTCCAGCTAAGAAATCTTCAATTTTGATAAATCCCAAAATTGAAAAAACCTTTTGCTTCTAGAATAGATGTGGCTTTATTCTTTTAAAGAATTCTTGACGAAATTGTTTTTTAATTTTTACACGCATTTCTATTCATTTACTACATCTAGAACAAAAAAAAAATGGAAATTTTATTCAACGGAAACTCTTCGCTGAAAAAGGAACCGGACGTTAGGAGCTTCTTTGTCACAAATAGATCGACGATTTTTTTCAAAATAATTAGTAATAAAACATAGTCCAGTCATATTTGAAAGACGCTTTATTAAAGAGATATCAAATATCACGCCAGGTCATTAGTAACGCTGTTTATGTATGTCTTTTTTCGGTGAATTTATTTAATAAACCCTGCTAAATTAAGCTATCAAAGAATCGTTGATAAATATCCCGTCAAGAACCTTCCAGAACGGACAAAAAAAAGTCCATCATAATTCTAACGCGAACGCAACGACGGAACCAAGCCAAGTAAACGTAAATTAATAATTGTTTCATAGGAAATAAAAATGTATCTGTTGACAAAAGATAGCCCGGTGTCCTATAAAAACAATCCCTAGATTTAATTGATCGTTTCCACATTTGATTCTGGCGGTCTTTGTCTCCATGGTGACTACTCTTCGTAGGCTTTGTTCAAGCAATTTAAGGAATTCGGAACCAAGCCTTCAGGCATAATACTGGTAAATTTAATTATATTTATCTTTACGATAACTTAGGCGACAATCACGGTGAAAAGTCATCCTTAGTGCTCTATTTGCGCTGTGCTGATAAAAGGTAGGTACTTCTATCATAAGTTGCTTAAGATCGCTCTTGAGTTGTCCAGTTTGCAAGAAATTTATGATTTACTGAGTACATTATCTCGTTAGTATACTTTGCTTTGTAATTCATCTCGCTCTTAAGGAAGTTTCGATCTGATCTATGACTTCTTCATCTCCAAAATGCACGTAATTTCATTTATTTTTTACACCTTTACCATGTGTGCGTTTAATAACAAGGATCAACATTAAGATCTCGAAAGGTTTTTTTTCGGTCTCGTTTGATACAAATTTGAATGGATCTTTGAATGGTTTGTTAAAATCGAAGGGCATATTGAATGATTTTTTTTAACAACGTTCACTCCATGTTTGTTACAATGGCACCTACTGGGTCAAGTTATCGTTCTGTTGAAAGAAAAATCCAAGACAGTCCGACAAACGCCACAAATTTTTAAAATCATTTTAAGATCTCTGTCATGAAAGTTTGGTAAAAAAATACAATGTAAAAATAACAAATCCCTGGGAAAATTTATCCAACGAACCGTAAACCAGTCTGTAAACGTGATTGTTTGGAAACAAAAGACAAGGCACTTAACCTGGATCCATGTTTAATAATTCTCAAATTCTCGTGTACCTTTGTTTTTCAAAAGGCGAGATAGTGTCGTTTACTTCGCATGATCGAACACGGTCGTTAATAAAAAATTCTGTCTACACTTTTAATTATAAGAGGGACGAAAGCGAAAGATCCCTTGGAAATCGAAAGATAGTGATTGTAAAGATGACATTTCATCGGTAGATTAAAGAGCATCTATCTGTTGATCAGATAAATGCTCTTGTTCGTTTACCCAACCATTAGTCTCGCATTAAAGGATATTTTGGCGCCATCGGAAAACTTAAAGCGGTTTTTGAATAAAAATCGTCTCAAATTTGGTGAAAATATTTAGATGGACCGAGGGACGCTAAAAAGTAAAGGTATGAAAACTAAAAACTTACTAAAACCGTGATTTTCAATTGACCTCATATGTTACTATCCAATCGGTTAAGAAAACAAGACGGGAAACGATTTTAATGTAGACCTGTGAAGCTTATAGTGGCCGGCATTGTTGGCTTTAAGGCCATTAGTTAAATACATGCAGGATTGAATGCACGCTTAACTCGGGTAAGAAAAAAAATACACAACTTTTGTTTTCTTTTGAATCATGTAATGGAAGATTTTCAATGTTCGTGTGAGATGTTGTTGATAATAGCCGCGCACATATACGTCGGCCTAACATCTTCTACTTCTGTTCTGAACAGTGGGTATCGATCATGTTATAACTTCAGACGTCAAACGGTAAAACCTCCGAAAAACACCTGTTTCAACATCCGTACCACGGGGCCTTTGAAGGGTGTCCACTGAGATTTCAACAAGAGTTGAATACGTTTGGACTCATACTGAAAAAAAACCATTTTTTTTAATCTGGCTAACCACTAGATGCATGTGCATTCGGCGTTGAGATTGTAATCAGTAATTAAAAGTTAATGTATTTTCTTCAACTTTCGTGGTACTTTTATAGATAAACTGTGAATATTTGGCCAGCTTATTATACTATTCCAATGTTTACTTCTCACAAGAATAGCTTGACCAAATTGAAGCCCGTCCTTCTATACTATGAAAGGATCAGTTCCTTGTAAGATTGATATTGCAATATGGCAAGCTAAGCAAACAGACAATTTTAGAGAGAGCAACGCCACATAGACTTCTTTATTGCCCAAAAATACTTTGCGCGGAAAGGTTAGATCAGCAGGAGCCCCTGGATCAACTGGAATTATTACCTATGTAACGAGAATGGGCAGAGCATAGGCGGGGGGTAAGGAAAGGACCAGCTTTCCCATATTTTCTCCTCAGACAACTCTGTCCCAATGATCTATGTTGCAGCAGAACTACCAGGAAGAAATAGCCTAGTATTATATCCATGGAAAAATATACCTTAAGAATTTAATCAAGAAATTCTAATTATTTCGGGTTTTTAATGATATATTTTGTTTTGAGCACACTGTCATTATTTGCAATGATTTTTATTTCAAATTACTCTTGAGTTTGCTTGGGAAGGACATGGTTTGTTCTGATATTAACCCGTGTAATTTTCTCTCCCGTTCTTAGCACCATGTCTTGCAGTATCAAACTTCTTGTACTTGTAGCAGTTTGCCTTTATTTACAAGCGACTTTAGCCAAACGGTATGACTTCAAATTTTGCTGGAGTCAATCAGAATTTGAGGCGATTTTGGACTCGCAGTGTTTGAATCGTGCTTTCAGGCGAGGCATTGAGAAGGGAGGTTTGTATTATGTCAGACGAGAGTTTCATGGTCAGTAGTTCTTTCTGTGGTACTTGTCATCGAATGTTTCATAATCAATTTTGATGTGAAATCGTTTCGACTGTATACATTGGAGTCGAATGGTAACCAGTCTCCTCATTAAACACGGTGCTTCTCTGTGATTGGTTTCTCTACAACCGTTGTGCTGGCTGGTGTAGCACAGTTCATAGTTTATCATTCGATTTACGCCTGATCGAATTCATCATTTTTGCTTGGCCCTGGCCAATGTACCTGCCCAGGGTTTTACCAATAGCCACGCGGGGGTGGTGGGGTGCTGCAAGGTACAACTTAAAAGCGCATGCGTATCAAAAAACAAATAATCACCGCACTCAATTTTTACTCAACGATAATAAGAAAATGAAATATTAGGAAATCGGACGATAGCACTAAAAACAAGTTTATGTCTCCCATAATATTTTCGAATGTTATTCCGTAATTGTTGTCGATGTTTAAAAAAATGATCTTGAATAATACGCCTTCCTCAAATAATCGCCGCCTTTGAATAAAAGCCGCTTCGATAAATCTAAATTTTCAATAAACGCCGCAACGTTTGATCGAATAAATACGGCACTTAAGTGACTGCATGTTAGGCTCTTTGTTCTGTTTTGCTTGCCAAGCTATTCGGTCGATCTATCCGCCATCAATATGAATTGCCCGATTGATTGATCGCTTAACTGATTAGACCTTTTTCAATGATTCACAGATTTTGTGAAATCGGAAAAAGAGGCCAAGCACTTCCTCAAGAAATTAGCAAGGAGAGACCTTCATTCTGTGGAGCCTAGTCAACCTACGAACTACCATGAAGAGTGTTGTGTGGAGGGATGCAAGTATGAGGAAGTAGCGGAATACTGCTTGTTGTACTGAAAGTTTATGATCAACATGAATCAAAGGACACTAGTTAGAGCTTGGAAAACATGTACAGTCATTTCGGAATCATATTCTTAAACTATAGTTTAAGTTGATCTTATTTGTGAGAGTTCCCTTCTTTTTCTTAGCTGCCCGTTCGGTCTCTGCGATCGCTTCCTTTCTTTGTACACATTTCGTGAAGAAGAGATAAAGTCCTCATTAGAGCATGACTCAATCGCGATTTGGTATGCTGTCATGAAACACAGATGAGTTTGATATTCAGAATATTTGCAGCCTTTTATCGAATGTTTCTTACTTTTCTGGCGAGAAACGAAATTAGTGCCGATTTACTTATTTTCAGAGGAGGGCAGCCATTTCTTTCTCCGTAGAGATGGCTTGGGGTTTTTAAGGTTTACTCATTAAATAAAGTTTGATTTGGGGTCCACACTAGTATACACGGCCTAATCGCGGTAAATCCATATGTTCTAGGTTAAAACTATGAGGTTAGAAATTTGATTTACCGGAATGCTTTCTTCTGATACTCGTGACTCATTTCCCTTGACTAATGACTCGTGACCTTCGACCCTCCACCCGTGACCTGAGTATTAAGCCCGCCGTCTGTTCTCGTTTTTACGAGTGGAAAAGGTATACTTGTAGTCTTCTCAACCTCAGATCTTGTTACTCTTTTAGTTATACAGCACAGGGAATAAAAGAGGGGTCGAAGCCTTATTCTGCGACCGAAACTGGTTGATAATTACACGTACGATTTTTGTTGTTCGTTCTGTGATTATGGATTGCTCATTTATTTCATTACATGACGTCCTTATTTATCGATTGCTATCGACCCTCGTTTGCCAGCCCTTTTGGATCTGCTGAAAAGGAGTGGATTTAGAGAAACAATCCTACGTTCTCTCCCCTACTGAGTTTATTTCTTTTATCAATACGCGCGAGGACTGGGTATTATCAAGATTGCTCTTGTCATGATACGTATATTTGTGTCGTGTTGTTTAGGGTTTTGTTCGAAGTGCACTTAATTTTACGGCTTAAGCTGCCATTTGACTCAGCAGCTGGTCTTTTTTATTTACATAAGAGCGTTTGGAAGACTAATTGTACTGGATAATACACCTTGGGAACTAAATATTGTTTACAGCGTCCGGCAGGTTCGGGAAAGATCGGATGTCACGAATTCGTATCAAGTACAGAGAGGCACATTGTAAAGTCGTTGAATTTGTATTGCTTCAAGTGTGCTTTATTGGCAGGCGTTGGTGTTTCGAGTTTTGAATGCAAATCAAATCTGAGGTAATCATCTGGACTCGTTCAACCACTGCGGTTTCGAAATACGTCGACGTAACAACTTTGCCAAGATAAGGAGTAAGACGCCGGCTTTTTGGTCATAAATTATTTTTGAATTTTATCATTTGCCGTGGACTGTTGCGGTTTTATGCAAAAATATCGACCTCTATAAATATACCATGAGCAGCATTTCGGATTAATTCACGCCACAGTGTTGTTGACAGAAGTGAGACGACTTTTGTTGTTTTAATTTACCTTAGTTGTAGTGCGTGCCTTCGGCGACTTCTAGATGACTGAGGTCCTCTCTGATTCAAAGTATTTATCGCCAGAAGCGATATTCCAACGAACCTCCAGTGAACCCGATATATTTGGTACGGCTATAAGGCAAAGGACATGCAGCAATGCTTCACAGTTGCAATACAATAGAGCAAGGGAGCGATCGAGGGCTTCGTTTACAAACGGAGAAAGATCTCGTTCGCCATCCCCAGTTGGTACTTCGAATGGTAGTGATTCTGAGGGTCAGATGGTTGTCGATGGAAGGTGAGGGGAATAAGTATTTACGTTTATTTAGGAGTTGAAAAGGGATTTTGTAGAGATAGTTTGTAGCCTTTGAAAATTCGAGTTTTTAGCCGAGCAGTGCTAAGCTTTATGTGCTGTGTTATGGTGTGATGCTTAAGACAGGCAAGAGCACAACATGCGGAAATGTTTGTATTTCTCTTTAAGAAGTTAAGCCGTTCATTTTGATCAATTTAGTCGTTCCAGGTGTTTCTGGGATTCTTTGTTATGGACAAAATAAATTTTTTTGCTTCATGAGAGTGTTTTCATTTTGAAGGTAAAAATTGTCTGTTTTAATAGTTTTCAGATCACATTGTTGTAATTGTTACACATGCTTAATTGGTTTTGTCTTTGTCTGGGCGCATCTGAGAGTCATCCAATAGGCTGAATACATTTCTAAACATTCCAACAGTATCTTTTTTCTACATTTGGTGTACAGTATTGTGTCTAATCCTGAATGGATTACTAGATGGTGGAAGACCCTAGAGCTCTGACTTGCATTTGTTAGGAGGGTGATAAATTTCCCAGTATGACATTTAGTGTTGTTTTCAAGAGGCCTCTCACTTCACGTCTTTTTAATGAGATAATGAGAAGAAAGAAAAATGTCAACCAGAGGATATTGAAGCTACAAGGAACCACATGTTTCTCTTTATAAATCTAAGTTGTGCTTTATATTGACCAAAATTGTAAGACCTAATATGCAGATTCCTCAACTTCTTGAATCTGGGTCACCACTAACCTGTTTGAACATGAGCAAATACAGTGTAGTAAAGTGTACAGCACTTGTGAAAATGAGTGAAAAGATTGATCCTTGGTTCACTGGTGAAAACATTTTTATCCCTTGTGATATCTGTTTCTTTAACAGATCATTTTTAGGACACAAAAATTTTATTCTGGCTTCATGTTAGCCTTGAGGGAAATTACAGTGTACCCTGTACTATTTTGTAACAGATATCTTGGGAGAAGACAAAACTATTCTGGATGTGAAAGTATCAGCTGGGAATGAGAATGAAACCGTAATATTCTCTGATTTCTGCAACAATAATCCTTACCAGCCAAGATTTCCAATATGAGTTTATTTTTTAAGCTCTGAGTTTAAACTGTTGACAATGAACCAGTTTCAACATAATTTATTTTCTATTACAGTGATTACTTTTTTTATCTTACCTGAGGCTTGTTTGTTTGTCTTTAGTACACTGAATGAAAGTTTCAATAGTGAAGACTTTACCTTCAGGGATCGTGCACCAACGTCACCAAGTCGTGAAGAGGTGAAGGCACAGGCTTTTGAACGACTTCAAGAGGAGCTTAAGAAAGCTCAAGAGGTGAGGGCTTTTAAATGTAGAACTCTGGAGAGATAATCCTTGGAGTCTGAAGAGTGATCATTGTGTGAATTCTCTTAACTCAGTCCTGAAAATAAGCAATGATAATCATGACATTTATCGACTTCATAAGATATTAATAGAGTCAATTTTTTGGATGCAAAGTGTACTGCTGAGTTTACAAGACAGGCCATAGGAAAGAATTCTCTTCCATTCTTAGAATTTACCTTTCACCTACGCAATTGAAAGGATCGAGATATTATAAGATTTGAAAGACTGTGGCTAAGCCTTTACCTGTAACTCCCAAGATCTGATTGTTAATCCTCCCCTCTAGCTGCTATACATTTCCTTATGAATGAGGCACAAGAAGTTGGATTTAGATCAAGATAACCTCTAGCTGATAAGTTTGAGTATTCTTATAACTTGTTTGCTGATTAATGTATGGAAATTATTGGGGGAAGTTACTTGTTAATTATGTTAAAGGTTGCAATGTAAATAAGAACTTATTTTGATCCATTTTGTCTATCAGTTCCAGTTATGTTAGAGTGCTTGGGCACCAAAACCTGTACACTTGCAACTGTTTCATTTGTTTAAGTGTAATGATATAATTCTGATGTTGTCTCAATAAAGGAGCTTAAGCTGAAAGATGAAGAATGTGAAAAACTATCAAGAGTCAGAAATCAATTGGAATCAGAGTTAGAAGAACTGACAGCAAGTCTGTTTCAGGTTTGTTTTGAATATACAACTGTACATGTAGATTGAAGATAACTTAAGTGCCACTCATTTTTATTGGGAATTCAAGTCAAATTGCTAGTTCTAAATTTGTCATTATATTTGCATTATTTCTTTATTAATCTAACAGGAGGCTCATGCCATGGTTCGTGCTGCAAATGTTAAAAGGGCTGCAGCAGAAAAGAGATTCAAGGAAGCAAATAACAAGGTTGGTGGAAAACTATTTGTATTTTGTTGATCCTCGGTATTCCATTTATAAATAAGTTTTTACATGATTAGGCATGGCAAGGCTTGATTTGAAATATTCTAGATCATTACAGAAGATACTCCTATGCGCTCAGCTTCAACTGATAAATTGTGCAAGTTTAACCACCTGTAGGAATCATTATACAGTCAGACCTGGAACAAGGATGTAACTTTGTTGTCAAAATCTGTCACTAAGTTATATTTTTCAGATTTCATTAGTGAGTACGGAAACAGCAATGAGATTTTTAAATGAAACAAACTTCATCCCATGCTGTTATTTATAGGTTGAAGTTCTTCAAGCAGAAGTGTCTGCTCTTAAACAGTTAGTGTTAACCTCCACATCATCACAAAGTCACTCTAGAGGAATGGGCTGGCGACGACACAGCAGTGAGCACCTAAGCCCATGTCCAGATTGTAACTCATATGATTGTGATGCTGCAGTGACAATGAGGTTAGATGGAACATGTTTGCGTGGGCCACAAAATGGAAATAATTCCCCTTCAGATGAATCGGAGGTTGGTACAAACATTTTTTGTTTATTCTCTTACTTTTGCATTGTAGTTTTAACCCTTTAACGCCCAAGATCTCATTAGTAATTCTTTTTACTGTCTGCCATACAGTTCTTATGATGTTAGTTTGGAGAATTTGGTATTGGATCAACTTATAATCCCCTAATTGATATTTTTCTTCATTCTAATCACTTGTCTGCTTGATATTGTACTGATATTGTGAGGAGAAATTCTCTCTTGGTCACTCATGGGAGTTAAAGGGTTAAGTACAGTTTTGGTGTATTGGCAAAAATTGAAGTAATTGCAGTCGAAAAATATTGTGCTAATTCTCATCGAAATTTTAACCCATATTCATTAGTAAGGACCCTTCTCAAAGTAGGGTTCCCAGTGTCTTAGTGTTGCTGCCCTGTGGATTGAAATATTTCAAAACCTACTTGTACCCTGATTACTCTCCTTATTTAGCCTTGGGACCAAATTAAAGTGCTAAGACAGCTATTGATTGTTTTTGTTCAACCTACAGGTATTCTATTTTGAAAATTATTCTCAACCTGGCTGTACTTCTATTCGAAGCTCTTGAATATTCAATCAAACATGTAAATTATCTTTAGGTGGATGTGATCCTTTTCCGAGAATTTTTACAATGGATGGATGAACGTTCTGTTTCTCATGATCAGCCATTTTTAGCCAGAATATATAAAGAAGATGTTGGGCCATGTTTAGACTTTCCTAATAAGGAGGTATGTGGTCATTACTGAGGTAAAGTATACATTGTAAATTTCTAAGTAATTAGCAAATGGGAAAATTAAATTTCTCTGCATTAGCTTTTGGCTTTTTGTACTTGTGATGATTATGGCAGCATGGGAAGGGGAAGTGGTGCCATCCCTACCCTCCCTTTTACCTTCTTAATCCCTGCTGTGTCCTCTTTGAAGAATCACAGCTCCATCAATATAAACAGGTTGTGTAAGGTGTGTTTCTTGGGTTAATAACCTGTTGTCATTGCATGGCAGAAATTGTGACCACATCACATTTTATTCTTTCTGTGTTTTAGCTCGCATTAGCTGTACATAGTGCAATTGAAAACAACACTTTAATGATGGAGACATTTGGTGGCAAACCAGTGTTCAGGTATGTGTGATTGCAGTATGTCATTTTAAGTTCATGTTTTGTGTCCTTTCCTTTGTCCTTTTTCATACAAATATTTCAATACCCGGAATTCAGGACAATGTTGGAACACATCATTTCTAATGCTAACCTTTGTATGAGATCAATTTTACTCAATTATTGTGTGGCTTAACCCTTAAACCCCTAAGCGTGACTAGCTTGTAATTTCTCACTACAATATCACCCCACATCAAATATCGTGGTCACAAGAATAAAGGAAATGATCAATTACTAAAGAAGTTCCTAATTGTATTAAACAAATTCTCCTTGTTAGCAAGCTAGGAAATGTATAGAGAACGGTTTGGAGAATATGACTACTGATATTTATGTAAGGGTGTAAAGGGTTAATACAACGTGAAGGTATATTACTTTCATCTTACTCTATAGCTGATAAGTAAACTTGGTTTTTTTGGATTATCTTCTGATAGCATCAGAGCGAATGACGAAGGGCATAGGAACTCTTAACGGTGGCCAATTTACATTATTAGCACAGTTGATAAAACCAAATTATCTTGTTATACTCTCCTACCGACGCAGCACCATAGTTTCGTGAGAAACTTACCCCCTTTCTTCATATATCTCAAATGACTTACTCTAGACTTTTCCTCAAATCTACTCCACCTTTTCTTTGTTCTGTAGGAAGTGTGCGCTCACAGGAACGTCTCGATTTTGTCTTCACCGTGTGAAGTTATCAGAAAAAGGTGACTGGTATAACCTCAGTCGCAACAGTAGAGTCAGGGTGAGTGGTAATCGTGTGAATGCAAAAGCAGTTTTAGTGAAGGTATAAATTTTCACGGGGAAACTGAAAATAACAAATTACAGTGCGTGTAAATTGTATGTAGGCTCACTGGAATGAGGCTATGAGTGGTCTAAATGTTTCACATGTTTATCAAGTCTGCAGTCATGGACTTAAAGGAATCTGAAGTTTGTGTTCTCTATATTTTGAGTTCTTTTTTACTGTCCAAGTGTGTTCTGTGGTTCTTTTCTCTTTCCTCTCCACCAGCCTTAAGTGGCATATGTGGTAACACCTAACTTTTGGCGACGTCCTTAGGAAAGTCAGCTTGATCGCGGGCCCTTATTGATAATTTAAAAGCGTTTATCATAGCCTTGAACGGCTTCAATACTTTACCAGCCGTTTGCTGATTCAAGACCATTTACGTCTCCTAACTTATGTTCTTCTCGTGTTAGATTGTAGCGGTGTGCGATTTTTACACTTATGTGCGTTACATCCAGCAAGGACTTGTGAAGGCAGACGGTAGGTGTGAATATAGTTTACCTAATAGCTGTAGCTTTCAGAGCAAATGGGAAATACCTCTAAGTACCTCTTTTGGTTGGTTTGCCTCTGCGTTTGAAAGAAATAGACAACGAAATGACAACAGCAACATTAACCAAGACAGCAAATCATAGGGGAAAAACAATAAAATGGCAAGTGTTTGTTATATGGAAGAGGAGAAACTTCAGTGATGGAAAAATAAAATAAAAAAAGAAAACGAGATGCGTATAATCAAGTGCCACTGAAATGTTAGATCATTGCCTTCCTTTAAAGTAAAAAAAATTCCTTATAGCAGACTTAGATTTACCCGCAGCATTGCCAATAAATCCGGACTGTTGGGGGTCAAATGTATCCCTTCTTGGGTATATTGCGAAAATTTCTTATATGTGAAACTTTCATCATAAGAACAGGTTATGTTTGCAGTTTGTCTCAAAACGAGAAAATGCGAAAATATGATATCATTCAAAGCTGCATATTCTTTTATCGTTGTTGCGACTTTCTTTAACTGTCGTGTTTGTTTTTGATTATTTATTCATTAGTAACAGAGATATACTGGGAAGTAATGAGATTGAGGAGTGAGATGGCACTCGCGCGGTTAGGAATGGAGGGCGCAGTCAAGGTTCAAAGAGGCAGCGGTCACTCGTAGCAACGCATGCTCTCTGATTGCAATAACATTTAGGATCCGTAAGTTTTGTCAGGGCTTAGAACAAGGCAAACTTCTATTTTTGTATGAAATTGACTTTGAATACTGCTATTGAGAGTTGCTTTTAAGAATGAATATGGAAATTTTTATCAATGGTCCTGTGAGAATGGTTTTCGAAAGATTTAATAGAATTTGTAAGACTTCAATGTTTCAACTATTGAAATTCTTAAAGTATTTATGCTTGCATTTTGTGTTAATGTAATTGAATACGTCATTTAAGGAGTTACAACGTGAGCAAAATTCGTGTAGGGATTTTTATTCATTTAAGCAAAGTTATTAGAATTTTAAAATATTTTTAAGTGTAGAAGTTGTGGTTTTTATCGCCAAATGACTGTGTTCGCTTTGGGATATTTCATTTAGAATCAAGTTATTTAAACGTATTCATGTAGAATCAGCGTGTATTATTATTCTAGAGCGCTGTTATTACATATAACTCCATCACTGACAGAGATTGTTGGACAAGAATTCTAAGGAACTTTGAAAAGTAGGTTCTCATGATGGAGAGGTTTTTTTTAGAGTTGTTGTGCGATTTTAATTGGTGATGATCCATTTGAGGTCAGGAAGTGAATGTATATAAATGACTCAACAAACAATATTCTTAAAATAGTTTTTATCAGTAGTTTCTATTTTTCTATGAGAGGCTCTTTCTCATTTGTATAGAATTAAATAGACTTTTAATGGTCTAACAAAACGAAATAAACATTTAAGCCTGAGGTCATAATCCGGTTGGTACATTTTTTTTTTGTGTCTGCTGCATTTATAATGCATGCAGACACTTAGATAAGCTGTAAAACGCGCGACCAGCTACTTCATATACGACAAGATCTCGGATTTACTCTTGACGTTTCACTGCGGATTCCATTTGGTGACACGACACATGAAGTATGCACGGAGGGGTAATACTTTCGGCCTGTAATACTTTCGGCCTGTAATACTTTCGGGTGCAAACTTCGTTCCTCAGGGGAATAATCTATCCAATCGGATACGAGGAAAGGACAAAGGAAAGAGGTCGTGGCGAACTACCGATTTCCGGGAAGACTCGGAACCAATCAAATCTGAGAAAAGGACAAAGTCAAATCCGTCAAACCATGTGCTTTCGTAAAACGTTTGGGTTGCATCGTATCGTCCTGATTTCGTTCGTCAAGCCAGGGTGTATTATTGCTTGCAAGGTGAGTGATCTTTTCGCTTTTCATATTTGTAATGGATTTCTTAAAAGGTGTTTTCTCATTTTGCCACAGCATTCGCACTGGGTGTCATTCCGGCCGAGTGAAAGGTTTTGAAAGATGCTTTGAATTTGTAAATCGACTGAAGCTTTCTCGGCGCCAACACGATCACCGCCCGGCCATTTTGCAAGTGCTCAGGACGCAAAATAAGCTTTATGAGCCCCATTTGGGGAATGCAAAGTTCCTTCGGGGAACAATTGAGCCCCATTTGGGGAATGAAAAGCCCGTTAAGGGAATTATTAAGTCTCACTTGGGGATTACAAAGCCCAATGCGGGATATAATATGCCCTGTTTACGAAATGGATTTGGCAGAAGATACATGTATTTCACTACACACGTGAAAACATCTATCACTAGACAAACATGTGCGAAAGCTGTGGTGATTTTATACAGAGGAGAGAAACCTAGAACTAGTATTCTTCATGATAATTACTATCTAAGCATCGCTATGAACAGATCTTTGCATACAGTTGTAAGGTATCAATGCTTTCAAAAATTGGAATCCTTCATCAAGATGAATCAAGCGCTCAATTGCTCCTTCACATTTCAACTGTCCAGCATTTGAAGATTTGCTATTTCCTTTGCACTTCCTAAGTGCAACTTGTGATTTTCTTAAGAGAATTTTCATTTGAAGCTTTTTTGTTTTGAAGAATATATTTTCAACACACATAGCAGCTCTCCTATCTGATCGTCTTAGTTCAGATTTACAAATGTCGCTATAATGAACATTAGCTAGTCTATCTTTATTCTCTGGTCGACTTTGACCAAGGAATATACCAGGATATGCTAACTCTTCAGAATATTGATCTCTGAATATACTTAAGGGTTTGTTTCCCTCTCCTGGTGCAACATTTAAAATACGTTGAGGCAGACTGTCTTCAAAATAATGTGTGTTGGTCAACATGGTGTCAGTAACACCAGCAGGTGTTTCTGCTTCATCTTCAGTCCACTGATCATCATTATCATTACTGTCATTTCCATCTTGCTTATTGGAACCACTGCTCTTTTCTATTTCTTGTAATTGTTCACTTTGATTTTCAGTATTAGTATCATCTAATAAACAGTTTGCAGTATACTGCACTCCCCAACCTTCATTTAGTGTTATTCCTTCCTGTCTGTAGAGGCTGCTGTTGTTGATTGATTTATAATGAATAAGTAAACAAATAAAAAATTATAATTCACCTAGGTAAGTTTTTTTTTTTGGCATTTTGTTGTTATAGTTAAATTTGTAGTAGTTGTCGTAGTCGTTGTCGTCTTTTGATGCAGTGCTCCCTATGTTATTAGAAATTTTGAAATACATTATATTGCTATGAAACAAACTCAAAAGGTTCTTTTTCACTTGCAGGCAATGGAAGAACAAAAAGAAGAGATTGTTGGTTTCTTACACAATGTGTCTCCAACTAAAAAAAGTAGCAAGACATCTTACTTTGACATGTCCATACAAACCACCGATGGCTTAGTAAGAGGAGTCTGCTTCTCCGGAAGTAAACAGGAACACTTTGATCAAATGAGCAAAAGGAAATCTCCAATAAAACTTCGAAATTTTAGAATTGAAAGAGCAGGAGATGCAACCACAGTACTGATGAATAACAATGTACTGTTAGAGCCTACAAAAGAAATACCTTTTTCAAGAATTGAGTTGCCAAGTGCCAACAATATCCAATCAATTTCAGCTGCAAACACAAATCAAAGTATCACCATCACAAAAAAGCCAAACTTATTCAGATGTCATCAACAAAAAAAGTGAAGACAGAGGATGGTGAAAAAAAAAAGTTGTTTGCCTATCTTGTGGACCCACATGGAGCCATTAAGGTGACACTTTGGGAACAATTCTGTGGATCTCATTAATCCTGCTGATTATTTCTGTTGCGTTACATTTCTGATACATTTCATTTCAATTAAAAGACAAACACTTCAAAATACTTTTAAAAGTATATTCACCTATTAGTTACTTGAACACAACAATGTAAATATACTAACTTTGTTTTACCTATGTTTTGTTCCAAATTGATTGCATATTACCATTAAATGAAAAACATAATGATTTCCTAGGAATTATTACAACCAGAGACTTTTTCTTGCTTTGCAAAACTGCTACTGCGTTTGCATTACAGTTGTCTTGTGTTACAAAGACTTCAGATACTATTCAATTTTGTTAAAAACTATTGGCTGTTGTATTTCAATTCTTTGATTTAAATATTCTGCTACAAAATAAAAGAAACGTTCACTTTAATGTTAGATTCTTTGCAGTACCATAACACAATAAAAGTTATTTAAACAGTGATGAAGATGTAATCACAATCATGATATTGATGATCCCTTACCTCCAACTGGAGCATTGGACATTCACCACTTCAGTTCCCCATCTTTGTGATGCCTTGAGCATTCCATGGCACTGCCTTTCGGGAGATGTTTCTAGCCAGTTTAACAGTATTCAAAAAAATAGGCGCCTACAGCAGATTCCATTCCACTGTAGCAGACACAAGTACCCATTGGGTACCTATTTTTACTAAATGTTGTCGCTGTTGTTTTTCGTGTTGTTTTTTAGACAAGCTTCGGAATTCGATTTTCCTTTTCAGTGTGCGGATCTTTCTAGCCAACATATACAATTGAAATACTTAACTCTCTCTCTCTGTTAAAGTTCCTGTCGTTGAAATTTTCTTCCGTTCTAAATGATGCTGCATTAATAGCCAACGTAGAACGAAGATAAAATAAGAGCTCTCGTAGGGATACAAAACCCGAGACTGTTTTCATCATTTGACTTGATGCACTATCAGCTGACCTTCAACGGAGTAATCGTTGGTGAGTCTGGCTGTTTTCGAGGTTCCTATTTTGCATGAGTCATGCATAATGCTTTGATCAGCAGAGATAAAAGCGCCCTGTTTAGCGGCATAGGGCACATATGTGAAATTACTCGTCAAGTTGTCGCGGAAAGGAAGGTGTCAACACCTCTTAGGAGCCTGGGTCAAAGAAATCTGTATCATACGAGTAAACTTTTTATTCTGTTGCACAACGTTTTTAATCGCGACTTCGTGGCTTGTAATCATACATTTTGTCTTACGACTAAACAAGACGAGCCTAACGGTCGTTTTTTCCAGAGAATAGTAACTCGTGTAATTCACTCAACAAGGTGTCGATGATTCTGGATATGGTCTGATGTTTTACGGCTGCCTTATTTGAAAGGCTCCGTTCAATCTTTCACCCTTTTTCTCATTATTATTATCATTACTTTAACTATTATTATCATCATCATTATTATTGTTATTATTATCATTATTAGAACTACTGTTAATATAACCCTAATCATTATTATCAATACTATTATCAATATCGTTGAATCTTTCACCCTTTTTCTCATTATTTTTATTATTATTATTATATTATGTTAGCTATTGTTATTATTATTATTATTATTATTATTATTATCATTATTATAACTACTGTTATTATAATCCTAATCATCAATACTATTTTTGCTATTTAAAAAAAAATTACTTTTAACTATGACGTACAGTCCCACTTTTGTAATTGTTACCATTTATTTGACTTAATTATCAGTTGGAGTTTTACATTATGAGACTTCCTTTAAGTTTTTTACCTTTTTCCGTGCCTGGTGGTAATCGTTGCAAGTTTGCAAAAATATTCAAAACTTCTTTATAATGAGAAGCCATTTCCTAATGTTCCTATGAAAATCGGACAGTTATGAATAATTCATGTTTATTATTGGGTGACATGCGGCAACGGTACGGTGTGATTGTTATCTATATTGTGATTGTTATCTTTATTGTGATTGTTATCTTTATTGTGAACCGGCTTTATTGTGCGAACTCGAATACTATGAGTCTTTCTGGAACAGATTTGCGGTTCAAATAATTCCTTGATAGCTTTACCATTTTGACAGGTGTTAATTTAAAACCATAGGGCCGTTACATTTGTAATGATATTGTTCTCAAAAGCGAACTTTACACAGGCTTCTTTGCATTTTTCCTCACTCAGCTCGTTACCTTTCTACCTTGTTTAGAATCAATATTCTGATCGTTATATTCCTTGTTCATCCAAAAGGGGAGAAGCTGCAAATTCATATATGTTATGCGATATCGCAAACATTGCACTAGAACGCAAAAGCCATTTTCTGGATGCCTATCAGTTAAGGTCTAAAAATAACCACCTGGGAAAAATCAGTCGGCCGAAACATTGGTGCGCTAAACTTAGAGCACAGCAGTCAACTCCCCAGGAACTTGAAGTTTTGAAGGTTCCTATTTTTAACTTAAATTTGTTATATATTTACATTGTCGATATAGCTGTTTTGTCTTGATGTTTTTTTTCTAGAAACATCGTACGCACAAAGTTACTCGCAGGGTTGAATAAATCATTTTCGCGCGCTTTGCCTCTGCATTTAAATTACGATAAGCTATCTCGTATTTTTTCATGTACATTATTAATATGTAATCACATGATTTTCTTGTGCAATTTGGAATAAATAAGCACTTGTTAATTTTTTTCAAAGACCACAAATTGCACTCGCCCTACGGGCCGGTACAATTTTGTTAGTCTTTGAAAAGAATTTACTCGTGCTTATTTATTCAAATTGCACTCGAAATCATGTGATTACCTATAATAATTTAACATTACATTATAGAAACTTCTCTGTACTCATCCGTGGTATCTTTGACGTTGTTGCTGAAAGAAAGAAAAAAGCCCTCGCGAAGCGTCTCTCTCATAGTAAAATTTGTGGTTTTAGTTACTTTTTTCGTGATTTACAGAGAAGATTTGTCCTTTCTTTTGTTTATTTTTGTGAAAAAAATAAGAGATATATTAAGGAGTTTCAACCTGCATTCAAATAATTTGCGTGACGTTCACTAGTTAGCGCAATTTTTTAAACGATGCTCTTGTAGTTTCTTTGCGACTCTTTTTTTTCCGGTTCATAATTTGTAATCAAGCAAAGAAAAACAATAACAGTCGGTCAAGGTCGCTCATAAAATATAATCTTGAACTGTACGCGTACCAAATGTGTATCTTACTTAACAAAAGACATGCAAAAGACCTTTGGCTCTGCACGTGGTCGCAAATGTACGTAATGGGTATTACTTTCCTTTGCATTGTTGGAGGCTCTAAGAAGATCGCTCTATTGTTACCGTTAGACGATTAGCGTATTCATCTACCCCAGAATCTCCACGATCAATTTATACTTTATCGACCTCGCGGATCGCATTTTCCGACGGATATTTATTTTGGTAGAATGTTGTAATTCGTGATAAGTTCATTATTAATTAAACTGGGGATCGGCATCGATTTGTACTTGATTAGGAATTGCTTCCCGCACACTCTCTCTTCGCCAATTATATATCCATTTTGTCAATATACTGTGACAAGAATTCTAAGTAATTATAACGCGCACAGTTGATTTTGCCTCCCTTCTTGTCATTGTAGATGATATTTCTAAGAATCTAGTGTATTGAAGGTCCTTTGATGGAATATAATATCACTTCGCTGCGCAATAAATACCCTTTTTGATACTTTATTCCTCGAGAGTGAGGAATCAAGAAGTGCATTTTGGAAAGGGTTCTCGGCGATTATCCTTTTTAAGATCTAAGCAGGTGTTTGCGACAAAAGAAGGGAGAAAATCATTTGCAACGCCGTAAATGCAAATTGTGTTTAGATATTAGCGCACTCTAGTTCTGCGTCGGAAACATGCAGTGTGTGGGCTTGGAGATTTCCTCTACCAATTTAAGAAAAAACAGATGAGGATGTTTTACAAGTCTGTGGTATGTGTCGTCTACTTAGTCATTGTTAAGTCCCAGAGCAAGCAGACTAACTATTTTTCCAACAAGAATTCGGGAGAGCCTGAAGAGAAGATAATGGCACTGCTGTAGTAATATGTCAGACGTGTTTGATAATTCAGCCAATCGTATGTGCGATCATTGACAAATCGACGTATCATAAACAAAGCTCATTTCGCAATTTGTTTTCGCAGGTGAAAATATCGCTCTCAAAGACAAATCATTCGTGCAGAGTTTGGTAGATAACAGTCACGTAGGAGGAACAGGCCAAGCGAGGTGATAGAAAGAGGAGAAAACGCGGGCATCACAACCCGTAAATGGTGCTTTAACGGTTTGCCACGGGTTTGTCGCGCAGACGCCGCCTTATGTCCAGTAACATTACCTCAGAGTATAAAAAGCTGGGCCTTTCCCCAGGATTTAAGATCTCTATTATAATTGTGCTGGGGTTGGAAATTGTTCTTGGTATTTGTGCTAGCTGCACTGTTTTGCTGATCTATTGGAACAAGAGAAGTGTTCGGAGTGTAGCAACGAAGTTCATCGCAAATCTTGCTCTTATTGACTTTATAATCTGCTGTGTTTGTGTTCCGTTCACCATCGCTCGCGTTTCAGGATTTGCACATTCCACACTGTTTTGTTGTTGGCATGAGGCTGTAACATCTGCTCTGAGAAATGCGTCGTTCATAACTCTATTGCTTATTTGTTATGACCGTTACAAGTCAGTAACGAACCCGTTTGTGTTGAGACTTACCCACCTCAAAGCCAGGCGCGCTGTTATTTTGGTGTGGTGTTTGAGTACTGTTAGTCTTATAGCACCTTTCCTTGAATGGCGATGGAAGGCCAAAACATCATGGTCCTCTGCGTGTATTTTGATGTTTAGCGAATCAAAAGAACCCTGTTTTTTTCGCCTGTATTATCTGCCATCCTTTTTATTGTCATGTACAATTCTGCTTCCCGCCTACTTGCGAATATCGAAGGCCGCCCTCTCCAGAGTGCACATACAAGCCATGATGATTCGAACGTCGTTTATTGTGCCTGCGTCGTTTTCACAAAGGCGGAATGAGGCAATGGTGCGTCAAAAAGAATGGAAAATCGCCAAAATGACTGGAGCAGTCGTCTGTTCTGTGTGTGGATTATGGTTGCCCTACACCACATTAACATTCTCTATGTATTTTATGAGGCCCTCTAATCACTTGCTTCGTTTAGAGTTCGTGTTTTTAGCTTTTGGCTACTTCAACTGTGTCTTGAATCCCTTATTGTATGCTTTTACAAAGGAGAAATTTCGCACTGCGTTTTGGAGAACTTTGCCTTGCAAGAAGTAACAGGTAGAGCGGGCATTCAACTTTTTGCTCGTTTCAGCCTCAATTTACAAACTATCTCTTTAGTTTGTTTATTGTGAGGATGTTTTAAACCCATATACTTCCTAGTGGCCCTAAAGGCGGAAGATTATCGAAATGAGTTGAAAAGTTGAAGCATCTCTGCGCTTTTCGCAGTTGAGTTGCTTCCCGTAAAAAAAATTTATAGCGTGTATTAACGCACGTAAAATTAACGTATATTTACTTTTCTAGAGGACTTCGTTTCCTTTCGAATAAGTCTATTTCTTACACTATTGTAGTCGGATTTCCGCGGCTCAGTATTTTTATGCGAACAATAAAGAAACTTGTGTCCACACAAAGCTGCAGTTTTTTCTCACATCGTGTTTCGGGACGTTCGTTGACAAAACGATGAAAAATGCAAATTGTGACCAAAAACATACACAGATAATCCGAGCAGATGGCATATGAAAAATAAACTTTCATTTTTTTCCCTCGATTTGCATTTCGGTGGATTCATTAAATCATAAATTAAACGCTTTTCATTTATTTTGATGATTTTAATAATTTTTAGCCGATTACAAAATAGTCTTTTTGTTACTTTTTCGTCCGCTCTCTGTATTATGCAGTTCTATTAGATTTCGTCTTTCGCAAATGCGGCCATTCGTCCTTACACTGTTCCGTGCGAGGTGAAATTTATGAGCTGCAGTTGTATCCACGTTACGGCAGAGACACGGCAAAGATGAAAAACCTACACAGAAACTTGAAACCCGTGTATCGATTGTACCTGCTAAGACGAATGGATAGAATCTTTACTCTTGCAATAAAAGACTTGAAATGAGACCTTTTCAGGAACAGTTCAGTAGTTCAGTTTACAAATAGGCGTGAATTATTTAATGGCAAACTGAAGCAATTACAGTTTCACCTGACGTCACAAGTGTGCTTGGAGCAATTAATATGAAGTTCCTTCAAAGGGGATGGCTGCGCCAGTTAATTTGTTGTTAGAATAGAGGGTAAGAATTACAAAACAAAATTATAAAAAAGAAAAAAAAGGCGAGAGTAAAGGAAATGATAACCAATTATATGAACATCACGAAATTTAGTCTCTCTTGTGCAGGTCACTTGTGTTTGTGTAATTATTTTGTTTGGTAACCACGCGTTAATTATTTATTTCAATGTTATTTTTAAAATCTTTGATGCTCTCTGAACTTCACTTAGTATTCCTATTTTTGAAGAGCTGGCTAAGTATTTCAGCAATTTTTTGCACTGACCATGCTATTTTAAGCCTTCAACTTTATTTGTAATTCTCGTAACTGTTTCTGATAAAATTCTTTTTAAGTTAGCTCTGAGAATTTGCTATTGGATCAACTAATATATATTTACAAATATATTTTTTAGTTCTCATCATCACTTCGCTGCCTGATACTGTTTTGAATTTCTAAGGAGAAAGTATGTCTTGGTCACTCATGGGAGTTTAAGGCTTATTTCTCAAATGGCGACAATATTTCCTAGTCTGGAAAACATATACTTGGGCTGATATTTTTCGTAGCTTTGGCTAACATCTCAGTTTTTAAGTGTATCAAATTGCAAGGATAATTTTAGCTCTTATCATGCTTGGCCTTCCATTTTAAAGAGTACGTGTCAACTGTTGACAATAAATTTGATGTTAACAGTTCTAGGTATAAGTCATTATGGTGATACACAAGGTATGTGGAGATTTTAACGCCAGATTCCATCGCGGTAACATATTGATAGTTATGGAAACTGGAGTATAATTACTCAATCGACAGCGATGTACTTAACCGCTGTGTCTACTGAAATTCGTTTGGCTTAGTCAGTGCTAAGATGAGAATTTATACGCTGATCTCTGCCTCGTGACCGTAGTTACGTAGATAGCTATCGGAAATAATCTGAATTCTTCGCGTGCGTGATACATAATTCTAGTCTTTCTATCAATTCATGAAGGATATGGGAGGCATTCTTCGCAAATCATGGGTAGACGTTGGTTTATTGCCACCTCAAATATTTAGAAGATGTAAAATAAACCGCGCTCTGTGAAGCCCGGCATTCTTGTAATCGCCTCGCGACCTTTCAAAAATGAAACTCATCCAAAATGCATTGCGTTTTCATCTGCCTATCTTCCATTCATTTATCGCCATTAGTATGATTTGATTTTTGCAGACACTGAAGTCGATTTCATTAAAAAATATGATTTTATATAGAATGTCCTTTTACGGTGTATATCGATCAACGTGTATATCAATTCACCGACATTGGTTTAGCTCTTCTTCACTCGCTGATTAGTCCACAAAACTTGCTCTAAACTTATCTCATACAAAACCAAAGCCAATTGCGTTTTCATGTCATCCGTGTATGAAGAAAATGTTTTATGCCTCACTATGTTTTAATATTTTTTCTCTGTCACTTCTTTTGCTTTTGTTGTCGTAAATCCATTTTTTGTCAGTGCATTTGTGTGTAATGACTTATTTTACGGAGTGTATAAAGTGTTTACCATCGGTGCAAACTGACGCTTTCACCACAGAACACCGCACAAAGACTGACTGTCGTTACAGGACATGCAGCTAATCTGTTTGCGTGTCGGAAAACCCAGGAGTAAGGATTAACTGTATTTTCGTAATGTTTTTATTTTTCAGTTCTTGTCATGCATGTGTCAGGAGCCCATTACTCGGTGAATGAGCTCCTGCATGTGTTATTCGCTTTTAAATAACAACTGTTAAGCCTAACTGAAAAATCTGCAGTAGTTTTTGAATGCAAATCAATAACGCTCAGTCAAAAAATTGTGCTACGCGGCTAAAAAACTTGTTGCGAACTCGCCATACTAGCTACTATAGTATACGTATCCGTCAATAAACAGGAGAAAAACTGTCCAAGGCAGACTAATACTTGAACGCTGCTGAGTGTAAAGGGTAATGATTGTCTGCTTGATTGAGTATTTCAAAAGGGTTACAGAAGGTTCTTAGACTCATTTGTTTTTCTCGATGCAATTGTTTTGTCTGATTTTTGTTTAGTCGTGGCTTCTTAAGTTTTGGCATCATTCAGGTTTAATTCCTTACTCCCCACGTGCCAGATTAGCTCAAGACTATGATGAAACTATAAATACCTCTTTTTTCCTCTGTGAAATTTGCTATGATGCTAATTGGGTTATTAGTAATACAAAAGCAATTCATATACAATTCATACGTGATCTGTTTTTTATTATTATTTGTGGCGCTCTGAATGTTTTTGGTTTGATCGTTACAGGGGAAGTAAGCTCTTGATCATCTAAGTAATTCCGCAATTGCTAAAAAATACTTGAGTTAGCACATTTAAAAAGCTTCCTGTGAAACATTTTTCGTTTATGAAGTGGACATTTGTTTTAGGTAACCAAAGCAGGTTGTTCAAATATTCATATATCATAAGGACCATAAAGCGTTTTCCTTCAATGCACATGAAGCATCCAAAAACAAATCCTATAAGCCGCAGACTATGGCATTTGTTTAAAGTTAACTCTACAATGATTAGCATGAAATAAAAAATTAGGTATATTCTAAAACTTGTTCAAGTAAGGGATACTTTGTGATGGAAATGGAGCTAAAACGTCTTTTTTCCCTTTAATCCCGTTTTTACGTGTGGTAGTTTTCGATTGAGCAAATATCAGGCTCGATTGATCAGATAAACAGTTTGGTATGTCAACGTAGTTAATTTTCTTCCGCGGGGTTTTGATGATGGGCTTAACATCTAACCGTATTTCTAACTTTGTCACGAGTGTAAAGCCTGCTGTCATCAAAACAAATGTTTCCAGTGCAATCCTCACAAGTGCAAATACTTTGAAAAAATAAAACGTGTGCGAACGAGAAGCAGCATTCACGAAAACTATCTTACAAGTTAACAAAGGAGTGATCTATAACTGCAGTGTCACGGTGAAGAGGGGAAAAAATAGACTGACTCCTGTTACCTCGAAGTGGTTTTACTAGATGAATCATTGTTTCTGGATCGACAAAAAAGAGCACAATCAACAACTTGCTCTTGTGGGAAATTACTTCTTACGGAGGCAATTACCGGAATATTATTCTCATGTAAATGTGTTGTTTTTACGCTTCAACGAGTTCTTTGTGACGAAGTTAGTGGCTAATATAATTTTAGATGCACAAGCCTTATAGAACATTCCTGACAGCGAAAGAGGCACGCAGTTTGCTGGTAAACTCTTCGCAAACATGGATCCCGCGGTATCTGAGGAACATTTGAAAAAATGTCGCTGGATCAAGGTTAATTGGGCTTGGACCAAAATCGGCAACATAAACCTTGGAATCTTCTTGAGGTTCAACCCAGTAGTGAGTATTTTGTCGTCCCTTATAATATGGGGCTTCGTTATTTGGTGCATTGTCGAGCCAGACGCGGCGAACTTAGAGATGGGAAGATGGAAGATCTGGATCACGGAGAAATTCACTTGGATGTACATCGGAACTCAGGACATTTGGGCTGTGATCATCATTATGCTGTACTTCTCTAAGTTCGCCAACATGAAGCTGGGAAGAGATGACGAAGAGCCCGAGTTCAGTGACGCATCCTACTTTACAATGTTGTTTGCGGCTGGTATCGGAATTGGCTTATTCTTCTTTGGAGTTGGTAAGTCAGAAATAAACATCAATATTTTACGTTTCACACAATGCAAATAAAACGCTTGCAGCATAATCGTGGAATATCACTGCGTAAAGCCTTCCACCTAACGACGTTTCTGGATAGTTTGAACGCTTCAGTGGCTCACTTGGAGCTAAAAGTGTAAAAACTTTAAGATAAGTACTTTCTGACACGGATGTTTTCCGATGCCTTTACAATTTTTTAGATTTTTCAGTCGCGAATTATCCCAAGACATAGTTTTAAACACAAAAAAACGAAACATCAACCATTTTTTGCTTTTGCTCTTATTGTTGTTGTTGATGTTGTTTTTTTTCAATGTCTTAGCTCTCTTTCGATGATCGGTAAAACTTTGGAAACCAAGGGTTGCATTACCAATTGTATTATAAGACTAATGGCAATCAACTTAGATACTGTATGTCAGTGAACATTTGAACTCCGCATATCATGGTTGAGGAGTTGGTTTTTCTTTCGAGGCCTTACGTTGTACGAAAAATGTGTGATGTTACATACAACTGTCTCAGCTAATTATAGCAAGAAAGCACATCCACGAAAAAACTGCCGAAAAAAGTAATATAATAGTGGAAGTAACGTAGGTTAGATCTATTTGTACCCTACGTCATTTGTACTATCTTTCGTACCAGTACTTAAGTACTTTTTCAGAACAAAATTCTTTCAGAAGTTTTTAGCGGTATGATTGTAAATTACATTGTCTTGGAAAAAAACGGGCTGAAGGGTTAGCTGTGAGAGCAATGGACTGAAATTTGTGACCTGTAGCTGTTTGGGTTTCGACTCAGGAGGCAATCAACGGACAGTTTGTCGTAGTGATCGTGATTTGCCTTTAAAGAGTAAATTATTAAATCTTTTGACTTTGGAAGACTGAATAATGTTTGCATCCACAAGCTGTGAGTTTTATCTTCATTGTTTCCTTTGCTTATTCCTCTCCGTTGTTAAAGATTCAAGTGTTCATCACACGTAAGTGCGTGTGATTTTCATTATACGTCGTAATATCTGAATCCAGGCATTTCTAAGTGTCGGTAGGTGACAAGAGGAAGAATTCAACGATAATTTCCTTTGATCATTTTTACGTAGTTACACTTGTTGAAACAACTGGAAAACAATATCAATTGCATCCTGGTATTTATTTGAGTGGTAGCGACCTGCTGGTGAGAGAAATAGCTAGAATACCTCTAGCCCACGCGAAATGACGTTGTGATTTTCATGTAGATTCGAGGATTGAATACTTAACGTCAAAACACACGATAGTTCCTTGGTGTGTGAACGTTCACTGTTGCGATCTCTGCCCAGAAAAACCATTTAGAAAGATTAGTGAAGAAGACTTTATCATTTGGTCTTTGAAATACTTTACTATTAAAAGGTCTCTTGCCTCTTTGTTTTGCCGCAGCATGACAGAGAGCTTTACTTTCCGGCTTGTTATTCGATTGGTTGCTTGGTAATGTGCGTTAATTACATTGAGAAAGAAGTCAATCCTTTGCTCTGCGTAAACACAACGGTTCAGTAGCTTGTCATCATTACACATTCGATTGATTCCACCAGCAGCTGAAAGGAAAAAAATATTGGCCTTTCGTATGATCATTCTGGCGTGAAGCCAATTTTTTAAAAGTCAGCTTTGTAAGACGTGCAGAGGCATGCACGCTCTGCTTTTTTTTGAACCTCTCATATAAGGCCATGTGTGATCGTTACGATACAAGTCAGGGGAAATAGGGCTTTGAAACTCTGAGGTTCAAATCAAGGACGATTACGTAAACTTTTGATCGAATGGATTTCCGTTTCATACACTTAGAACAAAAACAGTGTCCCTTTTCGTCCCCGTGAAAGAGACAAGAAGGACAAAAGACGAACTTTGATCATCCGAAATTTTTTTGCCTGAGTAACCTTTACAAATCGAGGATGCTTCGTACAACTTTTGACCGAATGGATTTCCGTTTCATACACTTAGAACACAAACAGTGCCCCTTTTCGTCCACGTAAAAGAGACAAAAAGGACAGAAGACGCACTTTCATCATCAGAAAATTTTTTGCTTCAGTAACCTCTAAGATGCCACGAGACCATGATCACTTGAAAATACCGACCCCACTGATGGATTCTTTACTAGAGTCTTCGGAAAGCATAGTATTCCTAATCTTCTCTGTATACCTGAAGTCAGATCATCGAATAAGTAGTCTTTTGAATAATAACCTGTAATCATGGCCAAAAGTCATGAGACAAGTAAGCAAAAACATATGCAAATAATTTATCTTTTCTGTTTTCTAAATTGTACATTCCCCTTATCCCTTTCAGTTTCAGGGTTTTAGTTCTTATGTATTCATTTGCCAAATTGTTCTCCTCTTTTTCACTTTTTCAGCTGAGCCAATATATCATTATGTCCCAGGGGTGGATGGAAATCGTTATTACAAGAGGTAAGCTTTGACACATGGACTTGACTGTCATAGACGGGTGCCCATATAAAAGTGGACTCTCAAAATTACGTCGCCATGCTTTAACCCTGCAAGAAGCGACATGCTGACAAACTGTAATTAGAACTAGAATTAAGGCTAGTAGACAGAAACTTATTAACTTATTATTAAACTTATTAACTTATTATTAAACTTATTCATTGGTAAGGTTTACTCAAAAGAGAATCCGTTGTTGGGTGTCTGGCATAAATGAGACTAAAATTAACAGGTTTTATATTTATAAAGTAATTCTGACTGTTATGTTTTTTTTTTTAAATTTGTTTCTTTTGTCAAGGTACACAGACAACCAACAGGCACAAGATGCGATGAACCTGACGTTCTTTCACTGGGGAATCCATGGATGGATTGTGTATGTGGTTGTCGGTCTGCTTTTGGCTTTCGTGTGCTACAGGCAAGGCCTCCCCATGACCATCCGCTCCTGCTTCTACCCACTGATCGGAGACAAGGTATACGGATGGATGGGCGATGTCATCGACATCCTTTCCGTCGTGGGTACTATGTTTGGTGTTTGTACAAGTCTGGGCTTAGGTGCCATGCAACTTAACACTGGCATCAATCGTATCAACGAAGACATCGCATTGTCATCTATCAACCAGATCATAATAATTTGGTGTGTCACTGCTTGCGCTACCGTGTCGGTGATCACCGGTCTGAAGCTTGGAATCAGGCGACTGAGTGAGCTCTGCTTCGCCATCGGCATGCTCCTCATGCTTGTTGTCTTCTTTTACGATGACACATGGTACCTCCTGAACTTGTACGTGCAGAGTACCGGCTACTACTTTCAGTGGATAATACAGCTGGGCTTTCACACGGATGCTTTCGCACAAATGGGAAATTCCCAGGATAAGAGGGAAGTTGTCTCGTGGATGAACGACTGGACCATCTTCTACTGGGGATGGTGGATCGCCTGGAGTCCTTTCGTGGGAATGTTTATCGCCAAAATCTCCCGAGGACGTACGATCAAGCAGTTTATCAATGCTACCATGACAGCGCCCATCCTGTACTCATTCTTGTGGCTGACGATCTTCGGCGGAGCTGGAATTAGGATGGAACGAAGAGCTTTTCACGCGAACATCAGCTGCACGTCCGCTCTGGGGGGTAAAGGGTCTACTGAATCCGACAATGGCCTCTTCCGTCTGTCCTGCCGCACAACTGATGAGATGTGGTTTGATTTGATGGAACAGTATGGTGACATTGGCCCAGTGTTGTCCATAGTTTCTCTGGCTGGCATCATCCTTTATTTCGTGACGAGTTCTGACAGTGGATCTCTAGTTATTGACTGTCTCTCTGCAAATGGTGATCCGGATCCCCCAATCATTCAGCGTATCTTCTGGGCTCTTACTGAGGGCGCTACAGCCACAGCCCTCCTGTACGCAGGGGGTACGAAAGCTCTAACAGCATTGCAGACCGTTTCCATAGCAGCCGGTGTCCCCTATACCATACTGCTGTGTTTCATGTGCATTGCCTTATGGCGCGCTGTCCAAATCGAAGGTGGAGCCCTGGATCCCAATGGCCCAGAATTTTCTGTCGACCTTCTAGAGGTGTTCAGTAGCCCCACACTCGAGATGATCAAAAGCACCATCATCGCCATATTTTTTCCGTGGTTCCCAATGGGGCGTGCTGCACACAGGCTGAACGACTGCAAGGGAAGTCCAGTGCCATACATGTTGTCCTTGGCTATTCCGTTCTACTTGTGGGTCCTTGGCATGGCCCTCGAACCAGCCGTCGAGGGGATCAGTTACCTTGCCTGGGCAGTGTTATTTGCATTTTTCGCGTATGGCTCTGGAATCCGCCTGGGCATACGAGAGAGGTATGGAATCAACGGCAACATGGTGGAGGACTTCTTTGCTGTGATGCTGTTGTACCCTTTTGCAGCTTACCAAATGGATTACCACATGAGCAATCCACCCATGCAATTGGGAGAAAATGGCTTGGAAAAATATGGCCGCGAAAAAGGTGCTGCATACGAGAACCAGGGAGCTGACGTTCCGTTAGAGAAAGTGGACACTGCTTTTTAAAGAATTGCACATTTTTCATGTTTTTGTGTTTGAGAACAATGAATGACTTATTGACTTTAGACTTACTTAGGTTTGCGTCGTAGAAAGTCCACATATGTGTTCTAAAACAGGATTTAATGCACAATTAACTGCCAACGATTTTGAGGTATAACCTAAATTTTTTTCTCGTGAATGTAAAGAGCGAATATTTTTATAAACGGCTACAAACTTGCCAAAGCATGGGTTGTTACGTGTGGACAAGAGCTCCTCTTTCCACTCTTATTCTTTGTCTTCGCGCTCCTTCGAGACTTTTCATGCGATTGTGGGACTATCGTAACAAATACTGAAGGGGTTTTTGAAGGAGTGTTGTAAGGATACTGCATTTTTAGCTTTTTCAATCGTAACCGAGTTGGTAAGCGAGTGTGGGACATTTGCCTTCTGGAACTATGACTTTTAAAATGGTCAAAATAGTTTGATTCAAACAAAAAATGGTTCTGTGAAAGTTAAATGGACCCTAAAATGAGTGATGCTCTTTATTGTGAATGAGTGTAAGCAAATATTATGACCCAGTAGCGATATACATTTTTTGTTTTGTTTTGTTTTTTTTTTCAGAGACTCTTCACAATATTTTTTCTGGTATGATGGTAGTTTTCGTGTAGAAACCATGCTTAATAAAATGCTTTGTTATGGCATAGATCCTGATTTTTTTGGAGCAATTCTGATGGGAAAATCAAAACAACTTGTACTGTTCGCAAAGAAAACTTTCAGCAAATAGAACCCATACGTGCTCTATTCGATGTTCTGCCCTGGCAGCGACTCCGTTAACAGCTTATTTATTCAAGCTGTTCAAATCAAAACAGAAAATTACAAACCCAAAACTTTAAAATGAAGCCAGAGAAATGATAGAACGATCGTTCGATCGAACGTAAAGAAAAACACTTACATTTGTTGCCAGGTTACTAGGAGAGACAAATACTGCAAACGATCACTTTTAACTCTAAATACAACTACGATCAAATTGCATAACATTTTTGTACTGACACATTCCACAAGAGCCCTGAAAATGCATATTAACATATTTCATTTTCATGCACATGCATATTTCCAAGACAAATTTTTCAGTATTTTTGTCTAAATGACTTGATTTCGTCGTCCAGAGTCTGTTTTACCTCTCGCAGCAAATTCATATTTTGATAAAAAAAAATCTCTCCTTAGTTTCCAACCGAAGTTATTGTTTTTGAAATTTACGGTCAAGATGTGAACCCCTCCCCCCCCGCCACTCTACCCATGCCCTTTGTGGTCACTTGAATTTTACATATGTTTTGATAAAACAATTTTCCCAGCATGACTTAACGACTAACATGTTGTGTTGTGCACGTGAAGGCCAATGCAGCAGTACCAACCCCAAGGGATCGTGCGTAGGCAGCATCAGGAAAATAAGGGGAACGTGAGGATAGAACTCACAGGTACATACGATGTAAGTGACAACACGTAGTGTAGAAGGAATGTTCAGAGGAAATGAGAAGGATCAGTATTTTTCTCCCAGAAAATTCCTTCCTCTTCCGAAAACGAAACAAAAATAATGTTAACAATTGAAAGGAAGCTTTGAAATCGCACAGAAATGTTTGAAACTGGAAAAAAGTGATTATGTTTCTTTTTAAACAATGAAAATGAACTGGCTAGGACACTTATCATTTGGGTGGAAAATTTCAAACCATGTGGGGGTGAGAGCGTGTAGAGAGTGGAAAATTGCTACAATTGGGTGCGCAAGCATTTTGTTTCTCATTATTCTGTTTTTTGGTCAAAGATACGAAGTTTCTTGGTCGCAAACGTCAAAAATTCCTTTTAGTAGACACTTATACTAAAACCGTGGATAGCGTTGAAGGTGTGCTCTGGTTGGCTACTCAAACTCCGAACATCTTTTCCAATTCACCTCCCAGCAACTCGCGCGGAATTGGCTCCCGAAGATACTTGTATTTAATCGTTCCAGGAATAAATGACGTACGCTTAAAATCATATTTTGTGCTACATTTTCTCACTGTTTTAGCATCTACGAAAACAACCTCGGTGTCGGTTCTTAGCAGTGGATATTTACCTCGCCGCCTAGAGGCTCGGTAAACATCCATCACTAGCCACCGCTAGTTGCGTTTGCCCTGCCTGTCCCACCTAATGAATGGTTTGCCTGTGGTTGGACGAAAAACACTGGAACCCATTACATCATGGCAGCATACACTCATGAGACGTTATGGATGGTGGGATGTAAAATGCCTAAGTATTCTGGTCTTAAAACTGGAGGAAAACCAGTAACGTAATTATCACTCGCCTTTCAACACATTTTTTCTCTTGTCTGATGGTGTTTGAATGGACAAATGGCGTCAATGTGGGTAAAAAAGTTTGAAATGGAGTCCACGTGTGAAAATCAGTCCGCACTACAGGTAAGGAACAAACAGGATCGTTACTGTCATAACCTATCTGTATAATAACAGGATCTGTAAACTTGTGGGGTTATGCATCTAGCCAGTAAAAGCCAAACTGGTTATGAAGTGCAGACAAAAACAGAAATCTAAATCGTTCTTGATCTTAATATGATCGTAATATGATCGTAATATCATTAATAACATAAATGTGAGGTCCCACTTCCAGAGTCACGTTCTCCCGCCTCCCGTATTTTGTGCCCCTCTGCCTCCCAAATCCCGCCCTCCATTGTATTACCACTGAATTACCTGCTCCCAGTTTCACTAATTTCATATCCATCGCGGGGAATTATGATATTCACAAATCTCATTGTCATTGTGATGGTGGCCTTATCATGGTAGGTAATAATATACCACATCTGTCAAACTTCCCCCAGCATGAAATTCTTGTATGCGTAGACGAACTAAATTATGAATTATGCTGTTACTTTGACACTGCCTATGAATTGTGAAAGTGTTAGTATTTTTTAGCATTTAGTTTAGTGCCGATGAAGTATTATTGAAGATTATTGTTAGGCTGGTTGTAACATTGTTTAATTTTTCTGTTTTTTTTTTTGAGCAGCTGAAATCTTTTCTAAAACCAGGGGCAACGTGTGAGATTTTTTAAGGCGTTTGGATGAATAGAAAATGTTGAGTGGCAATTTCTCTCTTTTGAGATCATGAAGTGTAAATGATTGGGTTAAAGTAGTTCTTTCTTAGATCAAAAGCCTTTTCAAATAATGTTTTATATTTCAAATACTAGAGTACTGAATACTTAAACAATAATCAGTGTGTTTTGTTTTGTGTGTTTATCTGATTATCAACAAAAAGTTTGAACTTGTGTAGCAAAGTCACATTTCTTGGCTACGTAGCCCATTATATGCCATTGAATGACACTTTCAATTTTCTCTTGAAGTTTTTCTGGCATTCTGTCTTTTTTCCCTATCTCTAGTATTATTGGTAAGGGGTAACTATAGGCCACCAAATTTCTTGAATATTTCCAATTGGTCAAATATCAAAGACTCAAAACAAGCATGCATGGCCCATAAGTCAAGCTATTGTTAATTGCTTTGACTCTTTTCCTGCATTCTCATTTTTTCCTGACTTTTTTCTTGACTTTTTCCCTATTATTTTTCCTGACTTTTTTCTTGATGTTTTTTCCTGACTTTTTCCCCAACTTTTTTCGTGAATTTTTTCTCAGATAATTTATTGTTTCAATAGAAAAAATGCTCAAGGGAAAGAGAAGAGTCGAAACTTAGTTTCTTGATTTTGTTACAGTTCAAATAAAGTAACAGGATATGCAATCAATTTCTTGATTGTTTCATGTTAACAAATGTTGCGCATGGGATGTATTTGTTTCATTTCAATTTTCTTTGTTCACAAAAGATAGCTGATATGGTAGTAAAACTTTACTTTGTAAACCATGCAAATAACTAGCATAGACTTATTGCAGATAATTCCTTGTTTTGGTAAAAAAAAAAAATTAAAGGAACAGGAAGAGTGGACACTTAGTTTCATGTTTTTGTTACAGTTCAAATAAACTTAGCCTAACAGCATATTCAATTAATTCCTTGACCACTGCATGTTAGTAAATGTTGCACATGGATTGTTTGAAACTATTTCAGCAAGAGATTGTAATGTTCATCTCTTTTATAGAAGGCATCACAAAGTGTCCCTATTAATGAAATTCCACCAAAACATATAATTACACCAAATATAAAGTATATGAAAGTGTCCAAAATACTTAGTCAACATGGAGTACTCTGAAAAATTCTGGGTTCATTTCTGGACATAAGGGAGGGGAGGGTGGAGGAGGAGGGGGGGGGGTTAATCACCCCAGCTCAACATGAAAATAGTTTTAACTATTAGGTAATCATGTCCAGCAGGGTATTCTTGCAATGTAGGAATGTACATGTAGTTTGTAAGTCAACTCCCACCACATATGGAGGTTTTCAAAGTAAATGTCAGAACTAGAAGCATGGTAAAAGCGCTGGCCATTTTGGTGCCCACTGTAGAGAAAAATATCTGGTTTTAACAATGATATGAATCCGCAATGTTCACTAAGTTCACAGCAGTGACTAGATTGGGGTCAGTTTGGAAAAAAGTTGAGAAAAAGGACAGAATGTGGCAAAACTTCAGGGGAGATGGAAAGTGTAATTTAATGGCACTTAATGGGCTTTGTACTTGGCTCTTTGTGAATTGATTATGAATTGAATAATAAATTTAAGATCAGCTTAACCCTTTGACTCCCAAGATCTGATTATTAATTCTCCTTTGTAGCTGCTACATATTTCTTCTAAATTAGCTCAGAGAATTTGGTGTTAGATCAGGAAAACAACTTCTAGGTGATAAGTTTAAGTATTCTCATTACCTGTTTGCTCTGATAGTGTATGGATATTATAGGGAGAAGTTACTTCTCAATCACTTGTGGGAGTTTAAGGGTTAATTGGAAAGTCTTGATTTTAGAAGGAAAGGTTTAGCTGTTTCTTGTGGTGAAATACATTAAATTGAGAATGAACATCAAAGTCAGATAAGTATCAATTAAGCATGGATGTTTTTAGAAACTTATCCCCCTTTATTAGTCCTTAAATTCAGTTCTGTAAAGATTTTGTTTTTTTTATTAGGTTTTGTTCTTTTCAATACAGTTACATAGCTTTCTTAGAACATCTTATTATTCAAGTAAAACTCAAGTTGAAGGCCCAAGTGGGCTGTTCTGAGAGCATGTCATGTCACGATACATGTGCCTGTGCATCCCCCTAAGCAGATGTTTTCATTTGGAGGGTCACAAATGATTGAACAGTTCTGTTTTACACTTGCTCATTGTAAGACATTTTTATTCAACTAGTCAGTCTTTGCATGTACTGCACAGTTGCATTTTAAAGTAGAAGGTTAAAAATTTGGTTCAGGTACATGCACTCTCCCCTTCTGTTGTCATTTGAGGTGAACTCTCCTTAGAATCACTTCTTTTACTCCTCTGTGTGGTCCATGCTCAAAGTGGACAATCTTTTGGGTTTCTGTGATCAAGTTTTGGTTAGTAGCCTGTGGAAACAAATTTCCTTCATAATGAATTACTAGTACTCGTGAGTTCTCATTATTGGAGGTTCATCATATTTTTTTTGGTGCAAATCTATCAAACCCTAGTTTTTATTCTCAAACATTCTTCAACTAAATGTTTTGGACACCCCTGCTGTTTTTTTGATTGAAAAAAAAAATTTAATGTCAGTTTCCCTCATCCTCCTCCACTGCTAGATTGGTGAGTTTACATGGTGTAGCACTTCCTACATGTAGTTGCACAATCCCAGTGCTTTCAATAAGATTTGAAGTAGGTGGCTACCTTGGGAAACCCTCCGCTGGAGAGTAAACAGAACACGATTTCCCTCTTGTTAGCCTATTAGTTCCATTTAGAACAAACTGGCTTCAAATGGACTTTTCTTTGGTAAATAATCATTAAAATTTAATGATTGGAAATGTTGTGTATAAGACATACCAGTAATTTTTGTCAAAATGTTTCTATTAAGGTAAAACTCTAAAAGATCTTGAGATGTTTTAGGTCTCAATTTGAGAGTTTTCTTAAAAGCTTCCTTTTTTATATCAGATCATAAACAATTGTTGAGCCTCGATTGCTTCACGAAAAGTAATGAAGTCACTTACTTACTCATGTTCTGGCTAACCAGCAACCTTAAGAATGTGGTCTTCTTGGCTTTTCACAGCAAATGCAGCTTTTCTTTTGAAAAAAGGTTAGATGCTATTAGTGTACTATGACTGCAATGGCCATTTTTGTTCCTCTCTTTGTAGTTTAACCTCGGGTAAGCGTTTTTAATGCACACTTTTAAAACATCTTTGCAAAAAAAAGTTCTGAATTTAATTTATGTGAGTTATTGACAAGTGCACTATTTTGACAATATAAATTTTCCTTGTTTGTTTTCCAGATAGCAGTTGAGAGGAACTATTGTTGTTTTATTTGTTCAAAAATATTTGACAATTTCAGTTCAGCAAAGAGTCCCTTGAAAATTACTTTTATTAGTAAGCAAGGATGGGTACTTCTCCTTCGTGCATGATGAATTTATGTAGAACATGCAAAAAAAGCAGGAAGAGAAAACTGTTAATGAAAGATTGAATTTAAGAATCAAAGATCATGGAATTTGGAAAATAAATAAGGTGAACACTCCAATAGTGAATTGATTTTTATTTCTTTGTTACGAAAATATGACTTGAACGTGGCAAAGCATACCTGGGGACTCACCACAGAATAAGTGCCGGGGGTTATTGAAAGCTCTGCAATCCATGTACATTATAGAAACAACTTTGTTGTAGAGGAGGTGGTTGGAAAGTTTTGAATGTGGATGTGGACTTTCAGATTTGGTTTTGATTTCTTTCAATTTTATCACTTAAAAGTAAGTTTTCTAAATATTCTTGTCAAAGATTGTTGATTGTTGTTGAACATTTTATCACTTAAAAGTAAGTTTTCTAAATATTCTTGTCAAAGATTGTTGATTGTTGTTGAACATCATCTGAAAGCAATGTTTAAGTTAACACTAGAATAAGAAACACGATTCTTTGAAACAACAAGGTTCATATTAGATACATGTAAGAGAACAAGATTCTGTCCTAATAATTTAGACAATTTTGTAAATTCCTCATGCATTGTTATTGCCAATTACCACTAAAGGTCATGCTGTTACCTATAAAAACTTGGGTACAAAAGGTATTCAGGGAATTTAATATAAAATAGATGAGGGGGAACCATTTTTATATATTTTTGATAAGATGATTGCCACTTCAGGAATAACAAATAACAAAAACCTTTTTTTTTTTTTTGGCAAACCAACAATTTACATTGTTATTTTCAAACCCAGACACTCAAGGAAGACTAATGACAACAACAAATTACAACAGCAACTTTATTTGTACTAAACTACAATAATAAATTATTTTTAAATTAAAAGAAGGTAGTAATGTTTGCCCAAGATCATTTAAGAGCTAAAATGGTTGGGTGACTGCCATTTACACAAGTTCAACTAAAAGCATTGATTAGCTTAACCATTTAAGCAGATATCTTAATTTGAATTAAGGTCAATACTTACTGCACCAATACACAACTGTAAGATAAATCAAATGCATTTTAAAAAAGTATCAGGATATAGTTAGATATTATCTAGTAACTAAAAGTAAATAAGGAATAAGTACTAGCCAAGACTTTTAGATTAGTTTTGATAAACTGGAGATTTTTCAGGAATGGGGAAAAAGAAATACCTGTGATTGCTCATTTTTTTACAATTTCATTTTTTAACAAACAAGATTTTTTTGTTAACAGATAAAAGAACTGAATTGTAGAACATACTTTATTGCTCAAAGGAAAGATTGTAAAAGAGTAACACATTTAGAACCTTTCTGAGGTTTTTTGTTACTTACCACATTTGACAAAGTATCACTGGCAGAAATTCTATTTTATCCTCATGCTCTTTGCACATTATTTGAATACTGATTGAGGGGGCCATGGAATGTGTGATTTGAATTGTTAACATGCATGTTTTCATGTCAGCTGAATTAACTTTTAAACATTTCAGGATTTTCATGTGTAGAGTTCAGATGTTAATGTTACTGTACGACTTGAACCTCCTTGAACAACAATTTGTTGCCATACAAGTTGTTTGTTAACCTATGCAAGACAGTCTCAAGTCCTCATGGTTTAAGCCAAATTGTTGGTCGTTCCTGGGTGATGGTTTTTGGATCAAGGGAGTCAATCCATGAAATGATATAAATGGTGTCTTTTTTGAACTCATGTAAGTCATCTTGTTTCATTCAACACAGTGTGATGTGACAACTGATTGACTGACTGACAAGGTTGAAAAGAATGCCTAGTTACCTTCCTTTCAGAGAAGTTAAATTTCTTAACGAATTGTTCACCAAATTTCTTTGAAATCTAAGAGCCAATCTTCTCAAATGTTCACAGGGATTGTTGTAGCTTCAAATTGACCAATGCATAACATCTAACACTATCCCTCACTTGCTTGGCCAGTCTAACACTATTGCACAGTAACTGTGTGATTGTGGTGTGCAGTGGCCTTCCTCTGTGCCAAAATATTCAACTGCCACTTTTCGGTTAGAATTAAACTCTTTCCTTGTAAGGAGAGGGGAAAGGAAAGTGGCAAGGATAGTGAAATGGAGTTTAGTTTGGCTCTACTTTTTCCTTTCATTTATTTCTTAATTCTTGTTTTAAATGTATGAAAACCAAACATAAACTTGCAGTAAAATGTGTCGCAGTCTGCCAGATATTTACAGCTGCAAATATGTTTTGCTCTAATTATCTTTTCCAGTTAGAAAATGATTCTTCTCAAGATTGTAGTAATGGAGGAATCGTTAGTGATGTCTTTGGGGATTGAACGTTTTGACCTGATGTGTTTACATACTGAATTCAGGTTAGAAAGCTTTACATCTTAGTTTGTTCAACTTTTTGTAGAAAAATAAATCCTCCTAATTCAGATGCTTGATTTGACAATGGAAACCTTCAGCGAACCACGACGGCTTTCGTAACGAGAACGTGGCCAAACAAAAGTTTAAATGAGCACATCAATAGCTCAACACGTGCGTTTTAAAATTTTGTACATTTCCTAGTGGTCCTCTGCAAAACAACATAAAATCACCAAAATTTGCGTGGTTTGAAGAAGGGAACAACGACAGTGAGTTATTTCCATTTGCATTTGGAACTTAACTCTGCTCCCATATCCTATGCTAAAGGGGAGGTGTGCCGCCGTTAGAGGCGGTAATCAAATCTACCCGTTAGCGAATTTCTTAAGAGAAATATATTTTATTTTTAAACGTTTTAGGGCCAATACTGAAAGTAAAATTCCATGCCAAAGGCACGCTACCCAAGGGACTGAAGTGTTTTTCAAACACTCATGTGCAATAACAGAACTTGGTCTTTTTTTTTTTGCCATTACCACGGTTTTCTTGTGATCGCTTTTTCCTTTCTTTCATCATGATATATTTTTACTGTTGATTTGTTGTATATGATAATGTTAATTTGCTGTCAGTTTATTTCTATGAAATAAGGTGACTGAATACGTAATACCTGAGAAAAAAATATTATCCTATTGTTTTGTATAATTTTCACTTTCTCTTGCAAACTTACTAATTTATTGATCATGTTCTTAAATTAACTTTAGATTAACAAGAAGTAAAGCAAGAGTACCGAGACAAATTATCAACCTCAGACAGATCGGGGTGGATTGACAAGAAATAACACAAGAAAATATCAACCTTGGACAGAACGCAAAAATTGGGGGTCGGTCCGCCCCCTTACCCCACTACTCCTTAAAGGAAGTGTTTAGGTATTTTCCTCGTAGTAACTGCAATACGCATGTGTATTAAGACAGACGTTCCTTTGCACAAAACGCATGCGTTTGAAAGAAATGTTTTTACCACAAGGTAGACAACATTTTGGAAGACTTATTAAAACTGCCTGAAAGAGGTGGGCGCGGTGGGGGAGGTCGGATGGGTAAAAAAAAAAACTGTCTCAAAATATTGTAATATTACTGTCTAACAACATTTTAAATAGTGATATAACTGTTCTAATATATATGAAAATATTCTATGGTAATGTTGTAATACTGTAATGTACTGTATGGTAATAAAATATGCTTGTGCCACAAGGTAGAGGACTTCTACTAAGTGTTCTAAACTATCTAATAGAGGCGGGTGTGGGTGGGGATGGTGTACGGATCGAACCCAAATTTTTATTTTATTCTCTGAATCGGGGGTCGATCTAATTTTGCTTTCTTTCTTTCCAAGATTGACATTTGTCTCTAGTCTCATGCTTAAGATGATTGTGTTCCTTGGCATCCAGTTTTGGATGGTCGTGGAAACCTGCAAAACAGGGAAATAAAATTAAGACCAAGAATTTGAGCCATTAAAACGTTATACACTTTCATACTCTATCAGGCTTTCCCCAAAAAGACGAAAAACGAACCTTTCCCACCAATAGACTAAGACAAACCTCCACAAGCTTCTTTTCAACTATGCCACAGCAATTAAACTGTTAGACTCCAAAGAATTTAAAATTCAGAAACTTAATGAATCCGCATGTGTCCAAAACAGACCTTCATCCCAAGAACGACAAACATATTTTTTCTTGTCAAAAGATCACGACAAACTTCAACGAACGTTGCACAATTTCATTCAAATATACGACAAAGCTACGCTCACTAGAGTAAAAAGTATTCTCGTCTTTGTTAAACCTCTTTTTTTACACTTATGATCTTTGGGTTGGCTGGAGGAGGAAGGATACGCCATCATTATTTACATACAAATTTGCAGTTGTAGACAATTTCTGGACAACAGAATTTTACCAGTTTCCGCTCATCTAAGCTAGTTGAGCTGTTCGTCTTTAAAAATTCCCAGACCTGTGGCAACCATGTGAAGGGGAACCAAAGGTCGGTGTAACAACGGAATTGGACCCCCCCTCCTGATGGAGTCCTTCATTCTGTACTCTGAAAACGGTTTGGAGGGGCCATTCCATGGACAACCAACCTAACACTCAAGCATTTTTTTTGGTCGTAGGAAACCTACTACAGACAGCAGTTTTTGGTAAAAAATATCTTCTCGTTTGCAAAGCTGTGTCCAAAACAGTTTTTTCCTCTTTTTTGGGGGACCAAGTCTTTGCATCACAGATCAAGACTAAGGAAGAGTTTTATAGGGTGACACCGACCCTTGTTAGCGGGTCAGTTTTAAGTCACCCATCTCTTGTACAAAGTCAAACACCTGATCAGCGTTTAAAGACAGTCCAGTGTCCGAAGCAGTTTTTTCCTCTTTTTTTGGGGACCAAGTCTTTGCATCACAGATCAAGACTAAGGAAGAGTTTTATAGGGCAACACTGACCCTTGTTAGTGGGTCAGTTTTAAGTCACCCATCTCTTGTACAAAGTCAAACAACTGATCAGCGCATAAAGACAGTCCAGTTTCTAAAACAGTTTTTCCTTTTTTTTGGGGACCAAGTCTTTGCATCACAGATCAAGACTAAGGAAGAGTTGTATAGGGTGACACCAACCCTTGTTAGTGGGTCAGTTTTAAGTCTCCCATCTCTTGTACAAAGTCAAACACCTGATCAGTGCATAAAGACAGTCCAGTATCCGAAACAGTTTTTTCCTCTTTTTTGGGGACCAAGTCTTTGCATCACAGATCAAGACTAAGGAAGAGTTGTATAGGGCAACACTGACCCTTTTTAGTGGGTCAGTTTTAAGTCTCCCATCTCTTGTACAAAGTCAAATACCTAATCAGTGCATAAAGACAGTCCAGTGTCCAAAACAGTTATTGTTGCCCATTTCTTGCAAAAAGTCAGATTATTTGTGTACATTTTCAGGCTCTTCGTTAAGAGTATGCCACAATTATATACTATTTATATCAATACTTATCTCATAAAATTAGTTGCATTATTACCAGAAACCCATGGAGACTGGAAGGAGATTGTTTTCCATCCTGGGAAGAAAACAAAGAAAATATAAATAATGTTTTTTAGCTCTACAATATAAATTAAAGTGTTTCACTGTTGGCAGCATTAATAAAATGCAGTTATGTGCGTGTTTAATTTGACCAGTTTTGAAAAATACCTTTTGAAAGGTAAAAAAAAGATTACGGTTCCACTGTTAACATTTGCAGGCTTAATTTTGCAAGGTTTCAACAAGCCAGGGAAGGGGTGGTTAAGAATATTGGAAAATAATTCTATACAAATAAATGTAAGCTTAAGAAGAAATGTAAGAAAAAAGATTCTGATAATCAAAGTATATAAAAGACATAATTCTTAATTCAATCTGCCATTTAGTTTATTCTGCAAGCATCCTCATGCTCAGGTTTTTCTCACTGTGAGCACATGCTTTTGCTTGTACTTGTCCTTGAATGATAGTTTTCCAAATTTCAGTTCTTGCACAAGAAAAGTGAGGTGAAAGACAAATTGTTTTGCTGCCTACCAGCCATAGAAATAATTTGGAAAAATTTGGAAGTTCTCAAAAAAGAGAGAGAAAAATGGATAGCAATTTATCCACTGCATAGATCCACCTTAAGTTATTCAACCTTCAAACAACCAACTCAGGCATGGATATCATTCTGAATTGCTGGGGTGCTCTTCTTGTGGAAGTAAACAAAACATAATGCAATCCTAGACTTTACATTAGTCTGTCCTAAGTCAAAAAGATTAACAGCCAGTCTGTCAATTTTTCTGCCACAAAAAGATGTAATTCTCTACAAACGTGATCTCAATTTCATTCTATACTACATCACAAATTAAAGAAAGGAAAACACAACTCAACTACAGTAAAAACTAATGTAAAAGCTGCATCTGCATCATGGGGTAACAAATAGCACTAAAAGCAGCCTTTGACTGATCACTTCAACGCTAATCTCTTCATCATGCAATTCGAAAGAACTCGCAAACTCTCCAATTTTTTTGTTGCTCTCCATTACTTGCATGACATGTTTGTGCATGTGTTTCTTAAAATTACCTTGATCATTTCTTTTTTTTCTTGAAATCATGTGTGCAATTTGGGGGTGCTACTTATTTTACAAGTGTGGCTTATACACATGTTTTCAATTTTTTTGAGGAGAACAGTTGGCAAACAAAGTTACCAGCTTCTGTATCACTCAACCAGTCATCAGTTTTTAGTCAGTAAGTCAGTCATTAGGACAGTAAGTCAAACAATCAACCAGTCAGAATTATATTTAAAATTCAAACAACTCTAGAATTCAGATTTTGAGAAGTTGGCATCTGAATAGTTTGTCAATCAGTTGGTAAATCAGTAATGCAATCTCACACAAACATCAATTCATATGTGTGTTTATCATGCTTAACCCTTAAACTCACACAAGTGACCAAGACAGACTTTCTCCTTACAGTACCAATAAAATATCAAACAAGCAAGTGATGAGATTAAAGAAAAATATCAATGAGGAGATTATTGGTTGATCCAAAACCAAATTTTCCAAATAAAATCTGAAGTATTGTATGGCAGACAGTAAGGAGAATTACTAATGAGATCTTGGGAGTGAAAGGGCTAAAAAGGTTGTATAGTAGTGAGAAAGCTGGTTGGAAGTGTTGCATCAATCATTTGCTAAACTTGATGGAGGATCCTTCCTAATTTGTTGTTATTACGACCCAAAAGACTTCAATATTTCAAGTGCTTTTCATGCAGAACTGATTGGGCAGATTTCAAACATGCCTTTGCCTAAACCAATAAGTCAAGTTCAATTTTATGAAACAATAAAAATATCAAGAAAGATGGAGAACCGGTTTTTTAAAAGAATATTTTGATAAAAATATCATTTCCATCCATCAACTAGGTTTTTCAATGAGTAATTTGAGTCTCTAGTTACTATCAAAAATGAAACAAATATGAAATGCAATTTCCTACAGAGGGCTGGTTTACAACAAATATTCCTACTATCTTTAGGTCAGGTGTAAGGAAGATGATGCCAAAAAGGGTAAAAAGCTGGGTTTTTATTAAAATAATTATACTTTCTTTGATGAAGGGGTGGCCAAATGCAAATGTTGCTAAAGCATGAGTGTGCCTAATTTCTGATTTTTTGGAATTTTTAGAATTTTCATTTTTTTGAATACCGTTACCGTTAGTTTTTTCTAGCTACCACCTGACCTAATAGGCTATATATCACAAACATGTGTAAAAACCCCTAAGGGTCGCAGAAATTTGACAGGAAATACCAGATCTTGCTTTAACACTCAGATACAATCTAGAGCATTCAGTTACACATATTGTTCTAAAGGATTGCTGTAAGAGTTTACTTCATAAATCTGAGCCTTGTGGATCCAGTGAGTCATTCAGTCTTAAGTTTCACAGATCTCTCTGTCACCAGAGCTGATGCTGCTACATATAGTGTACTTATTGAGTCGTAAGCTACAAGTACTCAACAAAATGCTGCAAAAAGGTTGCAGAATAAATTTAATTCTAGTCATAAAGAGTTACCTAAGATCTACCTTCCACCGACTGAACAATTCTAAGGGATTTTCTATTCATATTACTTTAAAAAAATAACCTGCACGGATATGTTACTAAAAAACAAAATTGGGAAAAGCAGGATCAGATGTCTGCACTTTTTGTAGTCTTTCCAGAGAACAATTACAGGTAGAAGACTTACTTTATCTCTGCCCATTTTCACAAACACTTTGGATGAACCTTGAATCATTGTGGTATGAACATATGAAAGAAGTTTTTACATTGTACTCCATCTTTAAAAGAAATGATTGTAAGCTTTTTTGGAAAAGGTCACAATATTTTAAATAATTTTATTTCAATTGGTTGGAAAATATGTACCATGTCAGTACAAAAGAAACCATACGAAATCTACTTTCAAGCTACTTAAGGTCATGTTATGCAAAAAGTATGAAACTAAGTTGTATATTTTGCTGGTAAGACTAGAAGTTAAAACAAGTTTCATAAGAAGTGGAAGCTCAAACCTCTATTGTAATTTATTTTCAGTTTTAAACATAACGAATAATTTCGCATGTCATTGCATATCCTCAGGTTGTGATTTTCAGTCATTGTGTTGTGTGTATGTATGCATGTCAGTTTTGCTACTAATAACAAGCTCCCATATAGAGAGATATGTATTCCTAAATGAGTATCTGTGAAATGTTGACCTTGTAGCAATTAAAATTCGCCTCACTACATATACAATATGATATTTTGCACAAACACATCCTTTCTTAGGCATATATCATTCTCTTATGGCATCATATTTAACATATGGACTAATAGCATGGGGCCAAGTATGTAGACTGTACATTCACAAGCTTCTCAATCTCCAATAGCCTGCTCTCCATTATATTTATTTTCCTGACTGCAACCACAGTGCAATTCCTCTATTCACTCATGCTGGTGTTTTGATGTTGCATGGTTGCAACCCTCCTACTATGAACTTGCAGCTACTCAGACAAAGAAATGCACCACGTAGCATACTAGAACTCTTCCGAGATATTTCTAAGATCCAATCTTACAACACCCAATCTTCTGCTTCTAACAACTTTTATAAACAAAGCTCTAGACTCTCAATTCAATTGCATTCTTTCTCTAGAATTAGAAAAAAAGTTTGGAAAGGCCATTAAAATTAAGAAATCTTTAAAAAAACAACTTAAAAAAGAAACAAAAAGATCTGAAATTTTACTTAAGAAGACTCTTATATTGACAATCAAAAAATCAATCAAAAGGTCTAGCTTTTCTGAAATTTTTAACTAGTTTTAGCAAATTTTGCAGCTGTGAACATGTTATATCCTGAAATATTCCCTAAGTAACTTCTTAGTTTTAGTCCTCAGATGATGTTGTAGGTTGATTTCTTTTGTAATATTGAAGTTATCCCATTAAGTTAAAATAATATTATTAGATTATACATGTATATGATATGTTAAAGCCAAAGTAATAGTTTCCTTTTAACATGCAATTGCAACCCACTTAAAATAGCACTCAAGCCACCTATATACACAAAAACATGTACATTTGTATTGTTAAATAATAATTAACATGTACTGTAACTATGTAATTACGTATATTTAATTCTCTAATGAAAGCCATGCAATCAAATATAGAATATCAAAAAACTAATTAAGATATTTTTAAGTTTTATGTTTTTCCAATAGCTATATGTGGTCCATAAGTGGAACCCTTTACCTCCAGACATTTTAAATTCTGAGTCGGTTGCTTGTTTAACAAATTACTTTTAATAGGCTTTAGCTAATTATATGAAGATGACTCAAATCATAATTTTCTTTCTATATTATTTCTTATAATATTTATTTAATATATACAATTTTCTTTTTTACAAGAAATTAGTGTGATGTTAGATAAGACATAATGTAACCAACTAAATGTTTCTGAAACAAATATCCACTGGAATTGTAGAAAAGTTGATTAAATCATCTTCTGTACAATTCCAGTGAGCATTTGAATGAGCAATAAATCATAACTCAGGTTGGAGCTACAACAATGTTTTGGACCTTGTCCTATGCTGACTTTCATTGACCAGATTTTATCACCTCTTTAAATGTAGTGTTAAAACCTTAGGTTTCTAACAAAGAGAAAATGTGATAAACAATCCACATTAGTTACAACAGACCTTTTAAGCTATGTGGTCACATAGTTTGAAATGGGTAAAGAAGAATTCAAAATAGCTGCTTAAAGTATGTGCTTCAAACCCCCTTAAAGGTGAAACTGCTTCTTCTTTTGCCAAAATTTCATATTTACAGATAAAACAGCACTCAAAAGACTATAGTTATATAGAAATTGGCAACCAAAGAAATGGAGTTTGTAAAGGAGATACATGTAATAAACACCTCAAGCTTAAAAACAAACTTTTGAGCACATGATCTTTGAAGATTGTGAAAAAAATAATGAAATGGGCATAAAAGGGAAGCAAATGTATTACAAAAAGACATATGTTATGGTAATTTTGTGATTTAAGGTTAGAATTAAGCTATATTTTGTTGAAAATTGTAAAGTTTTTTTTGTTTTGTATTAATTGTTTGCACTAGTTTTATGACCTGGAGCCAGTAAAAGTTTTCTAACAACCAAATGACTGGCATTCTGGTATTTTTCTCATGTCAAACACTTAGTTTGCACTTTCTTAGAATATTGACACTTTCATGGTAATTATGTAAGGTCCTCTGCCAGTTATGGTTCTTAAATAAGAAAAAAAAGTTTTAGAGATCAAAGGACATATACAATCCAAAATAATCTCTGTCAAAGAGGAACTGCCAAGTGATTTTGAGGAAATTTATAAATTTCATTTGTAATGCTAAGTTAAAGTTGGCTCAGAATACTTAGAAATTGAGTGACATCAACTGCCAGTCACAATTCTCAACTGAGTAAATGGCTGGTAGTCATTAATTTTTCTGAAAATTTAAAAAGTCTAGACAACCTATACCATCCAAACTATTATAAGTTGATGAGGAACTGCCAAGTGATCCTGAAGAGATTTAAAAATCTCATATCTAACATTCATTTTATGCTGGGCTTCTTCACAATTGTTAAAGAAGATACATCATGGAATAAGACAGAACAGTAGACAGAAAAAAGAAGAAATTAAAACAAGACATGAGGCAGGAAGCTATTTGTCACAATGTGGATTATTTTGTCTATCTCAATTCAAAATAAAAGCAACCTTGACAACTGAGTAAAATCTAAATTGTTCCATTACCAAAAACAATATACACTAAAAAAGTTTACGAGAAGAGGGTAAATTTTACCCTAATAAACGACAGCATTAGCTATTCAACCATGCACTGAGTCACAAAGAGAACAAGCATGATCTCCCCTTCAAACGACTACATTGACACCCAATTTTAAAAGGATTGTTTCAAACAACACAGCACGTTCGGTTTCCAGAATGCTATCCTGGAAACTTAAGTACCGACGTTTTTTACTCGTGGACGGCGGCAAGAATCATGATACAAGTACTACTGGTTATATGTAAAACACCTTTAAACAAGAAAACAACTCTCAAAGTCCGGTTACAATCAGTTTCACAATAGCATCTGTGTTTGAGCTCCTTAATACACTAGTTTGAGTGACTTAAAGGCTGAATTTGAAAATAAATTTTGACCATGTCTCTGATAATCAAATACGGAAATCTTACCTGCCAGCAAGTCTTTATGATCGAGGTCATCGCTGATGCACTATCCAGAATGTTTCCAGACTTCAGCCATCAAAAAAGTGAATTAAGTCATGTTACATCCGACTTGATGTGAGAAAATGTTCTGTGCGGTTAAAATTAAGAAAAAAAGCTTTTCAAAAAGCAAAATCACGTACATTGTACGTTGAGCGGGACCGAACTCTCCTCCGCATGGCTCGAGGCACAGCCGCCATAATGTTTACCCGCAAAGATTGATGGGATGTGTCTTGACTGTGCAGAGAGTGAGGCCCTGGACACTAGAAACTAAGTTTTTCTCTTCAGATGGAAACCCAGATAAAAAACCAGACCCGGAAAGTAAAAGATATTGGAGGGAAAAAATTGCAGCACAAAAGCAGACTAAACACACACCAAATAGTGGCCTTATGCTTTCATGAATACTTTACAGGGTAGCTGAAGACGTTTCATGTCACTTTTCTGACCTCATTTTCTCTTTTTTTAAATGGAAAGTCAACATTACTGAGATTTTCAATAATAATTCTACCATGGAGGTATACAAATAAATATATGTATACTTTTTCTCTGGCACTGAGCTAAAAATTAAAAATAGAGATTAAAACAAAAATTAATAAATAGTCTTTTAAATAAATAAAACCCTGTTCAGCAACAGTACCTGGCTCCTAGGTACTTATTAATGAGATGCCCAAATTGCATGGGAGAGGGGAGGGGGAAGGGGGGAGGGGGGAGGGGGGAGAAGAGGGTGGGAAGTGGGAAGACATGCATTTGTGTTTGAGACAAAGAAGAACTAAATTCACAAGAAATGTATCAAGGAATTGATTGAGGTGATAACTAAAGGAAGTTACTTTGGAAGGTTTTGCTTTTGAGCGGCATTTGAGTGGCATTTTTTTGGTACAATGTAAGTGAGGACCACCAACAAGATACACATTTTATAAGGATCCAATGTAATTATTTTACAAATTCAACAAATACAAACATACATAAATGTATATGCAGTCACAAAATATGAATGATTTGCCTATCCTCAGCAGTGTAATGACACGAGTTAAGAAAGCCAACTGGAAGGACTCAAACCCAGTTAGCTACAAATATTTACAACAGTGGACAACTGAGGCTCCTGGTCTAAATCTAATCAGTCATGCTGTATGTTAAGCTTCTTGCCAGGCACTCTCTCTCTCTCTCTCTCTCTCTCTCCTTTCCAGGGGGAAAGAAAGAGAGAGAGAGAAGCATGTTTGCTCCTTACTGTGAACTCAAACATAACAATAAATACCCTTGGCCCCCATCTCTGTTTAAAAGGTGAAAAACACTAATGACCAGAGAAATAACTAGATAGCTCACTACCTTTTGTAAAAAACAATTTGAGCAGTTTTCAACTGAGTGTCCAAAAGTTATTCCCAATAGCATTGCTTCTGCTTCACTTTATCCATTGATTCCTCTAATAAGCTCCTTGTGATGTTTTCTTTTTACTTTATTGGCCATTATGAATACTTTCATTTTCTTTTGCAATGCTCAAATAGAAAAGAGAACTACGTAAAAGGGTTGTATGGTGTTATTCAACGACATTGCCATATGTCTTGAGAAACTACAGCACTGTCTATGCTACTACATGAAAAAATTGCAGAAGCAAAGGTAGTTCATACTTTTCCTAAGGTAGACTGTCAAGGGCAGATCACCCTAATGAAATATTGACAAAGGTACATGTAAAGTAGAATTTAAGTGATGAGCACAATGCTTGGATGATGAATGAAATCAAGAAATGCTGTCACAGGTGAATAATTCTTGTATCAACCAATCTGGGAAACTTCCTCTCAGCAGTACTCCTGACACCTCTTAGGCAATTTCATTGGAGCTTCAAAAGCAACTCTCAGTCTGTTAAGCATTCCACAATACATGCACATGTATCACTGAGAGGTTCTTCATTTCTCAGTTTAGTTTAAAGGTAGGTTAGTTTCAACTTGATCTGGTTCTATTCCACACCATTCTTTTCTCCTTCCTCAACAACTGAGGGGTCTTCTTCCATTGCTATTTCACCTTCACCACCATTGAGGGACTGTGAAAACAAAAACTCCTATTAGCAATTTGTATCAAGGCAACAGTTGTTTGACAAAAACTGTAAAGAAGAAAGCCCCTCCTATCTAAGGGGAGCAGAGATGGTGCAGAGGTAACTTGGAGGAACAGGGATGATGCTGTGTTAAAGAGTGCTAACATCCCAGTGGGAAAACTATTAGTGGCTCTTTGAAAAATACTTTATTCATATTTCTTACTTTCAAATAAATTTAATATATACAAGTTACTTGAAAATTTTGCAAATCACTTGGGTCTGGTTCATGATTGACCAACTTTTCTTGTGTTCTCCAAACATCACATGTAAGGTATTTCACCAGTAAATTAGTGGTCTATTGCTTAAGTAGCACATTCACGAACATGTCAATCTGTGACTGGTGACAGTGACAGTTCAAATTATTGAATCGATCAATAAACAATTATTTGCAAAGGCCAAATGACTATTGTTGAATAATCCCTAATATAAAGTTGAGGAGATTGTTCAACAATAATCACTGAGCCAAAGGCAAATAATTGTTTTAGTACAATTGCCCAGGTGCTTTTAAATTCTGAAAATTTGTTTTTTGTTGATACCATTCTGTTCCAATTGTTTAGATTACTCATATTGGGATAGGCAGTCAGTTTCCACTATAATTCAACAGGTTTATTCATTTCCAGTGGCAAAAACTTCATTGTATTCTTTTAAAGAGAGTTATATCAAACTGAGTGGCATCTTTTGTGTTCTTCTGAATTTTAGTTTGTTCTATTGCATTTTCTTTCAGCCTAATATTGACAAAATGCAAAGCAGCCATTTTTAAATTTAGCACCCCAACTATAACTACCTTGCATGGGGGGATTAGAATGAGATATGATGCATCCTCGACCAATCAGAGTGCAAGTATCTCTATAGTCACCAAAGCAAATATACCAATACTGTATAATAAATAAATAAATAAATCACACACATTGTCATTCAAAGAAGCTATGTGTTGTCTTGCCTGTTACCTTGATAAGTTGTTCCTGCCGTTCATCAGCAGCAGCCTCCATTTTCTCAGCTTTTGCTTGTGCCACAGCTTGTGCTATGGCAGCTTCCTTCTCCACTCGAGCATCATTTAATGCCCGGGAAAACTGCATCAGAGAATTCATGCGAGCTTGTGCCAAGGCCTACAAAGATGTTGTTCACATTAACAATAACTAAACATAAAGTATATGAAACTATGAAAAAATAAATTTGTAGTTCTATTACCTAGAAAAATGTGATGTCCAGATAATAAAATTATTTAGAACATATAATCTTTCTTTGGGTTTAAATTGAAATGAAGTCCAAATTCTTCAATCAAATCTGCAACATGAATCATCACTCCACAACAGAGTTTTAAGACAGACATGATGAGCTACATGTACACCAGCACATGCATCTATACACTGTGTGTAGAGCTACACGTTTGCTAGCAAATGCACCTATACACTGTGCATACAGCCACATGTATGCCAGCACATGCACCTATACACTGTGCATACAGTGTACCTTATCATACCAAACTATTGCCACATGTTTGTTTTAGGATATTGGAGAGCACAAGTCATATCTTAATCCTTTGCAAAAACTGTTTCATTTAGAATCTCTTACAATCTGGAAATGTTATTTGAGATGTTCTTGAATTAGATAAAGTGATTTTATGACTAGTGCAATTATGTAAAAATTAACCAAACACAAAATACAGACAGCACATTGACAGTAACAGCAAAGCGTACTAAGATGTTTCAAGGATTTTATGTAGAGTAGTAGGTTTAAAAGAAATCCTATTGTGCCCACCTCTTTCTTTTCTGCTTCTGCCTGAAGTTTGACCTGAGTGATGGCTGCATCCTTTGATGCTTCTGCTTGCAGCTTAGCATGTTCTATCATTCCCTTCAACTGCTGAGCTGTATTCAACAAAGAGTTCACCATCTACAAATCATACAATTAAAGTAATATTCAGTATGATGATAAAATGTCCTAATCTCTGCTTTGAAAACTTGTGGTTTTGATATCACAAAATGGAATGAAAGATCCTACCTCACAAAATTTCCAATTCTACAGCTTTTAATAACTAATGTAAATACAGCATGAGACTGGAAATGCATTTCACTTTCATTTCATTCACAGTATACGTGGGGAATCTTCATTAGGTAGGTACAATATGTACTATACAAGTAGTTTTTATCAAATATTGTACCCATACTAATCATTGGAAGTATGATTATTTTAACATGTAAGTTAAATACTTAATAAAATATTTGAACAACACAATTAAAAATAGAAAAACCATCCCCACCTGTAAGGTAAGACAATTTTATACTTATAACAGCTACCTGGTTAAACATCATTAATTATATGTACATTCCAATGCATCTGTTTATTTACCTCTTCAATATGCCACCAATGTCTTCTCTGATCTACGACTGCATCTCCTGTTGGGAGAGGTGTAACAGGTAAAGTAACTGTGATGGTCTGTTGCCCTTCAGGTCTGACTGCTGCTGCCTGTGTCATGATTGGGGGACAAGGACTCATCATAGGTGTAAGAGGAGTGGCAGGAGTCTGAGGTGGCACTGCACTCGTTACACAGCTGCTGACTGTCACCAGACCACTAGATAAATCTAAAGAAAAAATGTGGCAAACCATTCACCTGTTAGTTAAAGGAAAAAAGAGTGATTCAACATTTACATTGGTAAGTCAGAGGCTACCTAAGTTAAATCTCTATTTCCACAATGTCTATCAGATCTTATTATAAATCTAAAAGCATTTGATCACAGATGTTGCAGACTCATTGGCTGCTCCACTCACTTTCTATTACATGATAGATAGTGAAATCATAAGCTTGCATGGTTCATTTTTAATAAAAAATAAATTTGCTTATTTGCTCTTGACTTCTAAGGATGATGGTTGTGAAAGAAATCTTGAATTCAAACATGCCATCTACCTGTTAAATATAAACATTTAGTAACAAAGTGTAGGCCTGGTTATAAAGAATCCTCAACTATTTTCAGGATTTTCACTTGTTGGAATTTGCAGGATAGATTGAACAAGCATGCATTCCATGAAGTCTATCAAATCTGAAGACATTACGAACTTAACAATTAAAGAGAAAACCTCGGTAGCATTCTTCTGCCAATACTAACTGTTCTGTCTGTTTATTACCTCCAGTGTCCATGACTGTTCCATCCTCATTAGTAGCAAAAGCACCAGATGCTGAGTCAACACTGAAACAAAAACACATTCATTCATTTATTAGCATGGACCCTTGTCAACTTAAGACAAGTCAATTTCAAGTTAATAATAAAACATGTTGTAAATGTTTCACTTTCCTACCAAATTGCTACAGAACATATATTTGTTCATTCTGAAGATACAAATGTGAGCTGCAAATTTTACACTCCTACACACAGCAGGTGCATGTTAAATATACCAGTGTGTACAGAATTCTTACCTAACAGACCGCATCATGAATCCATGGGCTATGGTAAAAGATATTGAAAAGAATGATGATTATAACAAAGAAGTACGAACTTAAACAATGAAACAATTGCTCTATAATAAAACTGCTAAGCTGATTTTCTCCAAAAACATTTCACAATCAAAATCTGTACACATACAGCTTATCCTTATATCTGTACATATTGTATTTTGAAATTGCTATGCTTAAAAAAAGAAATGTGTAAAAACAAGGAATAACATTATTACAAGGAACATACATTAATTATTTTTATCAGAGAAAGAAGGCAACCGTGCACTACTAAAGATTGCATTTCACATACAACTGTACAAAAGTGGTTTTAGAGCTTTAGCTTTAAAATTTTTTCCTGTGTTTACATGAATATGAGCATCTCTGTCATCAAATCTTTTAAATGTCCAGGTCTGAGAGCAAACACGAGTATAACTGCATATGTTTAAAAACTTTATAATGCACAACTTAATTAATTACCATCTCGTCGAGAGTTCTCAGAACTGAGAGACAAACTCTTCTTTAGAATTGGTGATCCAGATTGTGATGACTCACGCTTGCGACGTTTATATGGAACAAACAGTCTTATTGGACCAGCCTAAAAAAGATTAGAATGATACTTTTACCTTTCATTTTTGTACTGCACAAATAAAATCATTGTTTACATCTTGAAGAGTACAGTTTCTTGTTTCTCATTACAACAATTACTTTTGCAGATTGGAGAGTTGGTTTTGCATAGGAATGAAAAAGAGAGAACCTAGAGAAAAACTGTTAGAGAAAGGAAGAGAACCAACCACAAATGAATCCTAAAAGTGATAAAGGGTTTCGGAATGGACTCTGGAATACCACACTGATAGGTAAGAGTTCTTCTCCATTCCCATGGGTACCCAGTCCAAAACTGTTTTCTCAACTGCATAAACAGTGCACAGTAATCTTCTGGTAAACACATTTAGTGTACATGTACATTTTCAGATATTTGGGATAAACAGTACTCATGCATATTGTATTATTCACACCTCCACTGCCTTAATGTCCTATTTCAGTCTACTTTTCCAATTTAAACAAACTGTAGCCACGATCCCTTTATCAATAATTCTTCCTCGCATCGTTAATTTATACATCTTATTTTAATACATAATAAATAATTACATGTATTTATGAGAATGAACTGTGCATTCAACATACCAGAGTGTCATCATCACAACAAGTTGCACAAGTGCAGGAAATGGCATGAGGAGTGAGAATTCCATCCTCAATCAAAGACTGGAGGGTTCGACCACCATAACGTATGCTGCGCTTCCAGTCCTTTGAAGATGCCCTTCCACAACGTGCTTCAAACTCTGATGGTGTCATCCATTGGTCTTGATACTGTCAGTAACAGAACACAGAGAAAAAAAAGACAATTTCCGACAGTTTCTTGAACCAAACATTTCCCTAAATCACTGTTACAACCCATTAGCTCATTTAAGCAGTCATTAAATTTGCTATAAGGACTCACTAAATTCATGTTTTTATTTTGGGCTTTATCACTCTTTCTTTCTTTTATTCTCTCCTCTTTGCATTTGTGTAATAAGCTGCACTTTTGCAAGCCTATGACGTACTAGCGAACCACGGTCACCCACATCAATATGACAGTAAAAGGAGACGTAAGTTGTTTGCAAGGGGGTTGAAAAAGCTGAAGAAGACAAATAGACCAAAATGAAAAAACAAAAACAAAAACAAAAGCATGCAAGGAAAACGTTTAAACTATAAAAACAATACAGACCAATAACAAGAAATTTGTGCCTGCGTATTTTACAGCCATGAAGCGATATTGCCGATTTGAAAGGTTCTGTAAACCATTACAATTCCCAATACGTAAGAACGGAAGATCAAACATTTTGGATCTTTATTGCACGAAATGTGTGAGATCAAAGATCCGAGTTCCTGCGAAGCAGAAAATCAGTCCAAAACGAGCGTGCTGCTCTTATTTTTTACCTTAATGCACTTTCCACGACCTCCTGATCCAAGTTTTGTCTTAAATAACTCAGCCGTTTCGTTTCTACAGCGGACGATGAGTATCTCTGTACTCAACGCTGCATCCCACGCAGATTTCCCCTGGGTTTCGAACTTCTGACGCGCCAGAGGTGAACCATCGTCGGCGTGTTGATTCCCAGATATTTCATCTTGTTCTGCTTGTTGAATGGTTGTCACAGCTTGCGATTCTTGAAGATTTGGGCTAGATGATCGAGTGGAATGCGCCGGACTGTCTGCGATGACCTCCTGAATGGGCTGTAAAGAGGCTTGAGAAGCTTGAATGTGTGACACGGCCGGAGCAGGGGTAGCGAAACTGATACTAACATTGCCATCCCCGACTTTCACCACTTGCACTTCACACTGTGGATGCCCACCGACATTCGTATTCGAAGCCTCTTCGCCTGCATGGAAGACAGCAGTTGTGGTAGTTTCGTGTTCAGTCGGGATGTGCTCGGCGATGGCGATCTGTTCGCTTACTTCAGATAACGAAGGCACTACCGATAATCCTTCGCCTGTCCTCGGAACGCCAACGTTGTCGTCCATTGTTTCTCGTTAGTATAACGATTCAGATGATGTTTTTGACGCTGGAAAACTTCAGTAACCTCAAAAGTGTATTGAAATACCTCACCTACTTTTAATTTTCGTGAAAAGGCGGTAATTTAGGCTCTCTCAAGTGGAATTTAGCGGTATTTCGATCTCGTAGCAAACTTCGTTCCCTACGTGTCTGCTGGGGGTGTTTTGTATTCGTGGCCGACGAAAGGACAACTTGTTCCCAGTCTTCCCGTTAAATTTGCGAAGAAAAAAAATCAAAGTAATAAAAACAGATGAGACAATATTTATATTTCAGTGAATAGAATAAGAGAGGTAGTAAGTTTCTCAATACTTCAGTGACTTTCCAATGATGTTCTAAGCTTGCTGAAAAACCTTTTCCTAGCTCTCCCTGTTGATTAGCTTGCTAGTAATCGGTAATGTTTTATTTCGGAAGAACTTGATACAAGGCCGAGGAATAACACTATTCAGTGACTCCATAGAATGTAAATTGTTGAGGCTATACTTTATAGCTTTTATCTGGGTGCCTCCTAGTTTAGTTTCTAGTTCAACAACATCAATGATAGTCAAAAATCTCCCAATTTTTTGGTTGTCTGATGGGTCAGTTATTGAAGAAATGACTTTCAGCGGCGGCAGGCGTGGGGGGTGGGGAAGGAAACAAATCGTTAACATTTTTTTTGAGAGACATGGATTCAAAAGGCGTAAAAATTAATAACTGTCCAATAAGAAATTTTTTAAGAATTGGAAATGAGTTATAACTTCACGATGAAATATAATTTGTCAACTCTTTTTTTTTATTTTTTATGTGAGCTATTGCTAATTTTTGTATTTGTGAGCAAGAGAGCGAGATAAGGATTAGCCTTAGTGGTTGGGAAATAGTCCCCCTGGGTAAAAATGTGGATACGGTATTCTGCTCCTGCGGGGATACAGGCTTTGAGGGAACCGAGAATAGCGCCGCCTTTGAAGATTGTAGCAGGAAAAGGAATTGAGGCGAGACGCAACTGACTTCATAATACCTTACTTTTTATGAGATACAGTATCAACTCGTGACTTTGATGTCGTTCGTCTGCACAGTAGACACAGCAATTGAGACACACACCAAAAATGTTATTTTCACGTGCAAATTTCATTTCTAACGTCAGTTAGCTGCTTCAAGCAAGATTGAGAACTGTTTCATCTGCTACAAAGTTGCTGGCTTAGCTAAACGTGCATAGACTAAGTCACTGTAAACTGAGAAAAACTGTCATCATAGCATGGCCATATGGGAGATTTGAGTACGAATAAAATCACCAATAAAATTAAACCCAACTTTCCGATGTGTAGATTGAGACGCCTACTCATCAAGATCTGGGGTCGGCATCCGGATCGAGGGGTGCTGAAGTTGTATTGGTAAACCAAACAATTTGTGATTTCTCTTTTTAACAGCCGAGCAATAACAATACAAAGTGCTAACGACACGAGTGAACTTGAAAATTTTATTTCTCTAATTATCTATTTTGTGCCATAGCGGATATATATATAAACGTGAACATTTGCAATACTTACACGAATGATATGAGAGTGAAAATGATAAAGTAACTCGTCGTTAGACAAGTTTGTATCATCGAATTAGAAGTAAAGTCACTGGAGTTGACTATGGAAGCTCTGGTTTTCGGTTTTTTGGTTAAATTGATTATGGTACCTGTTACAAGAATTCATCAATTTTTATCTGGTTGCACAAACACAACACGCGTGTAATCTACTCGGAGTTTATTTACACAGCAAATTGTGGCAAACACTCCAGTTGTAGGTCAAAATCTTCAAGCAATATAACCTGCCAAAAACAAAGTCTTTCGTTAAAACCTATAACCCATTCATTATATTACTGTATTGTCATATTACTTCGATAAAACTTAATTGCTCCAAATGATATGGGACGAAACCATTAAGTGATCTGATCAGGCTAAGGGCCTGGACACCAGTTTCCGATAGAGTTATAGGTAAGGTCCTATAATTGCGTTTTACTGGTATCTAAGGGCTTGTTAGGTTATTGGATTGTTATGAATTACCAATTTTTCACCTTTGTCACTAAATCAGTAGTAAACTGAAAATTTTAGCAAACCTTTTTTCTCCGCCATGCCCATCTGCATATGACCTTGCCCATATCCCATTTTCTCGGTAAGGTTACGAACTCTGTACAAAATTGAAATAAAAGTTTTCATAAATAGGTACTGTAAAGGCTTTCTTGCTTACGAATGATACTATAACATAGATTTAAAAAAAATTCATAACTAAGGAAGCACTCTTTCAATGATAAAATTTCAAATCAACGTGCATATAACTGCCCTTAGAAACTCACGCTAAGGAATCTTTTTTCTTTTTTAACATTTTCCGCTAAGAGTTTCTCTCTTGGTGTGCAAACACATCCCTGCTCAAGGCCTAACTTTACCCTTTTACACCTAAAATCAGTATGCATTTCTCCATATTCTCTACACATTTATTCAAAAATAAAGAGCTTCTTTAGTTGGCCGGTGATCATTTTCTTTATTCTTGTGGCCTTCATGGGTGATTTAGGGGTAATACTGTAGGGAGAAACTAGATGCTGGTCACTCATAGGGATGAAAGGGTTAAGGGAGAATTTGTATTTGAGCTTGAATAGGAAGTCTTATTTACGATCTACACTTACTGCTTCTTCATCATGATGAACAGAACCAGCAACACGACACAGAAGACAGCCAGAGCGAAGATAAAGATTCCGTACATCAGGAACGCTTCCTGATTGGTCATTATCTCTGGCATAATAGTCTTAGGCTCGGACTCAGGCTCTCCGGTCGATTCTGGTTCAGCGTGGTGTCCCATGGCTGAAAAAGATAATAATTTGATTTATTTGAACAATGAATCATTGGAAAAGAATAAAATGTTTGATTTCCTTGAGTTTTATGACCTTTAATGCGGCACCTTTCTACTCTAAGCGATACGTTTATGATTTCTGGCCAGTTTTGTATCGATTTTCAATATTCGCCACATATGGAAAATGGAAAAAGAACGCTCGCGAGCAGGTTGTGCGTTTATATATCTTTATCGGGATCTCCGTCTTTTCGGTGAGCAGGGAATCGATTCATGTCAAGTTGTGTAAATACCACACTGAAGAAGCCTAATTTCAAAAGACGTCACTCCCCAAGCAAAGCTGTATCAGGAGAAATTTAGTAGCTTTAAGATAAGAACTGAATCAGGATTATTTCGTCGGCTAAAGAAGCCTATCGCCAGCTACAAAAAATCTAGCTAAATCCCAGGGTCACTTCAACACTGAGTAGCTTAGAGGGCGCTTTCTTTGTATTGCCACCGCAAAGACCTTGAAGCACGACTGTCAATGCTCATGTCCAGGACTCTCCCAATGAAATATAGATATTCAAGTGATGAAGACCTGACGATATTTTGAACGTTTCCAAGGGTCTAATCACCGAACTGAGATATTTTTTTTTTCAAAGAATTGCCTCTGACGCAAAACATTACAAAGAGAGGGTCACTGAAATGTCTGATATTTCCGCTGAAAGTAGAAAGCTGTTCAGTTGCTAATCCGCTCATTTCGAGAACTATTAGCTACTCTCATTAATACTTTTTAAACGAGAAGAAAAAAATTTAAAGCTGCATTCGGTATAGGTCAGTTTCAACCTTAAATTTGAAAATGCAAAGATATCTCTCGTCTACAAGTGCTGTACGAAAGTTTATCGATATTAAGAGCGATTCACTAAGGTATCTCCGATGAGAAACTTGAGAAAAACTTCATAAAACCGGTAATGCTGAGGATTAACAGTGTCGCAAGTGGAAAACAATTGATTGGGTAACAATATGGAGATTATTATGTTTTCATACTTTCAATAAAGATATCCATAATAAACTAGGTTAGGAATGTTTTAGATAAGGAAATATTCCTTTTTTTTTCCTTTCCGTAGTTCGGATCAAACAAACCGATTGTGAAGGTTCCTGTTCTCAGCATCAAGCGATATTGATCAAAGAAGAGCGATTCATGCAAATAGAGCACATCACTAGCTTATTAAGTTCCCTGCATCATTGAAACTATCTTCTCACTCGTGAATATAATTATTTTTCCAGGCAGGCCTAATCGCTCAGAAATTGAGACGAAAACATTAATAAAGACATGGGATAGCTTTGCGATTATTATTTCCCTACTTTTCTTTACGACTGCAATGATCCGTTCGAGCGTTGTGGTGGACTATAAAAAGCTGTTATGACCGGCGTTTCCACCAGATGTTTACTTCTTTTTTTTTCTGTTCGAGTTGTATGATGAGTCTACGGCGATGCTCTGCTATCTCTAGCAAGAATTCATTATCTTTTCTCAAGTATTGCCGTACAACTTTGAAACTTTTTTCCTTACCTGAGATTGTTAATACCAATTTTGTGCTGAACAACGCGGGAGTTATCTTCAAATGAAACTTGTTATGAAAAGACTTTGGGTATAGCAACAGTGTTTCGTTTCAGCCCACTAATCACAACTAGCATATTGGACCGACCACGTGATCTGTCACTCATCGCCTTCCACGAAAACCAATTGTATCTTTCATGTATAGGTGACACAAGGCTCTTATGAAATACTTACTCAGTCGAAAATAACCTTCTCTATCACCGGAAAAATTAGAGAGTGAAACTTGTATTAGCTTCCCCAGCAGATTTTCGCAACTTTCTATTGAAAGACCATTACAAAGTAAACACTCGACGATGATGTCAGTTTTATTGTTTCGCAAACGCGTCAATTCACGCTCTACTTAACAGGCGGTTGCTTTTCAAGCTGTTCATCACAGTTTGGGAAATGTTGTTTTGCTTTTGTTGCGTAGCCACAAAAGATTGTTGACAAACCCACTACGAGAAAGGATGTTTTTCTGAACAAAGTCAATAAACCATTGATTTAATGCAGAGTCTCTGACTTATTTTGGTTGAATGGGTCTCTTTGCAAGAATTGTCGCTGCTAAAAACAGGGTTACACTAGAACCTAAAACGATTGAAGGGAAGCGAATTTATCAACTTTATGTTTCTTCAATTCCCCAATTGGCTACGACAATAAACTTTTCGTGCTTCCTGGAGCGTGATTGCAACTTGGATCAAAAACTGTCTCGTCATCATCAGGAACGCAATTACTGAGTGACTCAGCGATATAGAAAAGCTTAAAATGACGCACAATTATCTACGGTCGCTCAACAATGAAAATTATTTAGCCACAAGCATTTTCCAAAAATGGCTGTATGCTAAAAATTCCCGGCTTTTATAATTCATTTCTTTGCGAATTGTTTTTCTTAATGGAGTAATTTGATAGATATGTTGTTTTTCAATTAAAGTTTTGTTTCATCTGTCGAAATTCTTAGTGATGGTTGTTTTAGCGCTCGGCTTATATAATTCTTTGCCGGCACTATCAAGACGATTGCGGGAACAATGTCCGAACACCGTGGTGTGGGTCAACATGAAGAGATCACGAATTCGATTTTATGCTAACGGTGGTGGAATCACTTTTTTAGTAAACGGAGCTGAGACAGATTTCAGTAATTTGTTCTTTTTTATAATTCACAAAGGAATGTTTAAGAGGTGGCTCAGTAATTTAACATATACAACTCCGAATGCAAACGCTACGTAATATGTTTTCATCTGTAGTCAACCCGAATGTTTAAAAAAAAAAAAAACATGAAGTATCTAATTAGTCAGTCTCCATGGAATATAATTCTCACTATCTTTCGTCGTTTCATCAATCAAAATTTTAGCGGCCTAACTTATTTTAAAAGTTACGACCTTTAAATGCTCGCTGAACTGGTTCGTAGTGGTGGTTAAGTTTGTAAGTTTGAAATAACAAATTTATTAGGCTGCTACGTCCACCTAATGTTATTCACATAAAATCATTGATAAAGAGAGATAGGATTCTAGAGATTCTCAGTTTAAAATATTCGATTTGTCATCGAGTGTTTCTTGGATGAGCTCTTCTGAGTATGATTAATTTTGATTGGTATCAGATTATTACCTATGTTGATAGTTTCCCGGTCCATTTTCAGAAAATGGCGTTAAGCCTCTTTCATGTCAGCTGTTAGATACAAGAGATCTCAGTTACGGATGGCTTTCAGCGGGATTCTTACCTTTTTGTGAAAGCGCTTCAGAATTTGTGGCTCCTTTGAAAATAACCTTCAGTTGTGACTCGATTGACTGAAAACCTGGCTGTCTTGTTATGACACGCTGGTGACGTTGCCGAATTGGTGTTCGTCCATATTGCGTTTTTTCACTTTTAATTCATGGTACCTTACTGTCAAACAGGAACGTCTATATTCGCGTATTCCGTGAATCTCTAATTTTAAAATTTAATGACATAATCATGATGTCTTAGGCTACCTAGAAACACAAATTTACACCTGAGTGTAATAGGAGGTGGTGATCACCCCTTACATGAGTGAAGGAGACTGTAAAAACGGATATCATGACGCTGGTATATCTTGGTCGTACAGAAAGGAGCTCTAAAATTGTAAATCATGTGAAATAGTCACAGGGAACACGATTATCCACTTGTAAATAAAATTACCCACAAAAACACTTAAGTTCTCCTGGCCTCCTTCCAATCTTTTTTTTTCATCATCTGTTCCAAAATTTCACTCACAAGCGAATGTGAAAAATAATTGTCACGTTGCCAAACATTTAGTTTCGGATCAGTGTTTATTCTTGGAAACTGAAGATGTGTACCGTAACCACAGCGGAAGAATACAAATGTTTCCCGCTCTACCTTGCGGAAGACTTAAAGATTATTGATAATCTTTAGATTCCTCTGATCCATTGAGGAAATGTTGCAATCAATTTATCACTTTTAAATAAGTTATTCGATGGTTCCTGTGGGACCATGCTCCCTCGTCGAGCGGATTTGGTCATGATTATTTTTTTGTTTATCCATTGTAGAGCACTTCGATCGAGTTGCGTAGAAATCACAACAGCCAATCGGAAGAAATGAAAATACCACAAGTAGCCTAGGAAAACTCGAGTAAAAATAAAAAAAAATCGCCTGAACTGCGGAAGAATGCGAATGAACCGTGAGTTACGATTAGTTTCAGTTTTGACTCGATGGGTTGAAAAAGAAGCGCGATTTTCTACGTTTGACATTCAGCTGAAAATTGCTCTGTGTAGAAGGGGTCATATCTTAAAGTAAACAACTGGTGGGTAAAAGATGACTTTTAATTGAACAAGCCAAGTGCAGAGCCTTCAAAGAACGATACAAGATACAATAAAATGGCTTAACATGTGTAAAAGTGATTAGCAATCGCAAAAATGATTGAAAAAGCTTAGAAGTTTACGATGTTTATCTGTTTACAATAATCACGATTAACTGAAAGTGTGATTATCCCGATATGATGACTTGCTACTGCTATGGGGACTTTTAAAGGCAGCAAAATTTACAGAATTTACATTGTCCTAAGGGTGATCATTATCCATGAGTATAATGTAAGTCATTGGTGATCACATGCTATGCAGCAAGAGGCTATCTTTATACAGAGCCTTCTCGGACATCCTGAAAGGTAAGATTTAAAACTAATGAATCCCATGCTAACAGTGTTATTATTAAATGATATAAAAATTTAAGCCACAAAAAGGAATGCATTGGCGGACCCAAAGCCTCCTCCCCCCATAAAAGAAGGAAAGAAATACAACGGATAAAAAAGCAAATCGGCAAATGCTGACAAAATTTTAAAAAATATACAAATGAACGATTAAATACATGATCGGTCAAGTGTTATCATTGAAACGACAATTTGACTGATTGAAGTCATTGTAAATTACGATAAATGAAATACGTCTACCGAAAGAATAGCATTGTGTTGATACAATCGAAAATCAGAGATGATTCACAGAAAGGGAAATACTCAGTCAAAGGTATCGAAAATCTTCACCTACTAACCTCTGGCTAACCATTATAACCTTTCATGTCCATCGATCCAGCTGCATTAGCCAGTTTTTTCACCCTAAAAGTTAATCGAAAGGAAATATGTTTCACATGATTTCTCCGCTCTGTTCAACATAAAAAGCGTCCCACTACCTTCACTAAAATAACGCTTTTTTTTGAGAGAAAAGAGTCATCAGAGTCCCTTGGCTCTGATGACTCTTTTTCTTTCCTTTTCCGCTCAGGTTGTCTGCCTGTCACCACTACCGACACTGAAAAGGCCTACCCAGGACTACTCTCACCCGGACGATTAGACTCCACGATCAAGTGGATTCAAACCGTTACCTGTAAGTGGTTAAGAACTGAACAATTGCCAGTCTTTCTCATTCTAAATCATAAACCCAAATGTGTCTAATCTCAGACTACCACTGCAGATTTTTTTCATGTTTAGCCCTTAAATGTTTTACAGAGGTGTAACGCTGTCAGAAAATGATCCCAGCGATTCGCGATGGCTATCTCTTCAGTTTTTTTTTAAATTTACCCAATGGTAGATCTCGCTATCGTGATTTCTCATCAACCCCTTATTGTTTAAGAAACAAGAACAAATTTAAATAATAAGTAGGTGAGAATGAAAATAAAACTAACTTATTTTTCAATTTGATGTAGAGAACCAGCAGCAAAATACAGAAGACAGCCAGACAGAAGATAAAAATCCCGTACATAAGGAACGCTTCCTGATTGGTCATTATCTCCGGGAACAGAGTTTTTGGCTCGGCTGTACTCTCCGGCTCAGGCTCGGCTGTTGAGTTGTATTTTTCAGGTTCTGGGGCCATGATTGACGCTCTCTGAAATGCGATCGTGAAGGGATAGATATAGAAAGTAGATAAATTTTACGAGAACATCTGTTTGACTCTCTCTTGGAGGAGTAAAAATAAAACCAATTTGATTACAAAAGTCCTGCGTTTATGATTTATAATTAAGATCAAAAGTTGTCTTTTTTGTCTAACATCATTTTTTCTATCTCTTTTTCTGCCAAAAAGGAAAAAGTTGGCATAAAAAAAGGAAACAAACTGAGGAGAAACCCAACTTATTTCACGGTAAATTTACCTCAGTCTAATCCCTCTGAAGCTCGCTCTCTTAAATAAGAACAAATCTACCGAAGAACTTAAGTTTCACAATCAAGACTAACAAGAAATTCGATCTAAATGGACGAAACACTAATGACACGAGTAAGTGTGTTCGAGCAAGGATAGCGCCCAGGAAGTATGACGGAGACAATGAGACTGAGGAAAATATAAACTAACAGTTTCAGTTGTGGGTAACAAAGAATATTTCAATATTAGACAGACTTCTCCTTAGTGACTTTTGTGTATCCCCGAGGGAATGTAGACCAGATTGATCTCTCTAAGAATTGTTTTCATCCATTACCACTCTGAAAACCGTTCTTATTCACCAGACCATTCATAAAATTTTTGTGATTAAAAACTTGCTTGCACAGTTTTAATGCTGGTGGCGCCGTGTTTATTAACTTCTGCTGTAATGATTGTTTCTTGTCTAAACGCCACCTGTCTTTAACGTCAACTATATTCATAGTCACACCAAATAATTACTATATTGTGCTTAACATTAAAGGCGAAAACATAACAAAAAAGTAAAAAAATATTTGTCATCCTCGGCACTTCCAATATACCTATGATCAGAGCTGCAACTAAAAAAATAACTTTTTTAATATGTAGGAATTTTATGTATTACATTTCGTTAGCCAACTTTAACAGCTCACAGAAACGTCGTTGGATAACTATGTGTCATGAATAACCTAATAATGGTCGATTTTCTCTCTCCTTCAGTGCCAGAAGACTTAAGAGTTTATAAAAGTATATAAAAAAAATATCCTTTTGGCAAAAAATGAATAAATAAAGGACAAAGTAAAATAAATTAACGAATTATGGAAAAAACTGGTTTAAGAGCGGCAATATTCGATTTCCTGTGTGATAGCTGAAAATTTCACACCAGCTTTTCGATCGAATTTCAAAGAAGTTGCAGAAAACATATTGTCAAACCAGAAGTAAGTCAATTCAAATACTTTACTCTCCTGACTGTCAACAGAAGTTATTTTCAGCATGGAGCGCGTTTCTGAACTGTCAGAAGACTTTCACTTTCACCGGTGTCAGTTTCTTTTATATTTATTTGGCTCTTTCCCGATAATTCTCACATGAGGTGAATTCTCAAAATTTACAGTTTCATAGATCTAGGAAATCTTACCCCGATGGGAAAAAATTTCTCGCCCCAGAAATTTCTATCGTTCCATTTTTTAATTTAAGTTTTCAAAAAACATTTTTGAATGATGGAAAAGTTAGCTAGTTTTTCTATATTATAGATGGTTCTTAAAAGTTAATGTATTTGCATGTGAAGAATATTATGGCAAAGATAAGAAGAATATCATTAAGAGGGCTGTTATGGATTCAGCTGTCTCCTCGCGTTGTTCCTGATCTTAGACTGCAGGTGATGTATTCAATTTGGCTTCAAGGCCAGCCGCTATTTTTTGCAATTCAACTTATTTTTACGATTTTCTCGTTGTTGCTTTTAACAGATATATTTACGTGTATCGCCGGGGAATTTTGACAGGACGCTGGAACATTAGTAACATACAACCTTTCTTTCTCAAAACGAAACTTACTGTGGCAAACGCCTGTTCGCTTCCCAGAAAGGAATTAGCACACTCTAAAGTAACGTTTGAAGTATAACTGAAATAAATTGTTTACTACCTTCTGCTCTCGAGTCGTGGATGCGAGGATACGAAATATAGGTTCTTGTTGTTGGCGTGATCTCCGTGATTAACGAACCACGATTGCAAATCAATAAAAACAAAACAATATGACAACCCACATTGATAAGGGACAAAACATTCTGTTTACATGACAGACTCAACATCACGCTAACGCGCAGCTTGACACTAAGCAGGCAGGATGAATCAGCGAAAAGCATACATAAACAGAATCACTGTTATGCTCTTTCATATGAGAGGGAGATTATGAAGCCAAAATCGTTTGAATGCTTCAATAACAATGGGAAATATGAAATTGTGCGAGAAGATCGGACAGATGATCGAGTAAGATCAACATTAATTTTCCGCGAAATTTCGCCGTAGATTACTCAAATTCCCCGATTAAAAACCGTTTCTTCCTTAAAAATCTGGAAGAATCGACATTCTTTGACTTCCTTTGAAAGGAGATCAAATTGATAAGGCTCGTGATGTTCCGCTCCAGCTAATTAAATCAATCGCCCGGATGTGAAAAGCTTTTCGCTAAGACAACGCTTTCATTCTTCTACTCGAGGCTAGTATTATATCTGGAAAACACAAAATAAACCAAGAAACAAAAAATTGCCCTTAAAAATCACGCAAATAAATTCACTTTTAGACAAGATGAAAAAATGAAGCGTATTCTATCAAAAGATCGCAATAGATTATCATTAGCCCCTAGCCAATGTGGGTTGAGCTGTCAATACTAGCTCTGTCTCAAAAGCCAATTGCAAAATCGACATTAGCAGATGAGATTTATCTTTCTAGTCACCTACGTAAATAAAAATCAAAACATTTATGCGCTATTTATTAAGTCAAAGACACTTTGATATAAAGAAACACTATCTTTGCCTAAATTATCTCAGCGAAGACGCGTGTCTACGAATGCCTTCATACAGATTATAATATTGAATTTGCGTCAAGCTTTTCGAAGGTATGAAATAGAATTTACTTTAAGAAAACGGAAGTTTCGTAGCTGCATGAGGGAAAATTGTTTCTCACAACAAACTGTTTCGTTACGAAGAGACCATCTAACTAAGTTAACGTATTAAAGATCTACAAGCACCAAAATCATTGTCTCTCATGACTTACCGATGAGGACGTTAAACTAGACACAAATGTGATGTGGAAATCTCCTTCTAATATGAATTAATCTCTGTCTAGATCTCAGATTTTCGCAGAGGCCGCTCAAGCAATGGAATACTTGCTTGGTCTTAAGCCACCGAACGTTTTCCGTTACCTAGTAAGAGCAAAAGTCGACGGGAAATAACTGAATATTTTGAAACGTCCGACAGAGCTCAGAGATGAGGTTTCCGTGACATTCAGTGAACCCGCTGCAGCTTGTTATTTGAAGAACTTGGTAATAAAGTATTCAGTTCAATACTTCCGCGTTCTCATTGGTCGAATGCTTTATGAGCACTAATTGATATCCTTACAACCACTCCTGATAAAAGCAAACACTTAGAAATTACAAATCAAGCCAAAATATTTATAAACAATAAAAATCCAGACAAAGAAATGAAAAAAATACAGTACATGTTATTTCAAACATTACGAGATCTTATTCGATATCATGTAAACTCATCCAATTTAAAAATAAATAAATAATAAACGAGAAATAAAAAAAGGAAGGAAAAGTAAACGGGAATCGTGAAACTTGGCGTTAATTCCATGAAGCTTCAAATCTCATGGATGATATCAGAGAAATTGGCTTTTTTTTTGCAACAAGGGACTACTTTAATTAACCCCTTACAACCTAACATCAGTATGCATATTCTCCATACTGTTCTCTATACACTTCGTAAGGTGATTAGAAGGAGAATATGTTTTATAGTCAAGAACTTCTTGGGTAGGTGATCATTTCTTTTATTCTCACGACCTGAATTAAATGCGTGATTCGTGGATGATGGTGTAAGGGGAAATTAGATGCTTGTCGCTCTAAGGTGTCCAAGGGTTAAGAAAATGAATTTGTGGTGACTTGTTCGATCTTTTGATTGAAAGTTACAGATACTCGCTCAGCTCCCGGTGTGTCCTCCGGAGTATCTTAACGTGGGTAGCTCTCGATGAAATCAACAGAAACCTCCTAAAACATCATCCCATGAGGGGACGCAAATCGTCTGCACTGTAAGTACATATCAAGCTCTGTAGGTGATTTAATCCCATTTTAATCCCATCCGATCTCACAATTTACGAAAAACTTCATTATTCTTGTGAAAAATGATAGCCGTCTTATTGAAACTTGATGACAAGTATAAGCCGGCAAAGAAAACAGTGCAAAAGCAATTATCTGTCACATCGTTGTCAGCAGCAACAGGATTATGACACCTTACAGTGCCCATACATTTTCTTAGACTAAAAGTCTAAGAAAATGTAGGGGACTCTCCGGGATACTTACAGTACAGACGATTTGCGTCCCCCTATGTTTTGCTTTTGTGCAAGTGCAAGAGCAATCTTAGCCAGAAAAGTCGGAAAAAGACTGTAAGTAATTCCATACTTTGACTTTTTCCCTTTAACTACAACAAAAAACCCCGTCCCTTCTATTCTTTTCCACATATGTTGTGGCATAAGTTCATCTTTGAAGTTACAGAATAATTTTTTTTTCGTTGTAATAACTTAACTACAAACTTAAATGCCGACTGCTCAGATGCAAACCGCACACAATATAAAGAACATCATTTGGGTAGTATACAGATATACTTGATTATGAAATCACCTTAGAAACAAGGCGTAAGAAAACATTGTAGGACATACAGCTCTACAGATTCCGAGTGGGCTTGTATTAACTTTACACAAAGTATGCTAATTTGGTAATAACATTAGTTTAAGTTTACAGCACAAGTGTAAACATCATGTCAATATTGTTAGTTTCGACAAAAAAGTTGTCCATTATGGTGAACATACCCTCAGTATATGGTGATACAGCCCAAAATACAAGAAAATAATTGTTATGCAAAGATGCTAGCAAACACGTACACATGAAAATCATATACATATTTGTTCTCTGTCGCCACAGTTAGGAATTATTATTTAAACTGTTGTTTCGAATTTTTAGCCGCTTCTTGGCCGAGAATTCCGAAACCTATCAAGCGCTCAAATTTGACTCGATTTGTTGACGGTTGTTTTTGTTAAATATGGTCGAGGAACTTCTAAAGAAGCATAAATCTACCCGCAAGCATGATCGCATGTTAAACTCTCACCTAAGTTCCTTTTTGTTAATACCGATTTAAATGCGATTAATCTCGAGCGGCCACGACACAGGCTTATATATCACTCCACTGAAAATTTCTCTGAGGCTGTAAATCACTTCCTAATGGCCTTCATCTCAAGGGAAATAAGGGAGATGTAGAATTCACGTTGAGTCTTGAAGAAATAAATGGCAACATCAACTTTTTATCAATAGAAGAGCATTACAAATCATTTGATATCGAGGTTTAAGACAACGGAAATATTTTCATAAGGAATGAGAAACCAAAACTTACTATACAAGCTATCAATGTACCTGCTCCTTTTTTCTCCAAGGGCCCCTTTTTCCTTTGCTTCAGATGTATCCTTGATCAGTTGCCTGTACACTACGAGGCGAATTATAATAACCTGGGTAAATCAACTTGAAAACAAAAAAATTCCTTTGTTTAGTGGATTCAGCTCAGCATTAATTGTTTTAAGTGATGACGTTAACGCCCAATTGACACAAATACAATGGCCTGTCACAGAAGGTCAATATTCTGAAGGCCTCTTCAAAGAGAAAAACAATTCAGAGCAGTAACAATGAAGAATGAATTTTTTTTGTTGACAATCAGTTATTTCTCACGGTGCTCCCTACAGCCGCTATAAATATACAGTATACAGTTAATTCAATATGCAAGTCTGGACAAGATCTGATCAGACTTGCAGATACAGGATTGCATTTTGAATCAGTTTAGGTGATGCATGGAACTTGAACTGAATTCATACAAAGCGAAACGTCATGGAAACAGCATTGTATTGGTCGCAATGATTACATTCAAACCACTTCGCTGCTTTGCTCTTGATCACGTGCTCAGTACAACGCACGATCGTTAACATACCAAATTCATAGCAAACAAGCTCAGAATTCTAAAAAATATCGCTTTTCTGCGTTTATAGGTGCAATCTTGTTAATCTCCGCAACCCTAAAACAATCTTGTTTTGTTTCGTTTTCTTTTATCTTATCACCAGTAGTTACCAACCCTAAAAAATTGTCATTTCAGTGTTTCATTCTATCTTTAAAAGATAGCTGAAAATGGTTACACATCAATTCTTCGATGGATCACAGCTTCCATATCTTTACGTTTGTTTGATTGAAAGTGGTATCGAGAAAACTCAGAATAATTTATCAGCAAGTTGTGATCATTTTGTAACTTATAAGGTTACCACAGAGACTCTAGACCATTGAAGAAACCGCCCTTAATTTTAGCTGTACCTTAAAAAAACGAATTTGGTAACCGCAATTCTTCAATACTGAATTAATTTCAGCATGTCAAGATAAATAAATTTGCCAATTTGTTTTTTTTTTCAGATATGCTCTGACAGTTTAGAGCCACCTTAATTTTTTTTACAATTGAACAAAATCGTCAAAACCATTTGACTCCCCTTAAATGAGTTTTGTGTTCTAACTCCTTTGTAATGTAGGTCCGACAAGAAGGAAGCAAAATTCTATGGCTGCTCAACCAGCCATAGTGAATACCAGAAAGATTGGCTCCGAAAAGTATCATGCTCCTTTTAATCCTCGCAGTGAAAAAGAAATAAGGGCAATCAAAATGGCTTCTTGCCGAACAATAATCCTTGTAGTATTATCAGTGGAGACGTTATGAGTCCTGAAGAGGGCAGAAGGGAATTGCATAACAAATACTAATTATCGTTACCGGTTGTTCGAAGTCCGATTAGCGCTAACCCAGTGTTAAATTTAATCCGGTTTTCTTAATTCCTTCGTTCCAAAGCCTTTTTCGGATAATTTCCGTAATTATTTTTAAGGCATCCAATTATCAAATTGCAGACAAAAGGAATTGTACTAAATTTTCTTTGAAAGCTTTCACATCTGAAATAATGCATATTTTCCTCTAACACTGGTTTATCTCAACCCAGCTTTGAACAACCCGGCCCAACTGATTACTTTAAATATTTTTTTTCAGCAGACTCAAGATAAAGTCAACCGGAGAGAGCTGGGGAAGAGAAATCATCATCACACTTTTCACGATTGGAGACGAAGCTTCATGATAACGGTGAACTTTCCTCCTGTTTGCGGTGACATTTGTCGAAGAAGTCGGTTATAAATAAAACAAAGAAGATGGTAAATTTTGAGCTCGGTGAAGAAATTGAGAAAGATGCTTTTTGTCCTTCACAAGCGCGGGACAAAGAAAAAATTCAGTCCCCGCTCCGATGCCACAAAGACCATGTTGATGGCGAGAAAGGCTATTACTAAGCTCACGTATGACACGCGTCCTCCAGAGTCCCTGCTAGGTATCGTATCTTTATCCCACACTCATGACAAGACAGAAAGCATCTTTCGCTTGGTCGGTTACAAGTTTGAAATGTCCTATATCCACAGATTTTCAGTCACGACGAGGTTTTCGTATATAACCGACATTCAAAACGCGTTGAGTAAGTTTTCTTGATAAACGAAGGTAAACATCACAGCGGTGAGCAAATTATTTATCAAATTCTACCTAGATTATTGAGTAAAAATTTCCTGAGCCGATGGCAACCCAATCAGTCCTATAATTTGACATGGTTTTGAAGTCACTACTTATGATATCAAATAGTTACTTTTCATGTCAGTTCCTCTTTCACAGACAACAAAGACCAAATAACATGTGAAAGAAATCACAATTGACCTGTAGGTGACCAGATTAATGACGAGTTGATTTAGTGTATTATCACGTCAAGGAGTAATTAAAGCTGAAATGCACTGAAATGCCTACGGTAATACCTAAAAGAATAATTTAGGTTTCCAACTGAGGCCTATAACGGCAGCTGCAAAGACACAGTTTGATGCCGATACATTGGTCCCAATCCCATCAAATCTCTGGATTTTCAAGTTCAGCTACATCTTGTGTTTGCTGCTGCCTCAGTAAAATGTAATTGCAATTTATTTGTGTGGATCAGTTTGTCACAAACTTGACACACTGAAAACTATAATATAATGAAACCTGAGGAACCTTTGATGATAATGTTCACTTTGTATATATAGTAAAACCTCTTATTATGCCAGCCGCGTAATAAGTGTAACTTTTGGGTCACAATAGAGCTCAATTAAACTATTGTTGCGTTTGGTCCGCTGTTTGGAGTTATCCAGTTTCATTTTACAGTAAATTGAAGGACGACTATAGTGACCCTTTGTCTGTTTGTTTACGCCAGCTGCTCAGTTTATGTGCGTTCCGCTCGATACAAGTTTCGTTGTTAATTATCACCTTCTGACTCTAGCGTCTCTGGCTTTTGTGTGGAAAACGGCAGTCCGTGTGTGGCCATTATTGCTATTTCTCCAAAACTGGGACACTACGTTGTAGTAAGCCTTTAAGTTGGCAGTTCATGGGTTATCGATCAAACTAGATACTTGAGTGACAAGCTTTGTTCTTTGCGCGAAAAGCAGGAAATAGGTAGCCTCTAGGCTCCACCTGAATGAAACACTGGTTACTTTTTGTCATTATCTAATAAACTTTGAGTATATGTATTCTTACCACAACTTAATTCGATAAAACAATAGAAAACTTCTGAAAAGACGACAGCCACATATTGCAATCTTTCGCTGTTTTAGACTATACTTTGTTTGTTACAATGGTGTAGTTGTCTCTTATCTGAATTCACCCAGTCATGTCTTTAGTAACGCTTTGATAACAATGCCAACCAAGGGATTGTACAACCAAAAATCAGGGCCTAATATGGGAAAGGCTAAAAAGGGTTTGTGCGAAAGTGTTGAGTGACAAAGCATAAGTTAGTTTCGCCGACTTTGATTACGATTAAACGTTCTAGAAGCTGATAATGACAGTCACGATAACGGCTGATAAACAAAAGGCTTAAAAGCTTTAATTTAAAGTTATTGTTAGATGTAAGAACTTGGTCGAACAGAAGACATGTGTTAATCCGGTATAACTTATTTCCTTATGATGTAAATTACTCTAATGTAAGCCGACTCGACATTTGCTGATTGTGGTCAAATCAGCCCAACAGCTTTCAGACAGACAGAAAGCGGTTTCAGTTTCCGCACACTGTTGTGACCACAGGTTGTTTATAACATCTCGAGTTTCCCAGGAGCATTGCCAACATTATCCTCAAGAATTTGAGTCAGGGGAAGTGTATGCCTTTTCGAAAAACGCCGCTGTACTTGCTTCATTGTGAGCTACTCCGAAGCTTTTCCCTACAGCTATGTCGAAACTGAGTGGCACTGTTTTATTTCTAATTGAGGTGAGTAAGGAACTTGAGTTTCGCCAGCTTATGAGTATAGCTTGCGACTGAATCCTTACGTGTTGATTGTTATCGCTTTTAAGGTTTTCATTCTTTATGGAAATGGGAAGAACACAGTAGGTAGGTCAAACCCAATTTAATTTGCAATTCAGGTAGTAATGTTAAAGTGTTGCACTTGTTCTTCACCTTCTCCTGAGAAGTTGTTGGCCAGGACTACACAAGAGGTCGGCACAAAGGGCACTGCTGATGATATAATTACATGTAGTATCCTAGTTGACTCTCTTCGGTTTCCATTCTATGTCGGTGGTCTACTGACTGATGCTTTCCGTGACAATACGCACTGTACAGTGAAATACCATTATCCTCGATATTTTTATCTGAAAGAATCACACGGATAATTATGAAAATTGATTTTGGTAGAAATGTTTTTAATAATGGGTGATCGTTCCTGTGAAGTACGTACTCGTGCTGCGCGCTGTGTTTTTATTAGGAGTGCTTATCGCTTTGGAGGTGACGAGCGACTGCATATTGAGCTCTGTAGTCCTTCCTGTTCCTCAGCTGTAGTTTTCCTCTAAGCGAGTAGTTTTAAATATCTATCATCTTCTCCCCTCAAGACCTTATTTCCTTACATTTTGGAATATTTGAAGCAAAAGCAAATAAAATAATCTTTCCTTTTGCTCTATCAATGACGGCCGACCAAATGTTACACAGCACGCATGGTGTTTATCATTTTGAGCAAGAGCTAGTAGGCTTTTTAGAAAGCACTTCATTCTATATTTAGTCCTAAATTGGCTGTTAATATTTTTCATAAGTTGCTAGCGAGTAGGTTCTCATCACCGCTGCGGAACGAGAGGTTAAAAACGAGAGACTCGAACCGGCTAGCGAGGAGGGCGAACTAGAGTTAGGGGTTTGGCGGCTCGAAACGCGTGTGCTGAGTTGCTTATGTGCGTGTGTCATTGCGCCAGTGAGAGTGCTTTAGGCGAATAATTTTATTGTGACTGTTCAATATAGGTGATTGTTGTTGATACAATTGTTATTGTTTTTGAGGTTTATTTACGGCAACGTAGCGATTTTCATCGATCCACTGCCCTCAAATCAGGAAAGCTAAAATACCGGAAATTTTTCAAGGTTTGGCACCAGGAATAGAAAAGGGATACTCATTTCCTCTGCTGGTCCCCCGAGATTCTTGTGGTAATCTAGAGAGAAAGCGTTGGGTGACGAGGTCTAATAACGGCTTTGAATGAGGCTACTTCTTTGCTACTTTTCTTGTATGAAGATAATGAAGATTAGTAGATACCCTTTCGGTACCATACGTATTAAACATAATCTCTTGTCGCGATCACCACGCGGATGATGGTAAGGATTAGATTTTCTATCACACTCCACAAGCAATTCGTAAAAGTCAAACACTTCACTGAAGTAATGATTTCAAAATAAGTTTCCCCCAAAGAGATGTGTAAGGTAGGTAAGGAAAAACAGGGTTAGTTGCTTACATTTCTTGTGCATTATGGAAAAATAATAAACAACAGACTAGTTTCTGTAAACCAGGAAAATATAATAAAGAAAGAAGAGAGAACTTAAACCTTTCACTCTCAGGATTTGCTATTGGATCAATTAATAATCCCCTTATTAATGTTTTTCTTTATTCTCATCACTTGTCTTACTTGATATTGTAAGGAGAAATTCTATCTTCGTCGGTTACAGGAGTTAAAAAGTTAAACGTCGTAAAATTTTCGTGTTACATAATTTTTTTGCAGACAGCTTCACGTGCTCAATCACAGGCTATTTCCCCGATCCAAATGACTGTGCAAAGTTTTATAGCTGTCAGTTAACTGGCAGTGAGGCGTATTTAATGCCATGCCCATCGCGTAGCCCTATTTACAATCCAGTGGATAAAAGATGCATGAATATTACAAATAGAGGTAAGTTCTTTGTTTATTTACTAATTATTTTATATTTTTCAAACACTCTATTAAACATTATTCTTAACTGTCCATACTTTGTACTATTGAATTTTACTTAGTGCGCTTAAGGTGGATTGGGTGAATTAGAAAGTCTAGGAGACGGTTGGCATTAATTGTATTACGGTTTGTTAAGTTAGTAATAGCAAACTGACGAAAAATCTTTGCCAAGCTCGATTAAAGACAGACTATCTGATCCAAATTCAATTATAATCGAATGAGAGACAAAAGGATGCCAATTTTAAATAATATAAATTTTAAATAATGGTTATGAAGGATTTCTATAGCGCCATATCCATTTAGCCCATGGCGCTTTATAACACTTTGCGAGGGATTTTGGCCGGACTGCATTGAGCAGTTTGCAATTTTTTTAAAGAATTTTTGTAGATGCCCTCAATTTCAGAATCAAGGGCAGACCACAACACCGGAGCTAAGTTCCCTACTTTTTGCGATCAGTGCGCGGGTTCATTAACGTTGGTCTAGCTAACCAGTACAGAGAAGAGGCAGGAGACGTGGCCTATGGCTTATCGTCCTTATTCGAGAAGTCTAGAATGTCTAACCATTTGCAGATGCCACAGCAAAGGCGCGCATTCTCTTCAGTTATTTCAAGACCCTGAGTGTTGGTCCAGGCTAGATCTTGAACCCTCGACCTCCCCCACAGCTGGCGCTCTACAACATGAGCTAACCAGGCGGCGGTTTTTTACCAATCGTTGAGAGGTTTACACTTGATTTTAGCCGTCGTGGGCATGAATTCTCCTCTTTTATATATGGTGTACAGCATCGAGGTTACAGAAATGATCTTACGTATCAGTGAGAAATAAAGATTGTTTGTTTCGAAGATAACAATGGACCTTTTTTTCAGCTCAAATCGCTTCACTTTGTCGCAGTTCAATCACTCCTACTCCTAGGATATCCACGAGCGTCAGGAGCCCGAAGCCGAGTGGAATTTTACCTTCCTCGTCAATCAATGTTACCCACAGCCGATATACAACGACACCACGACAATTAGTGACTACATCTTCATTTTCAGGTAAAGAATATCCCTTATATCATCGATGAGCTTTGAAAGGTATCTTTAAAACAAGTTTGTTTTATATGACGTCTCCTAACAAACAATCATCAGAATATCAATTTGAATTTACAATTAATTTATTAGAATGATGTATTGTAGCAATTTTAAGCAGTCACTAGGGTCCTGTGTTCCGCAAAATATCGTGCTTTTTTTTCCAGACAAAGTGAAATGTTGGCTTCAAAGCAGCACTATTTAGGCAAATAAAAAGGAAATTTCTCCTATGTAATAAAAGCAAAATGCTTCAGTTTTCACGGATTAAGAAAATGTGTTGCTTCAAAAGATCAACATTTTGTATAATTCAACGGAAAGTTAAACGTAAGTGCATTTTACTCATATAAATATTCAATTTTTTACCGCGTTGGTTGTTAAATCTGGTCAAAGTGCACATAGTGCTCCGCACGTTTAAGAATGGAGTCTTTGATTTTAACCCTTAATATGTTTAAGCGGTTTTTTCATTTTTATTTGACATGGTATCAAGAACTGTAATGCAGAAATTCTGCATGGTGTGGCGTGTAATGCTGCAGAAATTCTGCAAGGTACGACGTTAAATGCTGCAGAAATTCTGCAAAGTTCGATGACCCAAGCGTGCAAAAATTCTGCACGCCTTGACTTCCAGTGCTGCAGAAATTCTGCATAGTATGGCGTCCAATGATGCAGAAATTCTACACGCCTTGACGTCCAGTTTTGCAGAAATTCTGCACGCCTTGACGTCCAGTGCTGCAGAAATTCTGCACACCTTAACGTCCAGTGCTGCAGAAATTCTGCACGGTATGACTTCCGCAGCAGCAGAAATTCTGCAGGCAATGAAATCCTGAGTTAAAGAAATTTTATGTGTTGCAAGGTCAATGCTGCAGAAATTCTGAATCGTTTCTTTTCCATTCTCAAAAAAGACAAATTGTAGAGGGCCCACGCATACCAACAGTTTCGATCAGCTTTCTTTTTATGCTTTTTCTACTTTTCAGTGATCTTAGTTGAAATAACAATACTGTGCATGGTGATGTCTTTTGAATGACAGAATAAACTTGTGAAAATAACTCCACGGTTGGAAACTAAAGGCTATTAACAGAGGCCCGTACCCGCTTTATTAAACAGAACTATTCATAAATCAGGCTTTTAATCAAATGCCAAAAGGTAAGTTGTTGAAAGGAAATTAATTTTCTTTTCCCTGCAAGAAAATAAAATCGTGTAATTGAATTTTTGTACACATCCAGGTTGAGCTCCCAACACATTTAAGATTCTTTTAAAAGTTTGTTTTCAAATTTTTTAAAATTTCGTTTAATCAAAGAAAAGGTGGAAGTAATCCTGTTAAGTTAATTCCGCCGTTGTTTTCAATGCAGAATCCAGCCAAAACCAGAAGGCGCCCTCACAATGGCTTTGTAGAGTGGGTCTTCAGTACATTATCCCTTTCACTGGTTTGTGACCTATTAGGCAACATTGCACACAAGCGGCCCAAGCTCCAGCTGTGAGATGATCATCTTGCGCAATAACAGTCATGGCGGAATTATAAGAGTTTGTCTGGGAATATTTACGACCGCTCTAAGGAATTAAAAAATACGTCAAATTCTCAAAAAAAATACCTCACCTTACTTCCACAGCGTATTGCTTGTTATCTGACCGCTTACTTTGATGAAAAGAACGCATTTTAGCGAGTTGTCCATTTGGAGGTTTTCAACGTACATAAGAAAAACCAAGTACGTTGAAAACCTCGAAATAGACAACTCGCTAAAATGCGTTCTTTTCATCAAAGTAAGCGGTCAGATAACAAGCAAAACGCTGTGGAAGTAAGGTGAGGTTTTTTTTTTTGAGAATTTGACGTATTTTTTATTCCTTAGAGCGGTCGTAAATATTCCCACATAAACTCTTATAATTCCGCCATGACTGTTATTGCGCAAGATGATCATCTCCCAGCTGGAGCTTGGGCCGCCTATGCATTGCACGGTTTGATTTTTCTTATTCTGGAAACAGTTGCAGCTGACAGAGAGAGGGGATTGTTTTTCCTAGAGGCTTATTTTTTCCCTCTAATTGAGATACACAAGTAGCATTATTACCTACTGTAAACATTGGTGGAGATATTAATTAAAGTTTGTGATACTGTTAATTTAGTTTTCCTCTGAACAGTGAACGGTTTAAGGTTTTCATTAGAGGGTCGAGCATCAATTCCCATGTGGTCTATTGCAAGACAATGCAAGATTTAAATGATATATTTGCTCTCTATTTATCACATATACAAATCTTTTAAAATAGGTCAGAGGACTGAAATCGGGACTAGTTAATATAATTTGGCTGGAGAAGATTGCTTATTTGCTGTATAACAAACTTCAATGTTATCAAATTAATGATACTTTTCACTCAGTTTTTGTATCTGATCATAAAATAAAGTGATATGACTTAAATTGTTATTGTATTGCTTACTTTTTTAACATTTTAATATTCGAATTTTATCGTGTGGCATTAAGCCATGTGTTATTTTAGGTACATAATTCCTGTTGAAAGTTAATTGACAGAATATTCGTGGCATCTGTTGACTGGTTGGAGAAAGACTATTATATTCCTGTATCTATGAGTGAATTTCTGCAACATCTAGTGAATGAGAGGATGCAGAATTTCTGCAACATCCAGTGTATGAGTGGTCACAGTGTTTCTGTGACATTCAGTGTATGAGTGCTCGCAGAATTTCTGCGACACCTGGTGAATGAGTGGTTGCAGAATTTCTGCAACACCCAGCGTAGTGTATGAGTGGTTGCAGAATTTCTGCGACACTCAGTGCATGAGAGGTTGCAGGATTTCTGCAACATTCGGTGACTGACTGTTGGCAGATTAGATGGATTACCTCTGCATATTTTCATGATTGTCCCTTAACACGTAGTTTCTTACGGACACGCTAAATATTGCAGAGGAAATGTAAATTTTCAATTTATTTTAAATTTTGTCCGCTAGATTTGATTATTTTTAAGTGATTACCAAAACTTGCCGGGGAAAATCATTAATTTATCCAAAAATGTGCTATTTTGGAAAACACAAAATAGTTTGTAAAGCGTTTATTATTTATTTTTATCGGCTAGATTCTCTTTTTGTTGATTCCAACCTAAAAAATTTTCGTAACCCTCAGCAAAAGTTCAACAAACTGACTCAAAGGAAGGAAAGATAACAAGGAAATACCAAGTCTAAATGTCACATTAAAACTTTACTTCTTTTTCTCTTCTTTAGATCCAAAAAATTCTCACCCAACCGTTGAACCAATAAAAACGAAACATTGTGGATCGGTGGCCTTGGAGGAAAAGGTAGGTAACGATTCCAAAAATTTAACAATCAACACAGATGGTTTATAAATTGGACTTTTGGATATGATACTGGAACAGTTTCGAAATTCTGAGTTGAAACTTTTAGAAAGACGCCTGATAGCCACGGAACAGATATTTCCATCTCATGATCAAAAGTCCTCTGTTGCCTTTTTACTAGTGGGGGGAGGGTACCGATCGCAACTGTTCGCTGGGAAATCTTTGACCCGAGATATTAAGTTTGCTCCATTTGATTTAATCAACTGTCAAGGTGCATAATTGCTGGGGAATAAAGTCTTCCATGTCCTGTTGTAAATATGAAAACCAGCACATAAACTGAATATTGTTTTCCCAAAGTTTAAGTGTTTCGAGAACGAAGCTGGACAGCTCAAGGAAAGCATGGCGAGAAATAAAACTGCTTCGATACTAGATATTTTACAGGTGTGTTACATTACATTATTCTTTGACACAAAACGCGACACAAAACTCTAGTTTATCCCAGCAACTCTTGCTATTAAAACCTTTATAATCGGTTCAGCCGAATTTCTCTCTTGAATAAGACTGAAGTGTTAGTATATGTAATTGCATGGGCCTGAGGGCAATTAAGGATAAATTTCACTTGTATTTTCAAAGTTTTCCCAAAATTACCCGTGTCGCGAAGCGACGAGGTCAATTTTGGGAAAACTTTGAAAATGCAAGTGAAATTAATCCTTAATTGCCCGAGGATTCATGCGATTTCTTCTTTATCACATAAAGGGCAAAGTTTTTTTAAGGGAATTGCATTAGCGCACGAATTCTGCGCGTTGAAGCCTTTTCAATGCCGCCACAAATGTCAAAACATACGTAACTGATCAATAGATTCAATGAACATTTTTTTCTCAAAATACAGTTAACAACATTACACAACTTCATTCAGTAAAATTGCAATCAATGAATCATTGCCGCAAACAGCAAAAAGGTTCAATCAGCATTAAGTAATCATGCCCTATTGATTACCAAAAGCCAATCTCGATTTAACGTTTCCTCATCCTCAACTTCCCTTCTTTTGGTTGGCAGCTTTGATTACTTTGACAACGCTAAATCGAAGCGGTTCATATTTGATTGACTTATGTGTGCAAATTACATCCGGCAACACGCTATTGCATTTCATTCCGTTTAGACAACGGCTGAGGATGCCGACGACGTGCTTGGGAGCTTGACTTTTCCAAGGAACGGTTCTTCTTATCTTAACGCTTTTAAGATCGTATCAATTTTAGAAGACCTGTGGAAGGAGGCCCAAAAACGTCTGGCGAATAGCAGCGAAATCATACGAATATTTACCAAGAGTTTTTGTAAGTAACCAAGCTCGTCGTAATTTATTTAAATATTTCTCCCTTTTCGATGTTTCGGGTAACAAGGAGATTGAAATGCATGGAAAGATAAGAAATAAGATGAAAATTATATTAGAATCAGTTAATATTTGATAAATCAAAATGCTAGGGTGGCAAGATGTTTTACTAAAATTTGACGTTGGTCGTGACTTCATGTGCGTATAAGTAAATGATATAAAAATTTTGGCGATAAAATATGATAAACATAGCTGTGGGAAAGAGAAATAAATAGTTATCGCATTCTTGATGACAAATTAATACGATTCTTGTTATAATTCAGTGTTTGAAAGTGCGAACATCAACGGGGAATACAGATTTCCACAAGAATCTCTTCTGTATCTTCAAAAGCAGATGCATTGGGATGAACTCACTGACCAGATACAATTACCCAGGAAACTGCTTTCTGAAGGCAAATGTAGGTGCCAACTGTATCTGTATGACATTAAACCCTTAAACCTTAAGATCAGTAAGCCTTTTCTCCATACGGTTCTCTATACATTTCTTAAGGTCCTGACAAAGAGAATTTGTTTAACAATCAAGAACTTATTTGTTTGGTGATCATTTCCTTTAATCTTGTGACTTTAATGTATGATTCAGGGATGATATTGTAAGGAGAAATTATATGTTAGTTACTCTTTGGGGGCAAAGGGTTAACAGTTGAAGTTGTAGGTGTGTCTCCGTTTTGCAATAGAGCGCTTTTACTCGGCTCTTCATTATCGAACCAACCGCATTATAGGCACACATGCACTGACTAAAGGATAGACACCGTGAAAATAAATTTACAGAAATGTCCAGAGATTTTAAAGTGAATAATCTCTGGGCATTTCTGATTCCACTCTGCGTTCCTCAGTTACTTCCTATTTTTTTTATCTGTTTAATTAGCAAGACTGGGAAAATTTTGGGGTTACAGCACACTAGAAAATAGATAACATACAGTCACTGCCAATTCTTTAGATCCGTGTCGTTCTGTTGGTGCTCTGTATTCAAGACTACATGCCATTGTGCCAGTACGATTGTAAGTATTTAGTCGTTTGCCAGCATTTGAGATATATGTTAATTATATTTTAACGTACGTTTTGCTGTGATTGTTTTAGGAGCGACACCAATGAAACTCTAAGGCTGAATAGCCACGTGATATCCATGTCGCTATGTATGCCGGTAAAGCACAAGTACCAAAGGAATATTCTCATCATACTGAAACATCTTAAGGTAAATTAGACATGTGATATATTCGCCTGAAATTCAGCGCATGCTGTCGGATGCTTACGAAGAAGTTTAGAAACTCTAGTCTATCTCTATATTTGGCGGTCGACAGTAAAATTTTCTTCTTTTCAGGCTCTTGACGAAAATGAGTATACATATTGCGCTTTCTGGAATTTTTCAAAACAGTAAGTGTTGTACAGATTCTAAAGCTTATTGCTTAGACCATTAGGACCATTAGGACTTTATTGGTCGCTTGAATCATAATAGCAGCTTACTTAAAAAAAAAATTGATTGTTTTGGTACTGATGCCCGGTGCCATCTACACGCACACCTTTTTTTCCAACCGGTTAAGTGCTCGTCTTAATTTCCAAAACGTAACAGGACAAAGTGATGAGTAATTTCTTGCAAGTTGTGCAAATTTAATCACAGGATTCGCCAAGCAGTCACGCTGAGTTCCGTCATTACGCCATTTTGTATTGAAACTTTTGAACCAAATTTTCAAAATCCTTACCGTGTTGTTTCAAATTTACACCAGCACGATTCAAGGGAGAGGAGCTTGGTCACGTGACGGTTGTCACGTGGTTACAGAGAGGTCCAACAGGACACACACTGTGTGCGCCTGTGGTCATCTCACCAACTTTGCTGTTCTTATGGGATCTGGAGAGTATTCGGTAGGTGTCTATAAACGTACAACTGGAAACTCATCCTTGTTCTTTCAAGAATTAGCTTGAGTTGAATATTTTGTTTCATCGCGCAACTGGCCTAACATATGGTGAAGGGTGCTAAGTGGTAATCATGTAATGGGGTTAGAGGAAGTGGCCCCCGTTCTCTCTCCCCTTCTCTTCCCTCTCCTCCTCCCTCTCCCCCCGGAAAAAATAGATTAAAGCAAAAGTTAAATAACGTTCAACAGAGCCCTTTACAGTGGCTTATGCATCCAGGACTTGATTTTCAGATCCCCTCCCCTACTTTACTGAATATCGCTCCGCCGTCATTGATAGATATGTAACATCCACCTCATGCCACAAAATCGGAATTTTCAATGTTGTTTACATGTACTCTGCAAGATCTTAGTCGATCCTTGACTGATTTATCAAACTGACCCAGTTTAGATTTACTTGCTTTATTCTCCCAGGTGCCAAAAGCTGACAAATTTGCTTTGGGTATCATTACATACGTTGGTTGCATTTTATCCTTATTTGGAGCTGTTGGTGCTATTACGTCGTTTGCTGTTTTCACGTAAGTTTAAAGTTCAACCAAAATCAGGCTTGGACAAATTAGGTAAACTAAACAGCTAGACCGAAATTTTTTAGCTTGGATTTTGTGCAAAACCTTGAAATTTTAATGAGAAGAGACCTGTTCCCTAACTTTCTTTTTTTTGCTTGCAGTCAGCTGAACACAGACCGTCACATCATTCATGGGAACTTGCTGGTGTCCATTGCCATTTCCCAAACCATATTTTTGTTTGGAATAGAGCAGACAGAAAACGAGGTTTGTAAAATATTTACGGAACCTTTAAACCGCTTTCTATCTACTGATTTCACGTACTGACAGTGGTTTTCACTTAATGAAACAAAATCTAAGAGCGAAATATTTAGTCAATGCGTGATCTCAATTTAGCCGGGTCACAGTTGATACGAAACGAATCAAAAACTCAGAAAATCGCGAAGACTTTTTGAAGAGTGAAAGGAAGAGAAAGGAGAAAAGAGAAGGGGAAAAACTAAAATCACTGAAATAGTTTTCAAGGATGGAATCTTAACAAAGAACTTCGTTATCGAATAAGGGGTAGATCATCATTTATCGTCTGCGGGCGGTTGGAGTATCTTGGTTGTGTCACGATGAAATTTGTCTGTTATCCCCATGAGGCTTTGCAATACTCCTATGATTCCCATCACTGGCAGCTACTCCCCTCTTTGTACTCTGTTGGAGACGACTGATCCCCTCCTCACCCCCCTGAAAACCTAGTGATTCCTCCCCCCTAAATCCTTCCCCCAGATGATTACTAATGACTGATTGCGAGGTACAGGAAGGGACCTCGTAATGTCGTCTCTCTTTTATTCACACCTTTAGTTACAGTGTAAATTCACGGCGATCATGCTTCATTATTTCTACTTGGTATCATTCGGTTGGATGCTTTGCGAGGGACTTCATCTTTACACCATGGTGGTGAAGGTCTTCAACTTGTCTTCTAAAATTTATCACTACATTGTGTTAGCTTGGGGTGAGTAATGTAAATTTGGGGTTGAGAGTCTATCGTAAATTTAGTGTTTCGCTGATGTTCATCCCAAGGACAAATGTCAGAAATCTTCGCGTGACAACCCAAGAGGCAATAAAACTATGCTTGTATGTCAAGATAATTTGATTTTATCAGCTGTGTCGATAGTGTCGTCTGATCTTTTGGTCTGGCTCATTCGAATTCCCTTACGTCTCCATTGGTCTGTGATTTCAACATTATCTAATCTACTTTCTCTGGCTAAAAATTTGTTTTCTTTCAAAAGGGATTCCAGCTTTGCTTGTTCTCGTAACAGCTGCTTGTATGTACTCCGACTATGGCACAAAAACAAGGTATAAACGAGTTCAAAAAAATTGTGGCAGAGTTCATTATTTTCTCAGCGGTATGTTGCCTGTCACAACTGAAGATGAGCTCTTTCTATTTCTTCAGTTGCTGGATTTCGCCCGAAAGAAACACTTTGTTGGCGTTTATCATTCCTGTAGCTGTTACCACTTTGGTAAGGTTTTAGCCACGGTACAATGATTATTTTCTCAGAAAAAAAATCTCTTCTCTCAATTAATGTTTTGAATTATTTTCCTTTAGGCGAACATTGTGATCTTGGGTTTGGTTTTGCATGAGATTTGTCGCCTTCACACGACGGGACGAACTTGCATGAGCGATGTCGTTCGGTAAAGTCATTAGATTTCAGTTCTGTTTCAATGATTATCTCGAAAGGCTTTCCTGCCTGTCATAATTACAGATGAACCTGATTTACATGATCAAAAACAGGACAATATCAAGAAAACAGCCTTTAACAGATACTAGTTTGATTACAAGGCCACCGACTTTGCTGCATGACAGAAACATTTCATTTCAATTTTCAGATCTACTCTCAAGTCATTAGTGGTACTTTTTCCTCTTCTTGGAGTTACTTGGTTATTTGGACTGCTGGTGTTTGCTACTCATAGTGTTGCATTCCAGTATCTATTCGCTCTGTCTAATACCATGCAGGTAATCTTTTTTTCTTTTCAAAACTTATAACGATCAGATCTTACAAGGAGTACATGGTTTTTACGAAAACAGCATGGAAACACTACCGAGGCAACAGCTGTAACAATAAAAAACACATCCATGTACTTTGCCTTACCTGCGAAAGCACACACGTAGTTTTGAATCGCGCACATGTAAAGCATGCGTATAGATTGAACGGCGTGCGCGTAAAACGCGCGTGAATACCGCGCAAAATGGCGAATTTACGATCATAATACTTCGCGCATTTAGTCTGCAACTGTTTTATATTGTGTATAATGTCTCGTTTTTAACACAATCGGTGACAGAAAAGCAATAGGTACAAGTAACAATTTTTTCTGGGTTTTTCGGAAAATGTCCAGACTGAGTTCGAGAGAGAACCGGTCTTACCTTTCCACTCTCTGTCAAATCGTAAATAACTACCATGTCCCTTCTGCTTCAGGACTTCGTTTGTGCCCAGACGTGCGCAGTCCAGTATGACCTTTAATCTCATCCTTCTTTTGTATCGAATCTCTCCCCTTGCCATTTTAAACATAACGGCCACTACGTAGGCAACTTTTAACATGCAGTAGTTGCTCTTCCGTTTCTGAATATTAAATAACAGAAATTTTACGCGTGCAAATGTCATTGTTTTAAGCGTCCTCTGGGTAACCTCAGACAAAGGAAACTTTGAAACCAGATTTGCATTTGCTTGACCGGAAGCCCGCGCTTTGCTAGAATACGGAGTGGTAATGCACATATAATCTGTTCTGTCTTTTGCAGGGCTTTTTCATTTTTCTCCTTCACTCTTTGTTTAATTCGGAGGTATGTAATACCGTTTCAACCAAATCTACATTTAGGAATATAAACTGATTTTGTTGTGATCACATTTCGGATCATCATAATTTTTTCATCAAAGTTTTGAACCACTTTTCTTCTTCTTGCCAAGAAATTCTCTTCATTTCTCTGATTATCAATTATATTTAATATAACTTGGAAAAATATTCTTCGACTATAAACAATAAGGAGATAAACGTTTCCCGATTCACCAGGTGGTCATTAACAAACGAGTGGACGCCAAAGAAGCAATTTCAGGGGACAGTTTTAGTTATTTTTGAAACCCTTAACTTTAGATGAGTTCTCCAAAGATAACGTTACGTGGATTGCATGTGTGTGCAAATCAAGGTAAAAACAGTTATTTCTGAGCTAATAAACAGACTTGACAATAAAACGTTATACGAAGAACATTTGTCTTTGTTTTAGATTCGGAAGAACTTCAAACGTAAGAAAGAGACGTGGAAGGCAATAAAAGCCATCCGCTTTATCCGTAAACGACTATCGGGTTCCTCAGTTGTAACACCTTTAGGACGTCAGAGCTCCCTCTCAGAGAAAGCTTCTACATTCAAGGTGAGTAACGCGAAGAAACACTGGTTGAACTCATCGCTTATTAATCAAGCCCTGCAACTTTCCTTGTCGAGTTTTTCTTGACAAAAGAATTCCTTGATGCAAGGACTTTCTTTTCCAATATTAGACATACTAGTTTCTAAACAGAGAGACTTAATCAAATTTCCCAATATTGCTTCTGCTCATATTTTGTTGGCACAAAGAAACCACTTTGCTCAAGACAGACCACTGTATTTGTCCTTGGTCGATTTTGACGATAAGTTCGAAGGTAGTTGTCCATAAAAGAAGTGGCCCACAAAATATTATCTCGTTAAGCTTGATCCGGATGAATTGAATTTTTTTAAAGGCTGCAGAAGAGGACATTTTGTCTAACCACTTTTTTGCTCGTGGTGGAACCAGGAGTTAAAACATTATTGTTTGGGGGGATCTAAAACTCCCCTGGCCCTCCTCTTACCCCGTCGCTTATGGTTTCATACGAATCAAAGGAAGTCTTGCTCGACAACTGCCGCTGACAAGTTTTTTTTTTGTGAAGTAAACATCAAACATGCAGTTCACAAGTGTACCTTCTTTCCCGAAATTTCTTAATTGCGTAAAATGACTTGACTTGTCCTATTTCGTCGTTCAGAGACTCAGAAGAACAAGCTCAAAAGTTCAAGAGTTGAGGATGTTTGGTCGGTCAACGCAGCTTCCATCACAGCACACGTTATAACAGCATGAATGAAAGTCATTTGACTCAGAGAGGAACACCACCACTTACATATGTTTTCTTTACCTGCCCTTATGCGTTTCCTCTTAGAAGATTTCTCCCACTGTTCTCTCACTATTCTTAGTTGAGTGTTAAAGGCACATCCTCACCCAAAGTTAACAGCACCTTCCCTTTTTTTTCAGCCTTCTTCAGCTGAGTGATAACATGCCATAATGACACCCATATTCACAACTGATGTACACGCCCATTGTGACATCAAGGTGTGCTCACTGATGCTTACATTGGCCATGAGGTGATAAAGAGTACCAAGAGAGGAATGCCATAGATGTGTTCTTTGGAGGGAGTGCAACTGCATCGAAAATATGTCCACTTCGAATACTTACAGAAAGTTTCAAAACCGGTTTTCTGAAAGTCACAATTGACGGGAGGTACATTTTAGACAATCAGTGATTCGTAGTAAAGGGAGACCCTCGTAGGACTTCCGGAATCAAATAAGCAGTATTTAGTCTAAAGGTTACTGACAAGGTTCATGATATAGCTTGGTAGTGTGTGTAAAGAAATGGAGAAAAGAGTTGTCATAATGAATACTTTTAAGATACTTTTTAACCCTAAGCATCATGGATGCTTCTTGTACTCAGTTTTCTTGTGACGCATAGTTAAAACATCAGTTTATAGTGTATATCTAAAACTGAGCAGTTTTATCCTACATAAGTGAGTATATGTCTAATCAATTTTTTTTACATAGTAACAAAATCTATTCTAGTTATGTAGTATTTGCATATCCTGATATCAAAAAATGTTGTGGTTAATTGATGTAAAGACTACCCCACCAGCAAGGTAGCGCTTTACCTTACAGAAATCAAGAAATATGAATTCTGAACATATACATATATATGGTCAACCCAAAGCCAGCTTTTTAGCTACGAATTTCATGCAAGCCTTTTCTAATGCAGGTACTACTAAAGAAAAATTTTAAATGTTTTAATCATGGTAGGTCAATAGATTGTGACCCAATTACCTTCAGTTTTTATGCAGATGTAGTAGATAAAATTTAAATCTGGGATTACTTAACGAACAAAATCTGAGCTCTGCCAACTAAGCTTTGAAGAAAGAAACCATAGCACTGATACGATGAACGGAGAATCTGTGATATATCATGGCTCTCAATTTATCAAGCAGAGTTTACGAACCAAATCAAAGTCAAACGGCGTTTATAGCGATGAATGAATCGCGTTTTGTTCTGTTGGCTCTGCGAACCGTATCTGGATCAGTATACAGCGTTGGTAGGGAAAATGTTTGTTGTCTGAACTGTTCCAAAACGTTGGTTTTTCTGCTGCTGAGATGCTGGAATATTCCTTTCGTCTCCATTCGTAAATTCTCGCCAAAGTAAATGAACAACCAGGGATGGATTGCAGCATTAGCATGCGCCAGCCAGTACATCATTACCAGGGTACCGAAGGGAATCATGTCGTAAATATCAGTGTAAAAATATTCCATGATGTGGGCGATATGAACGGGAAGCCAGCAAATGGCGAAAACGACAACAGCCGTGACCAGCATCTTAATAACCGCACGGTGTCTTCTTGTTCGCTTGATATGCACCTGCAATGTGGCATTTCCCGGTGGCTTGTGTGTCCAGAGGAACTTGGCTATCAGTGAGTAAAGGACTGATATAACGAGGAGCGGAACAGCATAGGTGATGACTACTCTGACAATCATTTCAGCTCGATAAAGAGTATCCGAAAGTTCAGGCTCCATATTGTGCCACTGCCCGTGGCATTCAGCGGCTTCCCCCTCCACCTCGTATACTGTGTACTTGTAAAGCTCTTCACTAAATATCAAGCCTGCGAATATCCACACGGCAACGATGGACTTTTTCACTGACCTGTGCGATAGTGGCTCTCTCTTCCTCTTCCAAATGGCGCACACAATAGCCAGATATCGATCAATAGCAATGATGGCAAGGCTCCAGATTGAAACACAGATGGAAACCGGCAACATATACACTGTCAACTTGCACAGGATCGTACCTATTACGCCTGATATCCATCGGTTTTCACACAAGATGACTGGCACCGTGAGGGCAGAGGCTGTTGTCACATTCAAGAGATCAGCTACAGCAGTGTTTACCAAAAGCCAGTTGAAAGGGTTGCGACGGATGCTCACACGCGTGCGCACAATGTGGATGACGAGCGAATTTCCCAGGAATGAAAACAGGAAGATGATCGCGTATGCACTAGTAGTGACAATCTTTGTGACGTCATCGATGTCTGTCATTTCGAAATCCTCCTCGTCAAAGACGGTTGGTTCAGAGGAGTTATTCATCATCGTCACTGTAATCTCAGAAGCTTGAAAAAGATATACACCATAATCAGCGATAATTTCAAAAGCAAACAAATTGAAAATTTCCTCTATCAGTTTTCAATGAAATGACGACGATCCCGACATTATTGATAATGGTTCGATAGTAAAGCATGACCGAGCTGAGTTATTTGAGGAACCTATTTTCGTCTCGCAGAATTGAAATGAATTGAGAGTCTGTTTCATGTGGCACATATTTGTATTTAAGGGGAATTCTATTGGCTACAGAATTTATTGCTTATGGAAAATCAAACAATCAAAACTCTTTGCAGGTGTTCAGTTAAATATTGGTTTCGTGTGAACGTTTAAAGACGCGTATTCTAGCGTCTTTATTTTTGACGGGCCAGTCGACCGGGGTGCTTATGATAAAACGTCTTAGGATGGCTACCAGTTGTGCACGGTGTCGTTTTTCTTCCCTTGCTTATCTATGTGTCATTTTCCGTCGCCGCTGAGGTGGGCTCTTGAGCAGGGCGAAATGTCACAAACTAAGCACAATTTTGACTACAGGATTTCCTTAGCATTATCACAATCAAAGTATAATAAACGCGTGATAGTATCAGTGATTGACTGAAAAATATTCTTCCTAAAACCAGATTTAAATTAACAAACAAACGTGCTTAGGGCTGAATAATGTGATCCATTGTGTGTTAATGGAAGTGAAAATTAATATCACTTAACACTATGTATTTTTACTCTATTATGAATCGCAAATTTCATTGCGAAAAATACAACATTATAGAACTGAAATGGAAGAAAATAAAAAACTACGACAAAGTAAGTCCAGTCTCAAAATCGTTTTAAGATTTGGCCAGCCGAGAGGTGATCTGTTCTTCATTACGTTAGCTACCAAAGAAATAAAAGATATCAACCAACTGCGCATTGGTAGCACCTTATTCTCTGTAGAGCACATTACCTTTCTTTTGAGTTCACTCCCGTTCCGCTTGCTAAAATTGCTCCCTCTAGTTTATCCGATTATTTATCACTCACGACTTGAAATAGAGAATCTCACTTTCGTAAGAGGAAGTTAAAGACAAAGAAGAAGACAAATGAATGACACGTTACTCTCGCTTGGTAAGATTAATATTGACAGACTGGACGCAAATGCATTTTTCGTATATCACGTACATCCGAGAAAAAAATTCATGAATGCAAATTTGTTGTTCAATTTCCGTGAGAATGATTGATTCGAGTAAATATTTTATCTTTCAAGTTCATGGTGGTAATGCGGAAGGAAAGAAGAGCTGGAAAAAAGAAAAAAATCATATGTGCACATCTTTTCAAACATCTTTTCCAAACACATTTTAAAGGAACAATACTTTGAATGATCAGAAATAAATAGCATTGTCAATAAAGAACTGGAGGTTCAAAATATTCTAGATCAAGAGAAGTTTGTTTAACTAAGAACCTTGTGCATATGAAAATCTGAGGATTTGCATGCTTTTTGAAGGAAAAAAGTGAATTTCCTTTAAATTGAAAAGTGTATAACTCATCCATTTTGAGTCAAGGATTCAAACATATTTTACGAATTCGAGAAAATTGCAACTAACCGAAAAAATCTGTAAAAGCATAGAAGAAATATCGTCGCTCTCGTCTCCTGAAAAAGGAAATTTTTAGGCGTAACCATACTCATGGAAATAATCTTTCCAGATGCAGTTTTCAAGTAGATCACGTAAACACGCGAATATAGTTACGAAACTCTGAAAAATCTCTCGGCAATTCTCATAACTTTATCAAGATTGAAATATCCTTGCTTAATTTGTGAAATATCAGGTGGCTCTTTTAATCCGCTGGATCATACTGAAAGCCTGAAGAAAGGTCACTAATACCTCTTCCTGTACCTAGTGCATTTGCCTAAGGAAGAAGTATAGATTTATTTTAGTTTTCTACCTATGATGTTAATTACGGAATAAAATTCGATCTTTCCAGATTAAATCTCATTTAAAAGCGGAACTGTCCGGCAAGAAGCCGTAAAATCAAAGTTTATCACAGGCCTTTACTCAGAGGGCTAAACTAACCTTTCCCTTTTCAACGGACTTCCTCTCCGTGAAAAGGTAATTTTCCCTTTGGGAAGCATGATGTGCTTTTTTTAAAATGAGGCCTCAGGAAATTAAATAATTTCTGAAAAGTCTATTTCCTGGTATGGTAAGCAAAACATTGAATTTCTGTTACTTTTCCGGATAACATCCTGAGCGAGAGCTTTTGTGAAATTAAAAAATCAAGAGAATGAGCATTAAAGGCATTCTTCTGATTTTTAGAAAAATTATGTTACAATTGTCGTCTCAGATACCTGATTAATTTCTATTTGAAAAATGCAAGCTTGTATTTTATTGCATTAAAGTAGCCCCTAAGGCCGTAAACATTGATTGTGGTGATTCTATCGAAATTTTAGGAAAGTTCCTTTGCTTTTTCAATTCACATCCAAGAGAACTAAACATCTCATTATTCGGTTTATTTCGTACTTACTGAGATTTACATTGTGAAGTGTTATCGTTCGTGTCTCGGATTGGAAGAACGATGTATTTTCACCGTCGTTCGCTTCCAATCTTTAAAATGTGTCGGTCAGTAAGTAAAAAATCTCAGTTTGTTTCAAATAAAAACATCAGACCATGGAAAGTGCTTGAAGGATTTTTGTTCACTCATTGCAAGGCATCAAAAAAACCCCTTCGTTTTTGCTGCTCTCACTCGTTGGTTTTTTTTGTTTTTTTTTTATGCATTGCAACTCGTGAAATGCGTCGAGTTTTCATGGGATAATCTTTGTTTTATCAACTGAGTTGATAAAATAAATTGGCCACCGTGAAGAGTTGAAACTAAAAAAAGCTCTGTTCAAAAGCTAAAGAAGAGCTTTGGTAAAAAGTTTTTAAACTCTTTAGGGTGGCCAATTCAGATTATCAACTCAGTTGATGAAACAGAATTTTCTTATTGTATTACCGATTGACGCAACACCACAGTTCTTTAGAAACTCACTCCCTTTAGGCATATTCTAGCCTGCGTAAATATGAAACAGAGTCTGTCTTGCTTTCCGAGAATATGCTGATCAGTTTACTTTGGTAATTTTAACACGAGATCTTTATGATTTCGTGAGAGTTTTAAAGTTGAAGCATCTGCTGAATCGAGTAATTTTAGATGTCTATGGCTTTTTCTCGATCGCTAAGATTAATTTCCGGAGCTATGAATATGTATTTTGCACAGTTTTTCTGGCGGTTTACTTCCATTGGTCAATAAAAAGAGTTTTCACCCGAAGGAAGTCTTTCAACTTCCTGATAGCTTGAAATAGCTCGAAGCCTTTAGTTAATGTTTCACGGTTCATCCAGTTGTCTCATAACCAAATTATTCTACGTAACAAGAATCATTTTCTACTGTTTAGGATCGAGTGCGACAAACTTAGCTGATTTCTAATCGCAACGGTGTGCCGAGCTTTATTTTTTTACTACGTTGTTATAATCTCAGTATCAGTTACATCATAGCAATAATGAAGTCGAACGACACGACAACTACAAAGTGAAAAATCATCAAATTGCAAGACAACTTACATCCCTGGGGGAAAATATTGATTGCCAACAAGTCATTCTCTTCGCCCATATGTTCATTACAGTTAAAACTAAGAATTGCAAACCGCGATAAGCGATCTCCGAAGTAAAGATTTTTGAAATATTTTTTATTCGTGAAAATACTGAATCAACTACTTTGCTCTAACCAAAGGTTATAAACAGCTGTGTGCATATCCTGTTTTTGTTTCTTGTATGTTCCTGTCAATACGGCACTACGAATGAACAGCTATCAAAGGCTGATAAACAGGAACGATTTTTATTCGGAGACAGAAAACTGAAGTCTACGAGCTGTGTCATGCAGGAGTTAGTGCGGAATATTGGACAATTTTCTGGCGTTGTTACTCACTTCTGTTTCAAAGCAGAGTTCTGATTGTGGAAAATAAAATTTTCAGAATAACAAGGTGGCGCAAATGACAAAAACAGTTATTTCACAGCGCTATTGTTTTAAATCACTCCACACCAATTTCGACGACACCCCTATATTTAAAGCTCAACTACTTCTCGATTTTTTTCTGCTTTTTTCCATTGCGGTTCTGTCAAGTGACTGAGATTCTTGGCAAAACTCTTTCCATTTTAATAAAAACCGTTGACATTTTTTGTAGATGATATGAAAATGTCACAATTTTCCCCTTTGTTGGAGGAGTGTGTGCAATTTTCTCGAATTCGTAAAATATGTTTGAATCCTTGACTCAAGCTATTAACAAAGACTTTATGTTTCTCACCACCACTAAGTCTATACATCGAGAGACCAGTAAATACGATTTCAAATGTTTTCAGATGAAAAAAACAACAAAATCGCTGAAAAAGAAGAATAGAAGAATTTAGACAGAATAAAATAAATTAAAAAATGAAAAAAAAATGAAGGCGATCCAAAGACAACAAAGCTACGGATGCTCAGAGGACGTCAGCGCAGCGAGACCTTGAGCAAGGCCCACGAGTACACAAGGAGGACATTTTCACTGAGGGAACTTTGAACGTAAATCACTTCTGATGTATATTTTATCGAATACATTCTGTTCCGTGGTATTAAAAGTATAATCTCGAAGTAGAAGAAAACTGGTTCTTAACCACTTTCTCTGGTTTCACTTGTAGAAGTGATGTTGACTTGCGCAAGCAACGTGAGTAGTTTTGAATGATTGCGACATACATCATGGTTGCGATGATAACTTTGCGTATGAGGCGCCCCTGAAGTTGCTTGTAATTTCAATTTTTTAACAGGAAGCTAAATGAAAAGTCATGAAATCAAGAAATAGATAATCATTTTAATCATAGTTTCATAATGAAGGAAAACCAGCACGCCGTTTTCTCTTTAATATTTTTTTCCACACTGTGATCGATAATGGCTCAATGACGCGATCGTCAGATGCATTAGTATATGAATGCAAATGAACTACATCTGCAGAAATATAATTTTTCTCGGGACTCTTAGACAAACTCACTTTAAATAAACTTGTACAAATTAGTCATCGATTTCCGGTATAATCGATCTAGTGTTTTCAATTTCGAACCAGAAAAAAATAAGGACGCAAATTAAGAAATAAACTGTGTTTATTTTAGTTAACTGGTAATAATATTTTATTATTGACTCAAATCGCTTTCCTAGCAAACTAAGTTGATTCATTTATTCAGCTGCCTCAAGTTTCTCTTTCTATATGAGGTTTAAATAGAAAAAAAAAAAAAAAAAAAAAAAAAAAAAAAAAAAAAAGACGCGGCTCCCAGTAACACTTGAATAAGTTTATACATATTTATTACTGAAACTATCCACTGAGAGTTCTTTAGAGAAATATGAATTGTTGATTCTCATTGTTTAGATACCCTATTGGTTCTGCTGCGGTTATCTGAGCCATCGAAAAAAACATTAAAATTAAACATGTCAAACACAGCCACTCTTTCAGTATTATTGCATGTGTTATTAAGTTGAAAAGCAACTGCCGTTAGTGGCAAAAAATCTCTTTTCTGCAGTAAGTGAAACTATTAATACAATTTACAATTAATTAACATTCATTTTAACTTACATGGCAACTAGCAATGATAAAAAAAACAGTATTCATCGGACGGCGGTTTGTCGAAATGTCTCTTTCGTATTTGGGACTAATCTTGACTTACCAGTTAAAATGCCAGCTGGCAGTTAGCTAACATTATTCACAAATACTTATCTTTGGTCAGAGTAAGGCTATTCATGCGGTCATCGATGCAAGTTTTAATCCGTGGTCGCATTATGGAATTTAAATGTTGAAGTTTTCTCGTGAATATAGTGTTACTCGGTCACGTATAGCTTCGACCATACTGTGGTAAAGGCGTGAACAGTTTTTCATGTACATGCAAGGCTAACTTGTTAACTCTACGTATTTCTCGGTCATGCAAAAAGAAAATACCTGCTCTAACACAGCAACCTAGTTTGACTAGAAACAAAGAAAACTGGCACCTTTTCAAATGTTAATTATTGCTTATTACACTCAAGCAATAATAAGAATGCACAGGGAGAGAAATAAATTGACTAGTATCGGTGTTAACAGTAAAAAATGAAAAAAAAATTTGAACTGTTTCAGAAATATAAAGTGAAAATATAAACTTGCTTACCCTTCAAAGCCAAATTTCTTTTCCCAAGCTTTAGTTTCGAACAACCCAGGTGCGTGTGTCAAGAGCTCTATTGAAATTATAATACCTCCTCGAC